TGGCGAGGGTTCGTATTTCAAATGCAAGAAGTGCGCGAAATTTCACAACACTCTCTTACATCGCGACGTCAGTCAACCTCCAGAGAAATCGAAAGCTAAGAATCCATTATGACTATATTCGGAGAATCACAAGCTTGAATTTGAATCGCTGCAGTCTCAATTAATGTTAACAGCACAGTTGCGTTTCAAAGATCCTAAAGGGAATTTCATAAGTTGTCGGGCTTTACTGGACACTTGTTCGACGCAAATTTTATTACAGAAAAGCTCGTTAATAAACTCTCTTTGAAGCCTCATCCATGCTCGTTTTCGGTGGAAGCTATGAACAATTTGAAAACTAAATCCTTAGGAATAGTACAATGTACATTTAATTCGATTCATGGCGATTTCAGTAAAACGTTAACTAGTTTAGTTATGTCTAAAATTACTAATCGTGTTCCTGATGAAGTTTTCTTGCGAGAATCAATGAATATACCAAATAATATAAAATTAGCCGATCCGCAGTTTCATATACCAGGAGAGGTTGATCTGTTAATTGGTTCAGGTGCAACATTATCTATGTTTTCAATTGGTCAAATTAATTTAAATCAAAATAACGATGATTTGGTATTACAAAAAACTCGGCTTGGATGGGTTGTCGCAGGAGGAATGTCGAATTGCAAGGAAGCCGTGTGTCACGTCTCGAAGTTAGAGAACTTAACGGAAAAATTTTGGAAATTAGAAAATGACTCGGATAGTGATGATAGTAAGGAGACTCACGATTGCGAAACACACTATATTAATAATACGTATCGAGAAAATTCCGGGCGTTATGTTGTAAAATTGCCATTTCGTAAAGGCGTTGATTTGGGGTAATCTAGAGCTCTAGCATTTCAATGATTTATGCCCAGTTGAAAAAAATTGCATGGATATCCACGTGGAAATCCACGAGGATTACTAATCCTCGTGGACCATACAGGGATTCCACGTGGATCGTACAGGGATTCCACGTGGATCATACAGGGATTCCTCGTGGATCGATCATGGGCTGAAAAAAATGCAATCCCCACGGATATTCGACTGATCCACGCCGATTTTTTTTCAATCCTCGTGGATGTGGAACTTGTTCGCGAGCACGCGCTCGAAACATCCGCGGAGATTTGCGGCGAATCACCACGGATTTTCGACTGATCCATGCTGATTTTTTTTCAATCCTCGTGGATGTGGAACTTGTTCGCGAACACGCGCTCGAAACATCCGCGGAGATTTGCGGCGAATCACCACGGATTTTCGACTGATCCATGCTGATTTTTTTTCAATCCTCGTGGATGTGGCGAAAATCAACGAGGATTTGCGCGAAAATCCCCGTGGATCGATCGAAAATCAACGAGGATTTCCGTGCAAATCCCCGTGGTTTACGTACGTGGACTCTTTATATGATCCATGTTCGATCCACGTGGAATCAATGTCTCATCCTCAAGGAATCCCTGTATGATCCACATGGAATCAGCGTGGATATTCCACGTGGATATCCACGCAATTTTTTTCAACTGGGTGAGCTTACAGAAAAAGTTCAGTTCGGATCATTCGTTGCAGTTAGCGTATACAGAGGTAATGGATGAGTAAATTCAAAAAAGCCACATGACACCGATAAATGATGATTCAACAGCTGGTTATTATTTACCTCACTAGACGTTTAAGACGCGCTCCGCGCGTATCAATTTTTTTATTTGTGTTTTGAGGTTAGCAACTTTCAGGCGCGCTTCGCGTGCGTACATCTTTCAGTCAGTTTCGAAAAAGTTGCTATTATGACCGTAGATGTCACTTTATTACGTTTCGACTCGAGTCAAAAGTCAGTCGACCAATCAGAGGCCGAATAGATTGGCTTCACTTTTAGGTCCATCTCTTTTTTATAAGTTAGATCATTCTGTCGTGAAAATGTCAAGTACAACAACTAAGGTTAGAGTAGTATTTGATGCTTCGGCTAAGACGAACTTAGGAATCTCGTTAAATAATTCACTAATAACTGGCCCGACAATACAAGCAAAGCTTTTTGATCACCTTATTCGGTTTCGTACTCACAAATATGCGTTAACGGCCGATATTGTTAAGATGTACAGACAGATCTGGGTTCATGCAGATCATCGTAAATTTCAGCGTATATTTTGGCAAATAAATGGAAAAACGCAAGTGTTTCAGTTAAACACAGTGACATTCGGTGTGTCCTCAGCTCCGTTTTTGGCGATAAGGACGCTGCATGAGCTTGCGAAAGACGAAAAGGAAAGTTTTTCAGTAGGATCGGCCTACGTTGTTGCTTGATTTCTACGTCGATGATTTTATTTCAGGCGCGAACACAATCGAAGAGCTTTTAATTTTACGAGACGAAGTACAGTAGGCCCTCCGTATTCGCGGATTCAGTATACGCGAATTCTATATTCGCGGTGTTTACCTGATGCCAAACACAACTTTTTAGTTAACTTTTGCATTTGTTGTTTACATTTTTTAAACGATGGCATTAAATCCTTATAAAAAGTTGCACACAGACATGGTTCGGCGAATAAAACAATCCCGCATTACGGAATATTTTGAAAAATGCCAATAAAATAAATACTTTCAATTATTGAATATTTTTGTTATTCGACATTATTATTATTACATGTATTATTATTTTTTTTCAATTATTCGCGGATTCCGTATTCGCGGTGTTTTTTAGGAACCTAACTACCGCGAATACGGAGGGCCTGCTGTAATCGGAATTTTGAAAAAAGGTGGATTCGATATTAGAAAATGGGCGTCTAATTCGGACAGAGCTTTGCGAGATTTGAATGAGAGAGATGGTAATAATGATTCATAAGACGTTAGGAGTCGCTTGGAACGCAGATCGAGATGAGTTAATTTATTCCGTCAAACCTATAGAGAAATATACGAAAGTTAATAAACGAATGATTTTGTCTAGAATTGCTCAAATATATCTGTGGTGGAAAGGCCTAACGAGATAACTCCATTTTTCGTGTTTTCGAGAAAAACGCGTTTTAAGTTGCGCACGAAGGCCTAGCTAGACGCGGACGACTAAAGATCTGTATCTATGACATTTTTACCTATTATGAGGTATCTTTTGAACTATGTACTTGTGAAATTGAAAGACGCATCATAGTGATGATACGGAGCAAAAAATATGGACTTATCTCGTTAGCCCTTTCCCCGCTTAGCAGATAAGTCCACTTTTAGCGGTCACACTTTTTTCAATATTGATAATTTCGCTTAGTTTGTGATCAAAACCTCATGTAATGATTTTTCATTGATAAAATAGCTCATTTAACGTTATACTGGTGTTAGATCTCAAATCTTGCAACGAAAAAAGGCCACACTGAAAATCGCGAAAATGGCCCCTCGCGTATCAAATGTACCAATCGTATAGTGAAATTCACAACATTCGAAGAGTGTGAGAGCCATTTGTATGTTGGAATATCATTTTTTTCCATTTTCAAATCAATCCAGACTCTTAATCGCATTTTGGAGCTCGCAAAGGTGGACTTATCTCGTTAGGCACGGTGTTATATTGAACGATAGGTGCTCTTTTCAGCTTTTATTCGATTGCGATTGTTCATTTTTTTTTGTTCAGTGTGAATTTCTTCAATTGTCATCGAGATAAAATGAAACGTATTGATTAGTGACTTTAGGAACCATCGAAGACAGGATTTTCGAAGTGGTATTCATCGATTTTCAGGAAGATCGATCAAGACAGAAGAAAAAAGTTTATTTTTATAAGTGAACCTGAGAATATTTAGATTGTACGTGTTGTATCTTCGGGGACCTTCCGTGTCGTACACGAAAATTTTCCTGAAAATTTTGTTAATAAACTCGTTGTAGAAATTTCGAGATTTCGTCCACGAAATTGTTGATAGATAAAATAATTGTTTTGGAAAATTTTGTTCGTGCATCGTGTACCAAAATGCCCGGAAAATTACGTCGATGAACTTATCCCGGAAAATCCAAATTTTCATATCCGAAAATTGTTGAATACATGAGTTTTCATAAAATTTTCGTGTACGAAAATATTTTCGTCCACCAAATTCCCCTGAATAGCCGGACCCGTCACAGAAAGCCCCAATTATTCTAAAAATTTTCGGGACAAATCTGACATCGGAAACAACAAGTTTTTCATATTTGCGGAAAAACAATTTTTTTTTAGCAATTCGACTTCACGGAGAATCGGCCATATACTCGGTAAAAGCAGTAATTTAAGAACTCCGGCCTACGAGCGCGACATAATTAGCTCGCCCACGAAGGGCCGCTCGTCACATCTTATACCTTGCACAAATAATCCTTTATAATTGAGCTAGCCAGACGCTTAGTGTGCAGGTTGTACACATGGCATGTGTGTGTGTGTGTGTGCGCGTGCTCTATACAATTGGCGAGCTCTCGGCTCGCGCGCGGCACTCCAAACTCGGGGGAGGAGGGTTAAGAGAGCAAGAACACGTCATCCGCAGTGGCACTCGAAAAAAAAAATAGACCACATGCAGCTGCAAACACATATACGCTTGCTACTACTGCCGCTGCAGCTGGCTCAAGATACCATCCTCGTAATCAATAATAAGAGCGCGAGCTACACAGAGCCGCGTGTAACGCGCCGAGCTTGCGGGCGACTCGTCGTGCTTTCATGCTTTCGTGCTTCGGAACAGTGACTCTATCAAGCTCGAAATGTAACTGCACACAGCGACGACTACACCGCCGACTCGGAAGGCATTCACTTCATTCATCGCGCAGCGCGACTACGCGTGCGACACATATATAAAATATAAAAAAATAAGTATCGTAGAGCAGCGGCGCAGCTGTGTTACGGAGGTGCGCGATCAGGCGCGCGTCCGAGTACATAATACCGATTACCGCGCGTAGTACATACGTGTTGCTATAAGCATCGTGTTGTGGCCACTGCGGCACCGTCGGTTGCCACTGGTGACGGCAAAAAAATCTACGCTCGAGGCGTAGGTGGCATTGTACTAAGCGAGCGTTCAATCGCGGCGTCGTCGGTGCGGGCAGCGCCGCAAGGAATAAAAAAACAACAAAGGCTCTATAGGCCGGAGAGCTGGACGGCGCGACGTCGCGAGGCCGCGCGAGTGCTTGCGGAACAGAGGCGATGACTCGCTCCTTGACACGCGCCCTCGAGCTTCCATTTAACATCGTACAACTCGACGTAGGCAGGTTCGCGCGCGGCCGCCAACGCGTAATCGCTCGGCTATAACAATATCGAACCGGTAAATACGGCGCGCGTAGGTGTGTATAGAACGCGAGGCACATCGTCGCACGTATGGGTCAGTCGGCGGTCCGAGCCGCCAACAACAATAGCTCGCAGCAGGCCAGTGCAGGCAGCAGTGGCGGCGAGCTCGAGAAAGCTTCCTCCACCGCTGGCGCTGCGCCCGATCACGACGACGCTCCTCATCGGCATCAGCAGCATCATCAGCATCAGCCCCGTCGTCGTCGCTGCAGTCGTCCGGACGCCGAGGATTATCGGCATCTGCCGAGCTGCAGTCACAAGCCGCCGCCTCGCGTCCTCTTCAGCCAGATCATGTCCGAGAGCGGCAAGGCCGAGAGCATGATGATGACGAGCGAGCCCGACGACGAGATCGCCTGGGTCTTCGACTCGCTCATCGGCTTTTTGCACGGCCCGATCTGGTCGGCCCCGCTGCTCACCTTCATCGAGGACAAATCCTTGAGTAAGTATCGATATTATCACCGTGTGGATCGCGCGTAATACGCGGCGGATGTGAGCGACTATAGCCGCTCGGCTCGAACGAATCGATCCGCGCGTGCAGTTTTCATTAATTTTACAAGCTCCGCTGCTATTTACTCGATTCGCAATAATGCAGTATTCGAGCCCGAGACGCAAGACTGCCAGGAGTATCGAGAGGTCTACCAAGATTACAAGAACCTCGTCGATCTGCTGCTCGGTTGCTACATGGAGGACATGGAGATCACGCCGGAGCAGTTCGAGCGAGCCTGCACCATGAACACCAGCTCGAGGATCGGCGTCCAGTTTCAGCAAGTACGCGTATATAATAGTTGCAAAAATCGATACTCGCACAGAGGGGCTCTTTGTGCTTATAAATATCGCTTCCATGTTTTAGAGCTTGTTCGAGCAGATATGGGCCGCCAACGAATTCGAGATATTCAAGCGCATGATGATTCAGAAAAATCTGGAGCTTCAGCTGCAAGCGCTGCGGATGATCGAGCAAAAGTACGGCTTGACTCCGGCGTCGTTCACCAACGAGGAAACCGGCAAAGACGACGATATGCCGATCGAAGAACTACTCCGTACCGATCCGTAAGTTTCGACTCGCAATCGCTCGACATTTTTTTTTTTTTTTTTTTAATCTCAACGTTCTGATTTTCAACGCGTGAAAATCGCGTGTGATCCAGGACACCGGCTAGCAACGAAACAGAAAAGGAGGAAATGGAGGACGTGGTAGCACCGCCGCCTGATTTGGACATGGACAAAGCCGAAGAGGCGGTTCGACAAGAGCACGAGCGTCTCGCCGCGGAATATCGCAACGAGAGCGCGCTGCTCATGGAGGCATTGAAAAATACCAGCGACGAGCCGAGCAGCGTCGAGTCACCCTTGCTCGAGCAAGAGACCGAGTTCAATGGAGAGCAGCAGACCCGAGAGGAGTCGTTGGAAAGTCCAGACGGCGACGGTCCTGCGGCGACGATAGCCGCGGCGAGTGCCGCGATCACCGCTGCTATCGCCCCGGCTGCGGCGGCGGCAGCCTCGAGAATCCCCACGGCGGAGATCATCAACGTCAAGCCCGCGGTAAGTACACCCTATAGAGCGCGATAAATTTTCTTATCGTCATTTCGTTCACTACGATTCGCCACTCCCTTGGTCAGAAGGAGGACGTCCTCAGCAAGATCGACCTGCAGAAGCGCCAACAGTACCTGAAAGCTCAGCGCGACAAGCTCGTCGCCCTCAAGAAGCAAGCTAGAAGCCACAAGCTGGAGTCGGCGGCGGACATCGGCGGTCACGCTGCCGGCGGCGGCTCGTCTTCGAGGACGGCGCGTCCGAGCTCGGCGCGGGTCGTCGCCGAGGCTGCGATCGACGGGAACCAGGCCGAGCTGTTGGCTCAGCAGCAGCAGAACATCATCGACGCGTCGGTGCTGCAAGTCCGCAAAGCCTTGGCAGCGAGACTCAAGGCGGAAGTCGTGCAAAAATGATGTGATGATGATAATAACGGACAGATTGTACTTTTGGTGTAATTTTTGTTTTCCATATATTTGTTTTTCTTTTTTACGCCTTATATAATTCCTTATTCGTTCTTTATCATCACATAATCTTGTATATCACTTTGCTTTGTAAAAATTCATTCAACTTTATGCAATTGTTGACACACTTTGTCCAGAGTATAGGGATTATACAAGGTATTACGTGTTTACTGGATTTTCTCTCTCTTTTTTTCGTCCTGGCTAAAATCGCATATTACAATATATTACTTTGTCAGTATTACAAATAACATATACAATATACGCATCAGTAGCGGTTAGTTAATGATGATAATGATAATTAATAATAGTAGTAATAATAATAATCAATAATAAAAATTCTAATCTCTGCTCGACGTCGGTTCTCGCGAACAAAAACGGATTGTTCATTTTATACTTGCTTTTAAGATCTACAATGTTGTTGATGATGATAGGTAATGCCCTAAAGTGTAGAGAATATAGATATAGATTATTTCTGTATTTAACGCATGGCTGAAACATGAGCGCGTACGTCGAACGTCGATCATCAAAACGTGTACTTATATAAACCTGTGTAAAAATTTTGTCTTGTGTATTTTTTTACACGTTTGTCTATGTAAACATATAGGGAAAACACAACTGGCTCATTTTTACAATAGAGAATTGATAGCATAAAAACTGCTTCACTTATCTTAGGAACTCGAGTTTTTTTGTCTCTTTGTTTTCAATTTTTACAATCAAGTCCATGCTTTTTTAAATTGTTTTGTATATTACCACCGTTGATGAAATAAGCCCAGTTTTCTGCTACAATTCATGCCTTCCATTCTTTCACGCACATTATTAAAAATAAAATTGACACGCATTTTGCATTACCCATTAATTTCATTATTATTTAAATCAGATAAATTTATTTTCTGTCAAACCCATCTCATTCGCTCAATATACATAATTAATCATTTTTCATAATTAGTTGATTTTCGTTTTAAGCGGATAGTAAGGCAAAAGTAAACATGAAAATTTTCAAATATGTTACCTGAAATTTTACTAAATATTTTTCGAAAAAAATTTTAAAATGTACATGTGAACGCCTTCATTTCGTGATCTCCAAGACATTTACGTAGCTTTTTAAAAAATTATTCAGCTGAAGATTCAAAGACGAGTTTAAAAACTTTCATTTTTACTCAGGCTCCAATATCTTCTCAATATTTATATTTATAAAAAGTTTGTTGAAGAACATCATAACTTTTTTCCGTCTTTATGTATATAAAGTAAAACGCATTATAATGTTTAGTACTTGTAATAATAAACGAGTGTATTTATATTATACATTGTATGGAAAACCTCTTCCGTTTGGGTCCCAATAGGGTGTGACCCATTTAATAGTTGACACAATTAAGGTTTTTTGTTAAGATTATAATTGTGATTGGTACAACGTTGAATTTTCATACATCTCACGCAAAATGCTTCGGATTTATTTTCATTTTTACCACATAAATTTTAACAAGGAAAAAAATTTTTCATTTATTTGACATCCAGTTCGTTTATTCATATTTTTTTACTAGCTCGCTCAATTTCACAACATCATCACTTTCATACATTTAATTCATTAATATTTTTCTTATTAAATAGATGTATAATTCATGTCAAATCTGACGGAGAATTAAGATTCAAAAAATAATATATTAGTGGCAATGACGATATAATTATAAATTCCTAATGGAAATAGGAATATTTAAAAATTTTTATTTACAATATGTAATGTGTTTAAACAATTATAACAAACGCTGAAACGTCAAAAATTTGACAATTCTTATCGTTTATGTATAAAAGGAATAGTATATTAGCATATTCCGAAACATTCCGCGTGTTATTATTACATTCATTACACATTGGAAAAATTCATATTTTATCTTATTTTATGTACTCAAAAAAGTAGCTATCAATACATAACTACACGTAAAACTTCATTCTACATATTTTTAAACCTCATTTGATGTTCGTATTTCATGTTCATTTCGGTATACACTCGTCATTTTACACTTATGTCTCCATACACTCCAATGCAACGATGTAGTTCTAATAAAAACTTTATATTTATTATTACAGAGGTGGGCATAAATCCGGTACTTGATTAAAAGACACATTTAAGCGAACTTTTGTGCATTCAAACGCAAATTCTAAAATTAAAATTGAACATGTATAAGATACAAATTAAAGAAGCTGTTACAATGGTCACTTCAGGATAGTATGCAGTTTTTCATGATTGGAAAGCCAATACCATGATAGATTTGTTTATTGAACGCGAAGAAAAAGTAAAGTACAAATAGTGTAGATTACGTGAACTGTTTTGTTCAGTAAACTATTAACTGCAGTACCCATTTCTCTTGTGTCAACAATAAAACAAATCGATCAAGGCATTAAGTCTCACTCCTTTTTTCTACTTGGCACTAGTTTAAAATCAACAGTACCTTCTCTATTTAATAGCTCAGTAATATTCAAACAAATGAGACATTGTATGATAAGCAAACAAACTTTAATGCAATATTTGATTGATTTTAAATATACTCTCTTTGTACTTTGTACTAGAAAAAAATTAATTTTCTTCTATTTCACAATTTAATGAACTTTGCAATTACATTCAAATTAGAGCAATAGTATATCTTAAAAATATAAAAAAGACTATGGAATTTTCATGTTTAAGGTAAATGTAATTTGTTAAATAAAAATAACCACTTAGTCTTATTATAATCTTCAAGTATGTACTTTATGATTCATTAATTAAATACAAAAGTCGAATAACGTTACAACATGGAAATAATAAATAGCTCACTCTAAATTCTCCATAATCATACATACATTTTATTTAAACCTCAAGCTGATAAGATTCGGCCAGCTAAAATACATTAACAGAAGGAAGTTTACATTAAAGTCTAATTATATCAGCAGGATACATTCGAAAATCGATGGAAGATAAAACTAAGTGTAATAAAGGAAGGTTGAAAATATTTAACAATTGTACAATCGGACGTCTGAGACTAATATTAATTTGCTCAAAATAAATCGATAAAGCGGGAATGTCATTAAAAAATCCATTCTTATTGACGTGTATATCTTTCAAATTTTTGGTCCAATACACTAATCCTGAATATTTCATACAAAAGTTTCACAGAGGTCAAAAGCTTGAAAATTGAGATCTCAATAATTATCAATCTGAGAATCAATAGTTTGAAGTAATTTACATATTTGCTATATGAAATGACCATGAACAATGTCAACAATCATACTTATTCTAATTACAAATGAGCTGCCCATTGTAGACTTAGTTCTGAATCATTTGTAATCAGTGAAAATGTTATTTATTATTATACAATATTTTCAGTTGCTTGATAAAAATTCGAAAAACAAATGTATTTTAAATACATTTGTATTTAAAATAGTCATTTACTTTAAATACATTTGTATCTAAATACTGCATTTAAAATTTGTATGCTACAATGACCATTGTAACTTAAGTTTTAATTTTTGCTTGGTAATTTATTTCATTGCTTACGTGTAACATATTAAGTTAATAGTTTTTACTTGTTTAAATACATGAAAGTTTCGAGTTCAAATACGATTTAGCCCACCTCTGGTCACAGCACACTTTCTAATGACAGATAGTTTGCCTACTATGAGAGTCGTTGTCGCTTAGGCAGTGGACTCAACTCATCAGATTCTTCCTCTTCTTCATCTGAATCACCTTCATAGTCTACCAATCCCTAAAAATGAAACATAATATTTAAGAAAAAATGAATGAATAGATGATCAGGTGAACAAAAGTCAACAAGAATGCACGAAAAGAATATGTTAGTCGTAAAAGCAAATGAAGTCCTAATTAAAAAATTAGTCACCTCGTGTCTTGAAATTAAAGAAGAAAGAAGAAGAATGGCTTTTTTGAAAAAGATAACATCGCGAAAATCTTTTTTGAAAAGAAGAAAGTTGTTTCAATATTTGTTAAAAATTGTAAGAAAACGATTTAAGCTTTGAATTCATTGGAGTTAATAAGCTCAAAATTTTAACTTTTAAACATTTTAAATAATTGAACTATAAAAAATACTAAACCCATGGAAAAAAAACTTGAATTTGTTCGTAATCTTGGAAATGTAATAGTGCTATTTTTGTTTCTACATTTATAATCATTACCTTTTTAAAAAAGTTATATACCTTTTTGAAAAATGATCCAGATTTTTCAACAACAACGGAACCATCGGTGCTTGTATTGCCAATTGCATCGGCGGCCGTGACACCAACGACGGGAAGATTGTTTGCCGAAGATATTTGATTTTGAGCCTGTGTCGTGCAGGCTGCTGTTGCCAGTGGCAAAATGTTCCCACTGTTGTTGTTCAATATTCCTTGCTGTGGTTGTGGCTGAGGCTGGGGCTGTGGCTGTAAGGATTGACCCTGCATTAGCGGCGGGCTATCGGGCTCTTGTGGTGCCTCGATTCCTAGTTTCTTGCCGGTGGGTACAAGATCAGCAGTTGCCGCAGGCACAACAGCCTCTCCCTCATCAAAATCTTCTTCCTCGTTAAACCACATTTCTTCCTCTTCGTCCAATTGACGTTGGTCGCGTCTGAATCGGCTATTACGTAGTATCGATGGAACGCTGGAAATTTACGAAAATATATTATTAGAAAATTTTTCTAATAAGTTTAAAAATTAGTTTTAACTGATAGTGGCATTGTGCAACCCTTGACAATTTTACCTGTCTAAGGCTCCTCTATCACGATCTTTCAATTTGTCCTGATGTTGTTCATACCTCAACTTTAAAGCTTTAAACGTTTGAACATAATCAATGGCTTCAAGTTCCTTTGAATAATTTTCCACAACGTGCGAACAAAGAGATTTAATATCCTCCTATAAAATAATTAATTGTTAATAATACGATTATAACAAGGATCAAATGATAGCATTCTTAAACTTACCAGTTTAATGAATTCAAACATTTCAAGGATGGCAGAATCTAATAAATTGTATCGTCCGTTATTTCGCGTGAATGCGTCGAATACCGGCGCGAACAAATTGCCTTTAACAATGTATCTGTTATAAAATTCATCTTTGAGAGCAATGATTTTACGCATAAACCTAAGTGCGCACAGAACAAGGAAAGTATGAGTCGATTTCATGAGTACAAGTATTTTCCTCAATAAATCTTTGTTCAAAATACAGTTTTTAATATGATAAGTGTGATGTTCTACGCAAAACGATAACAACTCGAGTATAAGACCAAGCAACTGTACGGTACGATAATCTTCTCGAGCTGGTTTGTCACCAATTGTGTTAGCTAAAAGAGGCGCTATCATAGTGCTTATGCTATTTTTGTAGAAATAATTCAGAAAATCGGCCTTTTCTGACTTATTCACTGATGTTATCATATTTTCCGGATCAAGAAGTAGCCGTAAAACACCTGCAAGCTGGACAGCACCTCCTGATAAAAATCACAAACAAAGTGATTAATAATTTATATTTATTTAATAATGAATGATTACATATTGTAAGTATAATCATACCAAGTTCTGGATCACTGTCATTGATTAACTGGGTAACAATAACATTTACCAACATCTGGTCCTGCTCTGTGAGATTAATTTGTTGTAGGGTGTAGTCCCTGATGACACTTGGTGAATACTCAACAATATAATTAAGTATATCTATGCTTGCTGATTTGGTCTGAGCATCATTAATGCTTAATGTGATTTCTAAAGCTGGGAGTATACCCAACGATGTTAGTGTTTTGTAAAATGTCTCTTTACCTTGAGGCTGCAAATTTTGTGAGAAATTACAAAACTCCTTTAGAAATAGCACCAGGTCACGTCTTTTCACATCAGGAGTATCATCTTCTGTGAGCATTCTGAATAATTCAGTGAGAAACTTTTCATCGTCTTGTATCAATGTAACGATTTCAACCTTGTTGAAAAATATAAAACTGCTTAGAGTGCTCAGCATGTTGTCTTCAAAAACACTGGGAGTTGGCAAAACTACATCTTGTATATACTGGACTCTGTACGTTTGATGGATTTTAGCAAGTAATTCTGCGTTTGTGATGGGTACAGCTTGTTTAAATTTAGCTAACTGCTGTAAATATTCTCTGTGTTTTTTTGGTTGAGGTAAGCTGGGCTCATATTCTAGACACCCAACAACATCAAATATGACATCATCACTAAACATTACCTCAAAAAGAGCATTTTTATTCAGCAGAAAGATGTTTTTGAAAATATCATAAAGATGATGAAGACCTTCCATGCTACCTAAGTCTTCACATGTGTGGAATAGATTTAATAATTTACGAATGTAACCTTCAGATTCTAAAGCTGTTGCGAGTTTTTCTTTACGCATTGGGGATGATAAACAATTACTTATGAGCTCACTGATATCTTCTAGACGACCTAGTTCGCATGGAGGTAATTCTATCGGTGGTGCGGATTCTGACATTTCATCAAATCGTTCATCTTCAGACTCTTCAACAATATCTTGAGTTATCTCTACAGAGGGATCTTTTCCTTGTACTTGACAAATTTTTTCCCATATTTCATCACATCCTGCTTTTTCTTGAAAACTTAAAGCTAAATCATAATTGTCACTTTCAGACCACACAATCAAAGTATCCTGCAAAACAAAACAAAAGTTCATAATTAATTATATTTTTAAAATATTCTTAATTTAAGAATAGTTACTTTAAAAAAAGTATAAGAGAAACAATTAGATCAATTATGATTGTTTTTATATGCTTCTTTAATATTAGACTACAAAGTATTTTAAGAAGTTCAAGTACCTGTTGTTTTTGATAGGCAGTATCTGGTTGAATTTTACTTTCTAACAGGGTTGTACCGTCACTTTCAGCTCTTACAAGCAGCGAGGTACCTTTCAGTCTATCAACATATAATGAAGATACATGACCAGTGCCACGATCATCCCACTGTCTATCTGCGTTCAACGCATACAATTTAACACGTTTCCTAGTATCCGTCATGATGGCTCAGTCTTAATGTAGCCACATATATATAAATATATATAAAAAAATATCTAAAATATCAAGTTTAAAATTGTCCTTTAAACAGGCAGTCAAGATAGCATAACTACCAACACCACTTGGCTGTATTCACAGAAAAATGCACACACGATGAATCTAAAAGACTGGAATCAACACTTGAAACGTTAAAACACAGAGAGTATTTGGTTGGAGAATAAGAGTGGGCAATGGTTGGGAGCAAAATGCCGAAAATCACGTTTTTAACATGTCTAAAATCCAAAAACTTTTCTTCGTACACATATCTTCGTAATGGAACTTGCAACCGAACTAAAAAATACTGTTGGATTTTCTCGCTTGCGTCCACACGACGGTGAGATTGAGTATTTGGATATTCACTGTTGCTCTGGTGTGTACCTTTCGTGATGTGTTGTCGTCGACTTTCAAGGTTACCTACATCAGACGATGTATAGCTGCGGCTATGCCAGCGCGCGCGCTACTGCTGCTACCTTTGATACACACTCGCACAGGGCTATATATGTTGAAGAATTTTTTTTATACCTTTCTCCCGTTTCAGTGCTTACGGGCGCAAATATGTACGCACACGCGCTCCGATGGCGACTCTCGAACCCGAGAGCCAAATTTTTTCGTTTATCTTTCTTCAGATGTGATCTCTTGATATATACGTAGCTCGTGTATTCTATATAGCTGAATTTAGGAGCGATAATGGCTGTGAACGTAAGAATTCTCACGTTGTCTTATCCAAAAATGACGGCGAGCGCGATGTTGAGTGCTGAGCAAAATAAGATATACAGTGATAAGTACAATATAATAGGTATATGCCTAGAGTAAATGTATACATGTATGTGCGCGAGTATATATATCAACTATGAATATGCACTTGGACGTGTTTACGACTCAAGTTGCATAAGCTTCGAGGTAGGGGAAAAAACGAAGAAGAGATATGGCTCTGCGCGAATCGTACCTCGGTGTATCTGTCTCCCTCTTTTGCTCCCGTAGCGGAGCTTCGTAGAGGAACTCGATACAAGCCAAGTTAACGCGAGGCGAGCACCGAGCACGGCAGGCATTCACACACACACAAACACTCAGGCCTCACACGCACGCAGACAGCACGCACACATTCACAACACACACCAAGTCCAGTCCCGAGAGCGCACGCAAAACTTTCTCCGTTGGGTCTCTGTCTCTGTTGCTCTCTCTGTCTATCTATCTCTCTCCCTATACTTATACGTATGTGTGTATATGTAAGCGTATGTTTATTTACGAGCAGCCAGCAACATGTACACATCGAGAGCTTTTCACGACGGAGTGGGAAATCTTTGCAAGCAGCCGGTCGATTAAAAAGCGTCGCTCCGATGCTCCATTGTTATTGTTTACCCTTCGGAGCGATTGTTGAACGCAGCACGCACAAACAACAACGGCCCACAACGCGACACACACACAACGCGGACCGCGCACCACCACGAGTCAGTCTGTCTCGTTCTTTTCAGCGTGCGTGCCGTGCTGCTGCTGCTGCTGCTGCTAAAACTCTGCCTTGCGTTGTATGTATCCACGGGAAAGACTATATACTTACACACACGGTACACATACACACACGCATAATCACTCACGCAGATTCGCGGTGAATGCACAATTTCCCATTGGAATATGTACCTATTTAAAGTTCCCGTTGTATGAACGTGTTTTTCACGTAGCTATGTAAGAGGTGTATCCTTTGGCTGTTGAAGAAACTTGTCGAGAGCCGGTGGCGCACCACGGCCTCTTGGAGTCGATATCGGCCGTCGCAAGAGCGTATATGCAGTTCTACGCGATGCAGGAGTCGAGTGTGCTCGGGTGACACGGCTGATCCATGCACCCTCGCGCGCAGCACGTCAGCTTATCGCTGTCAACAAATAAAAAAAGGCAATAGGTTAGTCGACGATACGTACATGACGTCGAAGCCTCGTTCTCCGGCCCTTCGCCACCCCTCCCCCTTGCCTCCTACGCGCTCAAAAGTACCGTGCGAAATAATTTACTTGGTGCATACTCGATATGTGTTGGTATGTTTATAGAGCGGCTAAAGGGATAATTGTCGCCGTGTGCCACGAGTCGAGCGCGAAATTAATCGCTTCTTTTATCAACCGTTGATGTCGCTCCCTTTCTCTCTCTCTCTCTCTCTCTCTCTCTCTTTCACTCACACACTCTCAGTCCGCACACGATTTTATATACTTTGGCAACGATATGACACACGAGCGGTCGATCTGTTATCTCTTTCTGGCTAACACGCGCACGCACATATATAATAATACACATACACTAAAAGAGTCACGCCGCTATTGTTATTGATAAGCAGAGTCGAAGACAGCAACGACGACGACGACGACAATGATTCTGTAAAAGTGAACACCGCTGTTGTGCCCGAGTGCCGCAGTCACAACACAACACACTCCGCCATCATGCGCGAGAATATGTGTTTCGCGGACGTTTGTCTCTCCGTCTTTGTCTATCTCACGCGTGAGCCTTATAGGGCATGGTGGTGCAGCGCCGCCGACAGAGTAGGTAAGTTAATGTAGAGCCTGAGCGAATTGCGAATTGCGATCTGCGCGATGCAGCAGCAGCTACCGCCGCCACCGCCGCGTCGCCGCCGATGCTGCTGCTGCTGCTGCTGCTGCTGCTGCCTGCTCCGCGCGTAACACTCGCTGCGATTTATTATATATATTTCACGGCTTGCTGCAACAATGCCGCTATACGACTCCTATAAGTATGTACCATATGAGACGAATCTTTGTTGCACTTGTGCGAATGCACGAGTATCCTTCGTGCCGAAATATCCACGATCGAGCTCACTTTCGTTTTCTTCATTCCGCACCCCCCTAGAGCCACGCTCGATGGATGTCATTCATCGCGTGATGAATGATCATACGAGATCATTGAAGATGGGGTGAATTTTCCACGAAATTCGCCTGTGAGCCGCTTATCGATAGTGAGCTTGGAGGGCGTTGCGCGTGTACATTTACGCGCTCACTTTTGAACGGAGCACGCTTTTCTGCATTGGAAATAAAAAAAAGTCTACGTTGTAAATAATTAATTTATTAAATTTTTTTTATCTATTTACAGTTTAATTAAGTTATTTATATATATATTTATTTTTTTTTTATTTCATGTATAACGACCGTATTACTCAAAAACTAATATATGATACTCACTTATTTTGTATTTGATATAAACATTCATTCAAGATACGTAGTTAACAAATATTTTTTTCTCGATAAAATTTCAAGTAAATTTATAATTTTTTTTTCGTATTCTTAAAGTGTATTATCAATAGAGTAAATATTACCCAAAAAGTACCCCACTGAGAAATGTAGATAGAAAAAAACTTTGCCAAAATGGCGAATGTGCAGCATTATGGCTTATCCTTGATAATACAAATAAATACATAAATGGTACTTAGTACTTACAAAGTTTAAAACTTTTAAAATTTTTCAGTTTACAATAAAAATTCAAATAAACAATTCAATTATTTTGTAAATTTTGCACGATAATTAATATTTATTTTTGTAAATTATTTTTTATTTGTAGTAGTAAAATATGCTAATGTAGTGCGTTTTCAATTACAAATTTGTATTATGGGTTACTAGTCATTTTCTAAGACATTAATATCAAATTAGATAATGAAAACGTTCAAGTCTCTTATGCAGAGGTTAACGTAACGAATTGTACAATGTACTACCTAAAACATTATATTTAATCTAGACCCAATTCAAAAATAAAGACGAATAAAGTTTTTACATCGCCTACTGAATAAATGTACATTATTTTGAAGTAAAATTTAAGTATTACATCATTGCACGATGAGTATTACTTAGTTAAAGATATTTCCGCGGTAGGATATTTTTGTAATTTGTTTTAATACAAATTTTATAAAGATGAATAGTTTAGTAACTAATGGTCATTGGTTAAAGCACAAAAATCCATTCACTATACCTGCTTTATACACAACATTCTCACTTGTAATATCACACTTGATAGATTCAAATACAAAATCTGCATCGATACTTCCCAAAACACATTTCACTCTTTTTTACAGAATTTGCAATTTTCCAGTAATGCATTATGCGATTTCACAGTAATAATCCACTTGTGAAACTATTAATTTCATCGATTAAATTTTTTTTTACTTATATTCCAATTACAAATTGTTAATAAACATAGAAAAAAATAGTTCCACTTTTAAATTATTATTGTCAAATTTAATAAAAAGAAAACTTATTGGCAAAGTCAGTTCCAAGTCTTTTAAAGTTTTATACACTTAATCAACAGACTGATCTCTTACAAGCCTTCTTTGTCTCAGATTCTCTAATTCACCAGGAGCTATCCCACCAGTACTACTTGTGCTTGGGGTTGGTGTTGGTGTTGATGATAAACTATTATTTCTTAATATTCTATCTGAATAAAGTAACGAGGATGAATCAGGAGTAAGCTGTTCATTTACTTCACTAGTTCTTAAATCTGCAATACCATTAGTGCTAGTTGGCACTGAAAAGTCAGATATACAAGAACTTGAATCTCTGTTATTATCCATAGAGCTGGTAGTAGATTTATTATCATCCTGGCTAAGAAGTGTATCAGATTTAGGTAGATTGATACTAAAAAAAAGAATGTATCGATTGTATTGATACCGTTTGAAAATTCACCAAAAATATTTAACAATATAATTATAACTTACGAAGCAGAGCGCGCAGCAGTCTGATATTGACTCATCATTGCTGTAGCGGCATCAAGTAGTAATTGTACTCTTTGTAGAGTTTCAATGCGAGCTTCAACTGCTGCTCTGAGATTACCTTCCATTGATCGCAGTTCTTCTTCAGTTAAATTACTGAGATTAGGAGGAGGAGTAGGCACAGGTGGTAATGGAATAATGGGTTGGAAAGAGTGTGTGAAGACCGGTACACCAGTGACAATACCTGAAGGTAGTTGAGAAGTTGATGAGTTTTGGCCTTGTTGATTGCCTAATCCTTGAGATGTTGGTGATGTTGTTAAATGAGCCCAATAAGTAGGAATTTGAAATTGAGGTGGAGGAGCTGCTTCTGGAATGAATATATTTTTTTATTAATATAAGTGTGAGAAGTAAACAAAATTGATTACTCACGTTGTGTTGCTGCTCCTGGAGCTGGAGTAGACTGAGCAGGAGGGTTTGCAGCAGCTGGAGCAGGTGGAGGTTGCTGGTTTTGTTGCTGCCTTGAAGGTTGAGATGTTGTTGTCGGTCTTAGAATATTTAGTCTGCATGTGGGACATGTTTGTTGGCGTTGGAACCATGATCGCAAACAAGAAGTATGAAATATGTGATTGCATGGTAACTTTTTGCTGGCAGAGACCATCTCTTCTCTAAAATAAAAATTGTACATACATTAATATTTAATATATCATCTTAAAATTAATTTTTCGATAAAATTAAATATTTATTATCTTCTAATTTTTTCATTTACAAGAACAATCGACACATACCTGCAAATTATGCAAACATTATCGGCGGCAGCCAACTCTTCAGGCGTAGCATTAGGATACAGAGTATTCATATTTCTTATAGCTCTTCTAGACATAACAATGTCATGGAAAGCTTTTTTAAAGTTTCTCATTGTAAAGTACATAGGCCTAAATGCAAACAATGGTAAGGTATAAATTCTGACCATGATTGCAACAAAAGCAATATACAATGTAACCTGAAACACAATTATAATTATTTGTTATTTTTTTGATATAATCAAAAATAATAATATTAAAGAATTTATACTGACTTTCATGAGTCCAATAATTAATTCAGTATATAACATGTAAACAGGTTTATTATCCCAAGGACTATCTCTTTGTAAATCAATTGTATGGAGAATGTATTTGATGTTAATATTAAGTACAACAGTTATCAGTAATGCATATTCAAAACCAAATACTAATTGCACCGATGGTCCTTTGGCTATAGTTGAATTATAAGCATAATTGAACATGGCTAAGTTTATTGAAAATAATAAAGCTAATAGACTAGCAACTCTAATATGAAATAGCCATGTTATGACTGGGCTTCTTTCCATCTGCAACATACAAAATAACATGAGCTGCACGAAGAATCAACTTGAATTAAATAATGAAAAACTTACGAAATCGACACGATCTTCTGCGAGCCAATGAAATGATTTTAGAAATAGTAGCAGTGTGAATAATACCACGAATTTTGGACTAAAATCATCTCTGAAGACTGTAAATGCTAAACAGGTTTCGGTAACTGCATACCATAATTTTTCCATAAGATGCTGTAGGAAAAATATCATATTCAGTAATTAAATTGTGGTTTAAATTATTTGATAAATGCTAAAAATGTTCATTACCTCAAATTCGGCCGCTCTTAAATTTCCGAAGAAAATTTTTCGCAAAAAAGTATTTGCCATCAAAACAAGAATGAGACCTTGCACGTAGATGATCTGTCAAAAGACGGAGTAAATGAAATGTCAATGTGGGGATCATTTGTAAATCAGTTGTTAAAAGAATGAAGGATGCAACGTCAAATAATTTAATTGACACGAGTAAAAATATTTACGAGTAATTTTTAAGGAGCTATAAATCAACGCAAGTAGACGAAAATGAATTTTAACAGTATAGTGAGCTTCGATTTTCGAATCTAAATATTTACATTGCGTCATTGATTGGACTCATAATACTCTCGATACAAGCATTGAGTTAGTTACTTTCGAATGGTCAACGTAAAGCGTGCGAACACCACCTCGAAAAGCAGTCATCGACGCAAACGTAAATCCGAAAAAAAGATCGTCGTCCGCACGAGCTTGTAATCCATATGCATCGTTAGAACGACAATAAGCCACGAAATCGACGTCTCTTTCTCGCTTTAGCTCTCTGTCATGTTTGCATATTGCGTAGACGTTCACGACCAAAACATCGATAAGGACGAAAAAGTTGTTAACGTCTTTAAGAACGCGTCGAGTCGCATTACATACGAACGTCATACGTATAACGAGGAAAGGTACTCGATGTAATGTTGAGGGATATAACGTCGTGATCGAGAGAGGCGAAAAAACTCACAGCCATGCTAGGATTTGACTTGGTTATGTAGACGACGGACGGGTAGAATTGCTTCTTGTGATAGTAAGCATTGCCGACGACGGCACAGGTAAGCGCGACGCTAATCAGCACAACACCAGCGGCCCTCATCTTCTTTGCAGGCTCCGACTCCTGGGCTGGCTGAAAGTTTGGATGCACGCGGAAAAGCAGCTTTACTCGCTTCTCCTCTCTTGCACTTGCACGCACGCACGCCTTGTCTCCGTCTCTCGTTCTTTCTCTCTCTAACTGTTCTTCACTCGATACAGTGTCAAAGTATTTTGCAATGTAACAACGATCAGCGAATGTGCACGATACAGGTGTAAAAATGAGAAGAAAAGAAGATATCGCGCGCCCGAGAGAGCGAAGACGAAGAAGACGACGTTGAAGAGCCAAACACCACTGGTGTGTATACACTATAGACACTCGTATTCGCGAACAGCGACTCGGCCTACTGCGCTTCCCGATGACGACTACTTATGTATCGGCCCTGCGATATCGCAGCGGTGTTGTGGTATAATATACAACGCGCTGTATAGTTATACGACAGCAATGGTCTTTCGGAGCACATACGTGTCGTCTGGCGGTAGTGCGATTTTCGACGCTGTCTCTTTCGCACTCGTCGCCTTATATTTTGTCGCTGCTCTTGCGAACACGCCAGGAGAGGGGATGGTCTTTTTTATCTACCTATATGCGCGAATGTAGAAGGAGTGAACGCGTTAAGAGGTGCCTCGCCGCTGTGTGTGTGCGTGTCTCGCGGCAACTTATAGGCCTAGAGCACCAACACGCGCCCAAGCACCGCAGCCAGAATCTAATACGGAGTTATTATATATAGGTATACGCGAGAGAAAAGCGCATTATGCAATGACTGGCTGCAGCTGTTTTTATTTTCTTTTTTGCTATGGCTACTATTACGATCGATTCTATCTTGAGATGAATGCAGCTCGTGACAAGAGTCATCATTATAAAAGTCGCGCAAGCTGCGGCTCACGGTCGCGAGTATATCGCGCGCGATCCGACTTTTGCCTTCTACGTGGAGAATTCACGCATACTTCATACACGCGCACCCGGGCCAATTTTACATTATACATATATATTCGATACGTCCGTGTATAATCGGGATGACGCGTGATTCGAATGGACAGACGGTGAATTTTCATTGGTCGTCGTAGCCGAGCTTTTACCCCCACTGCAACAGGGCGCGTAGCTCCGAAATTATGTGAGCGCGGGGTGATTTTTTTACGTATATACAGCAACATAGGTGCGATCGGTGTCGCAATTTTCGAACTGTTGCACGTTCGATTTTCTTCCCTGCGCACAACGGTCGTTTATAACTTTTATATATTCTTCTTCTTTCAACTGCCATTCATTTGTTTCAATAATAAGAACGCGTATGGCGCATCCACGCACGCAATAGGAGCTTCGTTGCGCTTGAATCGTCGCGTCCAAGTGTCGAAAAGTTCATAATAGTGAAGTGTATGAATTTGTTTCATTTGTTACGCGGGTGTTGAGAAACTTTTTACGCTAATTAAAGCGAGCTTCCATTTCGTAATAAAGAATAATCCATATACAATTATGAAGATATTACCATTTTAGTAAGTGACTGAAATTAGTTGTCGTTAAAAAAACTGAAAATAATCAAAAAATATGTAAAATGAACTTTAAAAATGTTTAGAATTCTAGAACAAATAAAACGTATCATGGATTCATTGAACAGACGCGACTTCGTAGCCTCCCCGTACCGATCGGAGAGAGAGAAAGTTATTTGTATCAAACGATGGAACGTACGGCGATTCTTCAAATTGATCGGTATTTGCAGCACATCTCACGTCAAAATGTCCGTCACAAAATGTTTAATCGTTTATTCTTTGATAGATAAGCTGGATGACTTTTTCGAGAATGACAAGTGCTGTCGTCTAGCTGACAATTACCTTATTGCAATGGTATTTACGTACTTTTTAAGAGCCACCTTCGAACCTGAAGAGTACACATTCACCAATTTTTTTGCCGCCCTGTAAGTCATCGTCAACTAAGCATTTCAAAATTTGTGCACTTGTTAATTTATCAAATGCAATTTCGTATTGCCATTCAGCTTTCTAGCTTACGACATGGAAGAAGACGATGGTCAGTTTATGATTCAAGATCTTGAACCATGGCTCGACTGTAGTCTCACGGATCTCAAGCAAGCTCGTTGCGAACTCTTCGCGAGGGTGGATTTTAGAGCGGCCGTATCGAGAGCCTGTTGCGACATTGTCATGCGAGTGGCAAATCCTGAGCACATGATTTGGAAGCGAAGGAGACACTCGTTTCATTCGGGTATCGTCCATCGTCGATTGTTTTTGATGGAACCGTAAGTTCATAAAATTAAAATGAAGTAGACCAAGATAATGTACTGAGATACTTTTTTCTCAACAGAAATCAAGAAATTTGTCCAATATGCGAGGGACAGAGCGAGACCGACGATGAAGATATTTCTTATTAATTTACGCAGGTAAAGTAAACGAAAAGTTAAAAAATAGTTTTTAATGTGTAAAATCATAACGTTATATTTTATCTCATATGAATTAAAAATATTCGATAACGTTTAATTTTCAAGAGAGTTAATAAATATAAGACGCAACCATATAGAATATGTCATTATTTTTATTGATTATTAACATTGATGGGCGTGAATAAAAAAAGTTCAAACAGACATTCACGTTTCATTCAATCGTTCAAAATACACATATATTATAAAAGTCAGTCATATATGGACTTAAAAAATTTATCATAGTGTATAAACAACAAAAACATTGTACACACATGGCATCTAGAGATAATTCTAAAAAATTGTGATGAAAGTAAATAATGATTAATAAAAATGTACACTCATTCAGTTCGATTATCAAAAATTTATATATACGTCCCTAAAAATTAATGTAACTCATTTGTATAAAATAAACAAATATCTAAATAATTTCTTTGTCTCGTTTTTTTCTACACATCTATACGTTCACTCGCGTTTTACTATAGTCTTAATGATAATGTTAATGATATTATGAATACATGCATGAAAATGTATAAATTAATTATGTCTATTAAGTTGCGACGATTTCATCGTGATTCTAGGGCTCTGTCGTTTTGGCGTTATGGGCATCATCGCCTTTAATGGGGTTCGTCTAGATAACATGATGGATTTACGAGCTGATAGCGATTTGGCACTGCGTGGAGTTTTGACGCTCAATGGTCTTTTGATATGCGGCGTTTTACAAAGTGGGCTCTCGCTTATCTTTAACAAATTCGCGTCCTCTTGTTTTACAGTTGAAGGGTTTGTAATTAATGCGTTCACGGCCTGCATAGATTTGTTTTCTTTTAAGACGAGATTTTTGGTATCCTCGTGATTTACTCGAGGACTAGTTAAACGAGTCGATTGTTTACGTCCATTGCTACTAATCGATACCTCCATCCTTATCAAGGGTGAAACGTTTTTGGTACCTCGGCGATCGGGTGTAGTTTGCTTACGACGCATAGCTTCTTCACGGCGTTTAATAGCTGCAAAAAATAATCATTTATATACACTATGAATAGGTAATTACAATAATCAATCTTACCACTGGTAGATTTCATTTCATCTCTAGTGCTATTCCTCGACGGATTTTGAGCTTTCATGGATTGTCTACGATTGAAATCTATCGCTTCTTTCGTTGGATCATCAAATAATTTGGCCTTGGCTAAGACCATGCCGGCATTTTGAGTGCGTAATTTTGCAACGGATGCTCGACCAGTTGTCGGTACTGGAGTCCGCAATTTCGCTTCTTGTTGAAAGTAGTCATCTGCGTCCTTCCACGAAACAGTCTTTTCTTTTCTTCCCGTCCCGGGCGTTTTCAAAACGGTTTTCGGCTCTTTATTTGGTGATGGTGATACCGAAGGATTTTTCAATGCATTTCCACGTAAAACTTCGGTAAGTTTATCATTAAAATATTGCGAATTATCGATAAAATTTTCATCGTTGAATGATGAAGCTCTTCGTAAGTTTACGGAGTCTCCATCTCTGATTGGACTTCTAAATAATAGTAAAAATATGGTTTCTTAAATAAAATAATTTTTTTAATCAACAAACAATGGACATGCAATACTCACTCGTGTTTAGCAGACTTTTTATTTTCGTAAGAATCATCTAGAGGCAAGAAATCATCGTCGCTGAACGCACCTCGCGTATGTTCAGCTGTATGACTTATAAGCGTGTTGAGCTGCTGCTGGAGATATTCAAGCCTTGCGTTAGTTTCAGCACTAAGATTATCTGAGCTCATATGTTCAGGTTTCGTTGGTGTTTGAGTCAAGCTCTTGTAAGAATCACGTTTTAAAAGTGGCTTACTCCGCGCCAATTTGCACGGTTTGTTCGGCGACAATGCCAAGCTATTTACACGTGGTTGTGCGGAAACTACCGAAGTGCGATTCAATGACTTGTCCGAAATATGCCACGAAACTGTACGTTGTACTTTTCTGAAAAAGTGAACAAATTATTTTGTGAATAATTCGTTTCTTTGTAAAAAAATTGAATATTTCTCATTTTAATTGAATTCTACATTATATACCTGACTGGTTTTTCTTGCGAGCGTCTTCTCATACTTCCAATTTTTCGAGCACTCGGCGATCTTATGATCTTATGTTCGGAAGACTTCCGGATTTTCAATTCTCTACTCAATCTTTTTGCTAATTGGTCGGCACTGGCACTGTTTTCAATATTCGTTTCCTCCAATAGATTTTCATACTCACTTTGAACTTTGGTAATAGGATGAGAAATTAGAGTTTCCGTAGCTTCGTTTGTTATACTTTTAAATTCCTGCGATATTCGCGATTCAATTGCCGATACTCGAGTTTTAATTTCTTCGTACTCACTTTTCGGTATTTTTACGTATTCGCCATTGTTATCATCCGTTGCTGTCGATGTATTAGGCGATGATAAGCTGCGGAGAGAATAATTGTGCGAAGACCTCCTTTTTGAATTTGCGCAATCGTCGGACAGATTAATTTCAGCGTCCATAAATACATCCTCGTGAGACTGCTCATTTGCCTCAGCATGTGGGACTTTGGCTCGTGGTGATCGTCGATATGGTGAGTCAATGCTTTTAGTTCGTCGGCGCTTTTTTGCTTCTGCTGAAGAACCTGTTAACCAACGAGATTCCGGACTGAAAGATTTTTTGCGGCTTTCAACAGAATCGTCTAGACCATTAGATTTGTTCTTGTGACTCCGTGGAACAAGACGATCGAGACTAAGTCGTAATTTCTTTGGACGCTCTACTTTTTCAGGTAATTTCCTAAAGAGCAAAAATTTAAGATTAATTGTGAAGTTAACCAATTATAATATCACAATTTTATGATTCTTACTGTTCGGTTGAAATCTTGTGCTTCTGAGCTTTTTGACTCTCTCGAACCGGACTGAAACAAATTTTAAAAAATTAAAAAGATGGTCCAAATATGGTATTGAAATAAATAATAAAAAAAAAAGAAAAAATCAAAACCACACAAAAACATACTTAGGATGCTCAGATACTTGAGGAGAAAATATACTACTGAAGCTGTAAGAACAACTGGGAGACAAGATTTCAAAAAAGTCTGTTCTGTAAAGACGGAAAATGCACACACTAAGATAAATTTGTGTATCAACATATTCATGTGAGTTAGCTTTATCTAAAATCTATACAACACCAAACAACATGTAAGTAATTTTAGTGACAAAATTGTTTGTATTACTACTCAATTAAAGCGTTATTAAAAGAAAGTACATACTGCCTTCTGAGATGTGATTGATCGTTGTTTTTACGCTTTTTTCCAACTTTAACAGATGGAGTATGTGACTGAGTAGTAGGCTCAGCAACAATATGATTTTCTTGTGTTTCTGTGCCACTAGGCGAATGGTTTTTACCAACCATTTTTCTTAAACCACTAATCATTCCTATAATAAGTATTAAATAAGTAATGAATTGTTTATAATCTTATGTATTTTTTATTTTACAGTAAATATTTTACTAACTGTTGAGGCTTCCACTTCTATGTTTCTTCTTTTTACTTTTAAACAAAGCTGAAGGATCTGACTTATCAATATCAAGCTCATCAGTACTTCCTACGGCATCCATATTTATTGCTGATGACACATCATCTGGTAAAACCCCAATTTTCTCAGAGTTTTCTATCAATATCTACAAAAATAGTTTATTTAAAAAATTTATTTAATTTCCTGATTGAATTCAACTTACTTTTATAATATTGAGATGAGCCTCCAGTCTTGTTTGAACTGCGACAATGGTTGATGTATCCGGTAAAGGCATAATATTAGGACCTACTACCCTAGCTAAGTTATCGATTCCCATTTTGTTTTGTGTTTCGTGTTGAGAAACAGTTTTTAAAAATTCCATAATAAATGCCAAAGTATTCAAGTGATGGGGTGGTAAAAGAAGACATGCCATCAGCAATGCTTCTTCCTTTTTTTCTTTCAACATCCCACACCTGACAAATACATCATGATAACTGAATGGAATCAGGGGTTCTGGTAAACTTCTTAGAAACGTTTTAAAGCAGTTAGCGACATCCAGAGGATTGTATTTATCTCCCAAACTTCCCCCATTATCCAATCTTGCAATTATTTCCTTTTGTTTGACTTGAAGACCAGCTTTTCTAAACAGCCCTTCCTGATTCACATGTTTGAGAAGGAAAGCCGTTGCTTGGCTCACGAAGACCGGAACGTGAACTATAGCACCAGATGACAAATTCACAACATCCAAGGGCAAATAAGACAGCGGAGTCTTGAAGACTTTCTTCAATGCCACAGCATTACGATCAGGTTTATCCGTCTTGATGGCATTTTTTTTAATGCGATATTTAACCCCGAGGGTTCGCAAATTATTTGCGACTATCGAATAAACTTTTTCTTTGTGCAATACGTCGTATATCAACATTTTAAAGCTGCTTTCAGAAATTAACGTACTTAAGACCGTATTATTACTTATATAAATATAATTTCTACCCGAGATTCACATAATCACTGAGAACATAACAACTGCTGCATCGAAGTTAAACGACACATTTTCTTTGTAGAGTCGAAAAAAATGTTTATTAACTGGACCTTTAATAAACACTCGCAGATAAAGTTGGAAAGAACATTTTTGCCGGCAAAACGCGCACAACAAGTCCTTCGCAATAGTGTCCAGGTGCAACGCACGGGCCAACGAGCGTGTAAACAATGCCGTGTATTTTCAAATTCGCCATTGAGCCAATGCCATTCGCAGAGAGAACCGGATCAGCAGTTGCTAGAAGCGATAGCAATAGGCTGGGAGCCGCGGGAGGGATTTTGTTACAGTTCCTTTAACCGCCAAAATCGTTAGGTCTCGTTTACATGTGAGCGTCGCGAGACTCGAGCCCTTGCGAGCACGAGGGCTTGCTCTATATGATACGAGCTTGAATCACTCACGACGCAAGTTTCGCCAGTTTAAATCTACGCCCTCAGGGAATAATTTTTCTCGATGTGAACGCGAAATTTTTCAGCTTCGGATTGAACGAAGCGATCGATTTATTATTCAATGCGTATGCAATATGCCTTGGACGTGCGCTGATCGCTTAAAATTAATTCCAAGCGGTTTGCCTGCGCTGGTCTGCAAGTGACTCATGCATACGCGCCTTGAATGCGTCGACTGCGGATGGGGGTGTGTTTATCTGTCATTAAATTACGTCTGCTACCAACAGGCGCGCGCGCGTGAGTGTTTGTTTTCCATACTCTACTATACGCGAAGGATTACACATTAAAATAGCCATACTTGTGCGTATACACGATGCAACGACATCGGCAAATAGCTCAATCGATGAGCCCGAGCGAAATTCCATACGGACGATAAAACTTGATGGCTCTGTTTATCTCTGGCTTCTTACACTTCGTTCGATAGGACTCGGTGTATGCTTGACTGAATATGCAGCTGTGAGCCTATCTCACTTTGAGTGACAATTCATCGGAACAAAAACAAACATGTGAACTCGTCGCGACATTTATACTTCTCGAGTGTTATCAAAATTTATCTTAGACCAAATGGCACCATCGAGAGACAAATGGGTGAAACGATTCGTGATATCGGAGACGAGTCGTCACAAGCGGGGCTTCACTATATACAAAGTCACTTCACTGGTAAGTCGTAGTTGATGGATTTTCTATGCGCGTGATGTTTTGAAAGATAGCGCGATGCAACTACTTTAAGTGTGTGTATATTATGTTTCAGATGTTTTTGAAATCCGCACCTGATGTCATCTCCAAAGTATCGATTTGGAAGCGTTACAGTGATTTCAAGAAACTGCACAGCTCGATTCAATCGCTTCATTCCTCGTTGAAGATCAAGGAGCCCATGCCACCTTTTTTGAAACCGACTTTTTTTCGACGTTTCGAGACCGAAGTTATTGAACAGCGCAAAGAGTGTGCAACAAAACTTTTAGAATTTATCGGAAGATACGATGCACTCTTTACTAGTGACATTTTTACCAATTTTTTTGATAGCAACATTTTAGATCAAAAATCTTTGGAGTCGTCTCATCAGTCGTTAAGCTCTGATACTTCTGAAGAAGATAAAGTTATTAATGCGGATAAAAACGATAGTGGAATTGCATGCGCAACAGATTTGCCTAAATTTGTATGCACAACTAAAGTCATGCCTGTGAAAATAAACCAACAAAATGATTCTGTTAAAACTAAGTTTGTCAATAGCCAAAGTGATAATAGTGACATAACTGAGCATGAACATTTCTCTCATAGTAGTAATAAAGTTCACCTGAGTAGTTCGGTGGTGGACGGTATAGAGGCTCTAAGTTTACAAGGTAAAAGTACTTCCACTGACGCAGTTGTGATACACAATGGATCAGATTTAATGCAATCATTTGGAGACTCTGCACAATATATACTTATAGCAGCAGCTCACATGAGTGCAGCTTTTCGTCATGAAGCTATTGCTGAGTACGAAGAAGCTTTTACACAGTACAAATTAGGAATTTCACATCTTATTCATGGTATTCAAAATGAAGAAGATCTGAGTAAAAAAATGTTGATTCAAGAAAAAATAACTAAATATTTGCTAAGAGCAGAAAGACTTTATAATAGACATCTTAATTGTAATGTTTCAATTTTAAATAAACCTGTATCAGAGTTGAAAAATTATAAAGTTGTTCAAGTGATGGGTTCAGTTATGCTAGTCAAAGACACTTTACAAGGTTTTCAAAGAATCATAAAGGTATGTACATAAAAAACAAATAAAAGAGTTTTATTTTCAATAAATAATGTGTTAATAATATTTACAGACTGTACAAAAAGTAGATGGCTGTAAGAAAGAAATAAATAGTTATATTTTGAGAGGAAAAGTTCCTTATATGGTACAACTTTATGCATGTATACAGACAGATTCTACTGTATTTCTAGTATTACAATATATGAGGTAACTTTATACAGATAATTAAATTTAAATTTATGAATACAGTTTAATATGTGTAAAAATAAATTGGTTTTTTTTATAGCAAGGGAAAACTATGGAATTTCATAAGAAATAATTATAAACCAAATAATGGTGAAAATTTACATTTAAATAAAAACTCAAGATCATTTAGTTGTGAAGCTGTCATGCAAATTGATTCAATTGAAAAATCAAATACCTTAGAAAATCTTCCTCAGCTTCATGCAACAAATAAACTAGGAAATACTTCAGTTATAAAAGAAGATAATACTTCTTGTTTTTTAAAAGAGCAGCCTGCAGTTGATACCAATAAGTTACTTGAGAATGCACAAAAATTATTGCAGTCAGTTAATGCAACATTAAAACGTAGTAATTCTATAGCTACTAGATTAAATGAATCTGAAAGCCTTATGTACAAACAAAATTCTCCAAATGGAGCTGATAACAGTATTTCTGATCAAGGCAGTGCTTTGAAAAGTAGTTTACTAAGTATAGAAGACTTTGAGGATATTAATGACAGGGAAAATTTCAATGAGCTTTCTACTAGTGGTAGCTGTTCAGATTTCTATGCTAACACATGTAAAATTCCAAACAGTATTTCAATAAAACCAAATAATAGTATAGTCAATATTGCCAAAGTAGAACAATCTCAAAGTAAACAAAATTCTCATAAAAATATAAATAATTTTCAAAACCAGTTGAAAAAATTAGAGAATCCTTCTTTAGAAACAGAAAAACCAATGTGGAGCATTCCTGAATCTGTAGTACAGATGTGGTCAGCTCAAATATTGCTAGCTCTTGAAGCTCTTCATCAACAAGATGTTGTGGTATCAGATCTGAAGCCAGATGATGTATTATTAGACGATAATAGAAATGTATGCTTAGCGTACATTGTACCTCGTAAAGATACGGAACTTTTGCGCTTGAAAACCCCATATTCTGCACCGGAACTTTGCATGTTTATACCACCAATTTCAATTACTACTTCAGCAGATGTTTGGAGTTTTGGAGTACTTTTATATGAATTACTAACTGGCTCTGTAAGTACATTTTTTGTACAGCTACAAATAAAACACAAATTTGATTGAGATTCAATTTTATTCTTTGCGACTTTTTTTTATACAAATCATAAAAAATTAAATTATAAATTCAATTAAATCTATACATTTTCAGGACTTTGAAGATAAACATCCTGGTCAATTCTACACACATTCAATTGTAATGATTCCAGATAACTTATCACTTAACGCTAAATCTCTATTACTACAAGTAAGATGCAACTGTTTAAAAAATATTTTGACATCATGTTAAAATTCATTTCATTTCATCTATTTTTCAGATTTTGAAATTTCAAGCTAGTGAACGCCCTACTATTCCAGAAATCAAACAACATGCATTTTATGCAAACATAGATTGGCTCGAACTTTTGAACGTTCAGTCTTAAGGCATCATTTTTCTTTTATAAAGAAAATAAAAATATTATTTGATTTGTCAATGTAACTACAAGCATTCACAGTTAACGTTGTTTCCATGAAAAATGATTTGTACGTTTTGATGTAACCGTTAGATAAATTTATGTACATATACTTTTCATAAAAATCTCATTTGATTCAAAATTATTTTGACCTTGCTCTTTCAGTTCTCTGAATTGTAGACATTCCATCAACGAAACGTGTTTTAAAAAGTACATTAGCATTGTTAAACATTCCATTTTTCAAAGACACTACAATAAATTGAGAACTTTTAAAGTGTCTTTTCAACATTACACCAATATTTTCGGTATGAGAAAGATCTAATGCAGCGTCTACTTCATCCAAAATATATAGTGGAGCTGGCTTAAACAATAACATTGCAAGGATTAATGATAAAGCTACTAGAGATCTTTGACCCCCAGAAAGTTCTCCTAAAGAATCTTTCCAAACACCACACAAAGCAATTTTAACTTCAAGGCCTTCCAGAACAGATTGATTATCTGGGGGTTCTAACTTGGCATCTGCCCCTGGCAATAAACTGCTAAATATTGAACCAAAATCTCTATTGACTTTTTCCCAAGCTTCAAGTAACGTCGTTTTTTTCTTTTCGTCGAGTTTCTTAATAGATTCTAAAATTTTTTTTCTATCTGTTTCAAGAATTTTCTTCTTTTTCAGAAGTTCATTATGTTGCTCTTCTTCTTGATTGAGATGGTGCATTGCTCTAGCATTAACTGTTCTGCTTAGTTTAGCTAAAAGATTTTCCAATTCTCGGGTTTTTTGTCCCATATCATTAGGATTATTTGCTTCAAAATCGTACATTCCACCTGAAAAAATTTTATTTTTCATTTTCGATTCAAAAATATTCGTTTCAAATAAGCAAAAGAAAACTCACCTTTTTCGCCAAATTTATTTTGTTCTTGTTCGATCCACTCGTATTTTTTAATATAATCTTTTATTTTATCTGTGCATTCTGCTACAGTGTTTTTAATTGAATTCAATTCATGATTTAATTTTTTAATTTCTAATTCTATTTCTTCTTTTTTCTTGAAAATATCTTCTTTTTTACTTTGTAGTTTTTGAATTTCAGCATTGTGTTGATGTATAGCATCTTTTTTAGCTTTTAATTTTGCTTGACATTCTTGGACAACCGCACTAATTTCTTCTTGATCAACTTTTAATTTTTCTCCCTTTTCTTTCAATTCATTAAGTTTTGCCTCTGCTTTTGCAAGTTGTTCTTTTCCACTTTCTATAGTCTTCTGGAGTTCTGATGTTTCCAAATTTAGAGTTTCAGATTCTTGCTCTCTCTTTTGCCATTCTTTTTTACTTGACTCTGCTTTTTTCTTGAGAACTTTCAGTTTATTCTCTGCTTCTTTCAATTGGCGTTCTCGGATATTATCTGCATCTTTTATTTGCGCCTCAATTTCTTTAACTCTTTTTGAACTTGTATTCTCTACTTGTTTAGCTTTTGCCATTTTTTCTGTTAATTCTTTTATTGAAGATTCCAAATTTTCAACCTTTAAAGTCACAAAATGTAAAGTTAATAATTATATTTGAATACCACTTGTTGGATAAAACTACTTTAATATAAAATAATTTTAGATATGTAAATCTTCATTCATTATAATTACTTACTTCTACTTTCAGTTGATGATGTGTGGTTTTTTGCACTCGTTGCACGACCATATCCAATTCATGCTGTTTCATATTGAATTGTTGCTTAAGAGAATTGAATCTTTCAGCTGTTTTGTGAATTTGTGAAATTCTATTTTCAATTTCTTCCAAACCTTGTTGTTTTTGATTTAAAGCATCTTGAGTTTCTCTCAACTCATCCAGTTTTAATAACATAGATCCTCCTTTAGCAGCGGCACCACCCGAAAGTACACCAGATGGGTCAAAAACATCACCTTGTAATGTTATACATTTTTTCATGATGTTATTATGATAAGCCACTTGCTTGGCAGCATTCATATCTTTACAGATAAAAACGTTTCCAAAAATCCATTCCATTGCAGGTCTTGTTTCTGGTGGAAAATCAATAAGTGATAAAGCAGTTTGCACATTGTCAGGGCCAACAAGTTTTTTGGCAAAATCCACAGTTCTTTGATCCATTGGTCTTCCACTTATTTTGTTTAAAGGCACAAAAGTGACACGCGATTGTAGTTGTCCAAATTTGAGAATTTTATTACCAGTCATCTCATTATCAACCATAATATTGTACAACTGCAAAATGATACATATTAGACAATTATTTTTTAACATAATTATTATTCAAAAAATAATTTATTCAATTACCCTGTTACCAGCTGCAACTTCCAAAGCATAAGCAGCTCTTTTATCTTTGATTGTAATAGATTTGCATACAGGTCCCTTGACTCTTTTTCTGTTGAAATTAGGCTCTGGGTCTTTGTAATAAAATCTTAACTGAGGATAGTGAGATTCAAAATTATCTACAATGTCTCCTAATTTTCTTACTTCTTTGTGCAACTCTTGTCTCTGTTTTTCCAAAGATTCCAAGTGGCCTTCTTGATAATTTAATTTGGAAAGTTCATTTTCATAATTCTTCAAATCTTTCTGCATGTCTTCCATCTTTTGATTATCTTTTTTGTAATCATTTTCAGTACTTTGCATATTGGATTTTTTCTTCACTAGCTGTTGTTTATTGTGAGTCAAGGTCATTTCACATTGTTTTATCTCAGTTTGAGCTTGACTTAGATTATTTCTTGCACTCATTAACTGTTGTTCCAAAGTAGCATTAGTACCATCTTCACATTGCAGTAAACCTGAACTAATTTTTTGATATACTTCTTGAGCAGCAACTACTGCTTCTGAATCAATGCGATCTTGCTCTTTTAATTGCTCAAATAAACCACCAACTTTTTCTATTTCTTTCAACTTGGATGCCAATAATTTTTCATCGTCTTTAATGTTTGTTTCAAGTTGTTTGACATTAGTTTCTGCTGCTTTGATAGTTTCTTTATTGCTATTAATTTCTGCAGTTATTTTATGCTCTTTTTTTTCTACATCGTGTAAATTTTGTTCTAAATCTTTCAGTGTGCCATCTTCTTGCTGGAAAAAAAATTGAATAAAACAATCTCAGCTTATAATTATGTAAAATAAACTAATGTAATTAAAAATACATTTTTGTACATTATTATGTAACTTTATAGAATTTTACTCACAGAATTTTTTTTATTGGTCACTTCTATGATTTGTTCTTCAATGAGCTTAACATTTTCTTCACCTTCGATAATTTTATTTTTTTGGCTTTCAATTTTGCTCTTAATTTTGTCAACATCTTGATTGGCTTTCTTACTACTATCTAAAGCTTGTAAGAATTTCCAAGCAATAAAAATTTTTTTACAATGTTCTAATTCTCTAGTTACTCGAGTATATTCCAAGTATTGGGCTCGCTCTTCTTTAAGTTTGGCTATTTTTGGTCCTAATTCATCTTTTAATATCTAAAATTAAGAAGCAGCATGTAAAATAGATATTATTATACTATGTTTATAAAATAAAGCATAGAAAAATTCACTAACGTCATTAATTTCCTTTAATTTACTATCTTTCTTTTCGATTAATTTGAGAGATTGAGCTTTTTTTGTTTCATACATTTTTGTACCCGCAGCTTCTTCTATCATTGAGAGAATCTCTGGTGGTTTCATATTTAGAACTTTAGTTATTCTGCCTTGCATGATAAGAAAATGAGGATTATTGACATTCAATTGCACTGAACAAAACATGTCAGAAACTCTTTTATTTTGCACATTGGATCCATTGATCATGTATTTGTTCTTTCCATCAATGACAACTTGTCTTGTTACAGTGATTTCTTCATAATCTTCATAGCCCATTGGCGATGCCTCACGATTTCTGTTGTCGAAAACAATCGTCACGCTAGCTTTTTTTATACCGGCTTGTCCTGATTTGTATACCAATTCTTGAAGAGAGCTTGCTCTCACCTATAAATTCATAAAATCGCTCGTTTAATTGACTATTAATGTATTCACCAAATAAAAGTTGATACTGCCTCATGGCGTTAATAATGATGCGGAAATTTATTTAACGTAAGGATTTTAACGAAATATGGAGTACTTACATGCCCTAAATTGGATATCCCAAGCACGAAACAGATGGCATCAAGAATATTTGATTTACCACTGCCATTTAAGCCAGTGATAGCGTTGAATTCTCGATCAAAACCATTAATCTCGATTCTGTTGCCATAGGACTTGAAGCCCTCTAAAACCATCGACTTGATAAACATGTTTGATAACTGTCACTTTCATCAATGAACACTTTCTCTAAGCAATGCACTAAACACTACTTTTGTCGTTTGTTCCTTCAATTTTTCACTACATAGATAGATACATAAAACCATCAATTCGGACTATGCGACGAGATGATAAACAAATCGACGAAAAACACACTGAATGGCTACACAGAACACACGCTGGTTTTCTTGCGCGCCATAAATACAGCACCACAAAATACAAACTGAAAGAGCAACCGTCCAAAAAACGGAGCAAAACGAAACAAGCGCACGCGCGTCGGCGACAAATCGAATAGTTTACCGCCAAATTGACCTTTCGTAATTTGCGCATAAAAGTCGTGCATTTCGCACAAATGCTCTGGTGCTAAAGAAAATTAATTTTTCAGAGATTTTTGAAAATTTCTTATTATTTCATGTAATTTCAATTTACAGATTTGATTTTTTTGTAGCAGAATACTTCCATAGGCCTATACTATCAGCGTGTATGCATAACCTGTGCATTCCCGCCATAAATATTGTGAAAAAAGACGCCGGCAATTTACGGGAGCTCACTCGTTCCAGGCTTAAAGTTGATTCTGCCTGTTGCTCGACGTTCGTAACTGTTTGCAAGATCATACGTTCGATCAAAAATTAAAATTGATCTTAGATCATTCTAATTTATAGAACTGTTCCGTTGGAAAGAAATTCAGCAATAAAACAATCTCGATAGTAATTTGAATTTCCGTAACAATGGCGATGGAAGGTTTTGACCAGGGTTCAGTATTTTTCTCTGACAATTTTAATACAGGCGACAATGATCAGAGTGGTAAACATGTTCTTCAAGTGTTCAAAAAAAAGTTTAAAGACTTTCTCCGCCAATTTCATGAGTGTAATTTCAATTTTAAATATAGGTAATGAGGAAAATATCTCTTATTTTTAATGTTATTGTTTACTCATAGTGTCATTTTTTTAAAGGGATGCCTTGAAGAGGAATTATAATCAGAGGAAGTTCTTTCTAGAAGTCAATTTAGAAGATTTAGCTGCTTATGATGAAGCTAGTGCAGAAAAGATTTACAAACAACCAACGGAGTATTTGCCTGTATTTGAGGAAGCTGCTAAAGAACTTGCCGACGAGCTTACCACACCAAGACCAATTGGTGAAGAAATTGTTGAAGATATTCAAATTTTGTTGAATTCTGATGCCAATTGTATTCCTATGAGAGGCATGAAGGTATGAAATTTTACATACATTTAATATTTGATACTATTGACCATTATGATTTTTTTAGCCTGATACAGTTTCAAAATTAATAAAAATTTCTGGCATCATAATATCAGCTACTGGAATTAGAGCCAAGGCTACAAAGATTGCTATTCAATGTAGATCTTGCAGAAATGTCATTCCTAACATTCCAATTAGACCAGGCTTAGAAGGATATCCTATGCCAAGACAATGTACTACGTTAGTATTTATTTAATAACTTTATTTAATATAATCATCATAAGCACTTAAATCTATTTTAAAATATTTCAGAGAACAAGCTGGAAGACCCAAATGCCCTCTTGATCCATATTTTATAATGCCAGATAAATGTCAGTGTGTAGATTTTCAAACTTTGAAAATGCAAGAGCTTCATGAACATGTACCACAGGGAGAAATGCCCAGACATACCCAACTTTATGTTGATCGTTATTTGTGTGACCGTATGGTTCCAGGAAATAGAGTTTTGATTCTGGGCATACTTTCTATCAGGAAAGTTGCCAAAACTGGTAAGAATGCTGGTAGAGATAAAGCTCTTGTTGGTATTCGGTCATCCTATATTCGCGTTGTTGGCATACAAATTGATGGAGAGCACACTGGTAGTGGTAAGAATAAAATTTTATTTCATTTTTTTATTAACCTGCATTGAATCAAAACATTATTGTGATATGGTTTTTAGGTACTCATCCCCCAGTTACTGCTGAAGAAGAAGAACAATTTAGAAGATTAGCAGCAGATCCAAACTTATACGATAGAATTACAAGAAGTATAGCTCCCAGTATTTATGGAGCAGTTGATATGAAAAAAGCTATAGCTTGTTTACTTTTTGGAGGATCTAGAAAGAAAATGCCCGATGGACTTTGCAGGAGAGGAGACATTAATGTTCTTATGCTGGGTGATCCTGGTACAGCAAAGTCCCAACTATTAAAATTTGTGGAAAATGTGTCTCCAGTAGGTGTCTATACATCAGGAAAAGGAAGTTCAGCTGCCGGTCTTACTGCTTCTGTTATGAGAGACCCATCCACAGTATGTTCACAATTAGTTATTTATTAAAATTGAAAATCTCATAGTTAAATTAATATTCATTTACAGAGAAATTTTGTGATGGAAGGTGGTGCCATGGTACTTGCTGATGGTGGGGTAGTTTGCATCGATGAATTTGATAAAATGAGAGAGGACGACAGAGTAGCTATTCATGAAGCTATGGAACAACAAACAATTTCTATTGCAAAAGCTGGTATTACAACAACCCTGAATACTCGTTGCTCTGTATTAGCTGCAGCCAATTCAGTTTTTGGTCGTTGGGAGGACTCAAAAGGCGAAGATAATATCAATTTTATGCCTACCATTTTATCTCGTTTCGATATGATATTTATCGTCAAAGATGATCATAATGTTGAAAAAGATATTACTTTAGCTAAACATGTATTGAATTTGCATGCCAATGCTCAATCTGTCGATGATTCTAATGCACCTGTTGGCGAATTATCGGTTCCTCTGCTGAAAAAGTATATCCATTACTGTAGAGTGTGAGTATCTTGGAATGCGAAATGATATACTATAAAATTAAAATGTTGTATTAATCCTTGAATAATTAAATACTAGAAAATGTGGTCCTCGTCTAACACTAGAAGCTGGCGAAAAACTTAAAAATCGATATGTTATGATGAGATCGTTAGCCGGAAAAGCCGAAAAAGAAGGTGAAAAAAGACTGGCAATTCCACTCACCGTTCGACAATTAGAAGCTATTATTCGAATATCTGAGTCAATAGCTAAAATGAGTTTGTTGCCATTTGCGACCGAAACCCACGTTGATGAAGCACTAAGACTTTTCCAAGTTTCGACTATTAGTGCAGCTTCATCGGGATCACTTGCTGGTACGATTCTCAATGATATTTACTTGAATCACTACAATTTATTGAATTAAAAATGAATTAAATCGCTTTATGCAGGTGCCGAAGGTTTTATATCAGAGGAAGATCATGATATGTTAACTCGCATCGAGAAAAATTTGAAAAAACGTTTTGCCATTGGAACTCAAGTCTCACAGAAAAACATCATCAATGACTTTGTAAAACAAAAATATCCCGAACAAGCCATTCTTAAAGTTATTTATGCAATGATTAAGCGAGGAGAATTGCAGCATCGCCAACAGCGGAAGATGTTGTATCGAATTTATTAAAAGGTTTGATGACTGTTTTAAACTCTTAATTTCATTTAATGAAAATTGTTGTAAAATCATTAAAATCATTGCATACCGTTAATTATCAATACATTTATGTTGCGACATGGATTTTTGTATGTATTATATGATATTTAATATCCATTAATATAATTTTAATTGTGTAAAATGAAATGTTTAGTACTCTTGTGATATCATAAGAGCTTAATTTTTATCAATGTGCTGTGTGACTCTTATTGAAAGTTAGTGTCATGCTTCGAATCTCAGTTATCATTTTACACTCTTGTTTTCAAATGTCAAATATCACCCATATTCATTTCCTAGATATTAGTTTCAGTTATAAAATTATAGCAGGAAACAATATTTTCCATCATGTCATAGATGTCAGGATTTTAGAGCCTATGAAGATAATTTTATATTAATTATTTTTCGCTATTAATATCAAAAATAAAATTAATTCCGAAGATCTGCATCAAACATGTTTGTTTGTTGTATTCTTAAGAAAAAAAATTATAATAATAAAGAATCGCGGCACAAACCGAACGCGGGTGTTGTGAGAAGTTTTGTAACAGCCATTCAAAAAATATTTATCGTAAACTCAGATGAAAGGTTTAGAATAATTACTTTTTCAAAAAAGCTATAAGTAGCAACGAAATTGCTCATAGCACCAGAACGAGGCATTTTTTAATTAGAGAAACTCTTTATGATATATTTTTATACTATGAATGCTTTAGATATATTTGTAAAATTATTCTATTTTAGTGACATTTAGTTCAATTTATTTATATAGATCAACGAATTCATCATCGCTTGATGAGTAAATAAACTGTAGTGTATAATAAGATTTTATATTTTATTTATGGACACTCCATCATGAATCGATTACTTTATTTATGGTTTATATATATTTATACACAAATATCTTTCAATTCATGCGTGTAATCATACAACTGGATTTTAAATGGAAGATCTTTAAAATAATTCATTTTTTCGAAGAATTAATCTTCAATCCTACAGTAACATATAAAAATATTCAAATCTCATTTCATTTACTTTGATGTTCTTTTTCCAAGATAAACAGCGGTAAACTGTAAAAAGATTTAATTGAATTCAGAATAGATGCAATGTAGCATCAACGTATAGAATTGTAAATATTTATCTTACACGTCGTAATAAGTGTCGATGGGGAGAATACGGCCTCGCTCACCCTCGTCCAAAGCATCGAGCTGTTTCATCTCGTCCTCGGTGAGCTCGAAATCGAAGATGTCCAAGTTACTCCTGATCCTGTGTGGCTTCGTGCTGGTCTGCAGGACGACGACGCCGTCCTGCACGGCGTGCTTGTACAGTACCTGACCGGTGTTCTTGCCATGACTGTCGGCTATTTTTTTCACCACCGGATGAGACAGCAGCGAGGGCAGATCTTTGTCCGTGCCGGCGTAAATCCCGTGGCGCACTTTACTCGAACCAAGACTGAAGTATCCAGTCATGACGATGTCGTGCTCTTTGCAGAATTTGCGCAGCTCGAATTGGTGCAAGTATGCATTGGACTCGACCTAAAAAAAAATCGTACTTGTACCTGTTGGACTTTTCGCTCTATCACTTTTTACCTGTAAGTTACTGGGTTTGATTTCGGCGCTATCATAAATTTTAGAAATCTCTTCTTTATTGAAATTACTCAATCCGATCGACCTAGTACGTCCCTTTTTTACTTGTTCTTCCATTGCCTGCAATTAGCAGCTCATTTAATTCACGTGAAAATTCCAAAACTTACGTTTATGTGCAATTACGTACGCGCCAGAGTTCATTAAGATCAACATTTTGGAATATTTCACCCTTGTCGCTAGCTTTGATGGTGTAGGAATCACCTCCTTTGATACCTTTGGGCGTATGTATAAGATACATGTCGATGTAACGCAAACCCAAATCACGCAATGTAAGTCTAAGATATTTTTCAACGCCAGCTGGGCTATTTGCAAATGGAGGCAGCTGCATACATAATAAATATTATTAAAAATGATTAGTAAATTATTATAAATTATTAGCGGAGAAGGAAAACCAGTGGGTAAGGTGGAGGTACAGAAGTTGTTTTTTTCTATGCATAAAAAATTTGGGTACATGTTTCGTAAGCGAGCGCCGCGATGCCTATTATTATATGCTACAAAGCCCATGCTTAATTTGCAAGCAATAGATAGATTTAGTACTACTATATGTCTGGGATAAAAGTCCCAGAGCACGTGCTGGGAAGCTTTTTCCCCCCGGATTAAGCCTGTATACGATACATTAAACCCAGTGGTTCTAGATTTTCCTGCTATTTGCCAGCTGGTATGAAAAATAGTTTTTTAATCACAAACATGAACTACTATTCTTCATTTGTACATGAAGTGGCTGTGCTTCAAAAATTCACAATTACCTTTGACAAAATGAAAAGTTCGTTTCGTTTACCACCCTTGTCGAACCATTTTTTCAAAGCTCGACCAATCGCTTTTTCCTTGTGGTAAATGTAGCCTGCATCGATGTACCTGTGACCGCTGTCCAGAGCGTCCAGTACAGCTTGTTCTACCTCGTCGTCTTTGATCTACATTGCATCGAGTCTTTTAAACATTTTTCATTTAAGATTTTCAATTTGCGTATCGATACTCACGTCGGATGTTCCCAAGCCAATGACCGGCATTTCATAACCGGACGACAGCTGAAATCTTGGCATCACGAAGTTGCATTGTGCGTCAGGTAAATTTATTACCATCAGGATCAAGCAGAAGCACAATATCACCGAGCTACGCATTTTGTACAGCCTCTAATGTCTATTATAAACTGCGTTTACGATTTCATAGTTCTAACGAGAATCGTCGTGCGGCCACTTACGTATTATTTTTTTTTATATCTGTCGTGAGAATTGATAATGGATATTTGACGCGTTAATCGTCTGACAAACTTGCGAAATTCACGCTCGAAAATTCAAGCTCGTATGTTGTTTTGCGAATAAAGTAATTATGTAATTCGACCACCTGTGCGATATTTACTTACGGCATGATCTGTTATTCGACAATTCAATTATTTTGAATTGAAATGATTAAACTATCAATAAAACATAATCTTTTATTAATAATACTTTGTACTATGTAAATCTCGAGTAATGAAGATTACACTCAACTTAGATCGTAAAACAATATGAGAGAAAAGTTAGCATAGCTGGAGCGATCAAATATTTTACAATATCCGCTATGTGCGCCATCGTTCAGCCAACAACACACATTACTCATGACCCCACTCTTTTCAAGGCTTATAACGCACAATACGTTCACTTATTTCTCTCGAGATTTACTCTATACGATACATAAATTAAAATTAATGCAACTAAAATTAAGTAAACAAATTTTAAACTCCATCGTATTTTGCGGTGAAGAGGACGGTGAAGTAGGAAAAGGACGAGCTTAAAACCTGTTGTAATAAATGAAAAGTAAAAGTTAATATTTGTATGCAACGAGAAAATTTTAAATTCAAGTATAAACTTTCCCACCTTTAAAAATGACTCGAGCGACAATTCGTAAAATTTGCCTGCAGTTATCTTACAAGCTTTTCTCGATCTCATTATGATCATCCGAATTTCGTACGAGGAGCACGAACCGATCCATTTGCTTCTGAAAATTGCCTCGGCGACCTCGAGACTCTTTAAATTGAAAAACGCAAAACTATTGGAATATGCTGTGATAGAAGTTGGAATAATCGATGGGGCACAGAGACTAGACGAGAGCTGGTATACCTCAGTTTGCAGCGCTTGAGCGGCTATGCTGTAAAGGAAGAGGTTCGTGGTCGCCGCCTGAAGAAAGGACAGGTACTTCATGCAACGCCCGCGATCTCGTAACATCTGAATGGAAAAAAATTGTCTTCACAAACAAACGACCTGAATTGATATTCTCATCTCATTTTCATGTATACCGTAGTGAATTGAAAGCCCGCCAAGCACAGCAGGCACGTGCTCATGACGAACTGACCTAGAACCAAAATATTGATACTATCCTCGACGTCGTCCGCGAACCTGCAAAACGGAACAAAATGCAACTTTAATTCTAATTTCGCACGCAACGGTATCGCTTATTTTTATGTCAACTCGATGCACTTGATGCAATCCTGATGGTGTCGTACGCAGCGTTTCACCTGTTGGCGCGACGTCCATTCGACGCTCTCGAAGTGTTTCTGCACGATCGCGAATTTGGCAGACCCGTGGACGGCGGCGATGAGGCTGAAGCTCGAGGCACCGGCTATCGTGCCGCAAGCGAAAAAGCCCGCCATCGAATTCAGCAGGTAGATCCCGTTGAACTCGGTCCTGCTCACCGAGCTCAAATTGAAGAAATAATAACCCCGAAAGGGTAAGAACATTGGCCCGTCGTCTTTGCGCAACATTATCTTGAAAAAAAGAATCGGAGCTGTACTCGAGTGAAAAAAAAAGAATCGAAGCGAATTATAAAAAGAGAAACCTCCATGTAGGGCGATATGGTGAAGGACGCGAAGGCAAAGATGACGCTGCAGATGTAGAAACTGGCGAGCTTGTAGTACCAGAGGCATCGATCTCTCAGCAGGGCCTTGTCGGCCTCGTCCCGGTAATTGTCCGTCCAGTCGTTGCGCATCGTCTCGACGATCCTCGACATGGAGGTGGCGTGCGTCGCGAACACCAGGACCCTCAGCAGGGCCAGATAGGCCGTCGACACGATGAGGCAGCACTCGATGAGATCGTTGATGTCGGCCGAGCGGCCGAGGTGGACGATCTCCGAGCTGCCGCCCAGGGTCAGCACGAGCATGCTCGCGTTAACGACGCCCCGATGGCACTTGTGCAGCAGACGCGACCACGAGGATCTCTTGCCGAGATCCTTCTCCTCTTGCTCTCGTCCCGGCCAGTAAGAGATCGAGCTCATGACCGCTCGCATGGGCCACGTCAGTTTCGAGTATTCCGCCTCGATCTCCATCGGCGCGGCTCCAACGACTCGGTCTTTTCTTTTCTCCTTTTCTTCCAGGCGATATTGAGAGTCGAATTGCGCTCCTTGCGTCGATGCACCATTCACTAGCGTCTAGGGTAAATATTAGTTCTAAGTTTATCGAAAGTTACACTTAGGCTGTCAACGCGGCGCGGTGCGCGACAGGTACATCGCTGCTCGCGGCCTACCCTCGTATTATTGTGTCGGCGTACGATGACGAACCCCGATTACCCCGATTAACGCCTCAACACATAGGCGAAAGGTCATGACGTTTGCGGCTCAAATTGCACCTGTGCGAATGGAAAAAGTTTGCCATTCGTATATAGTTAATATCGATTCTCGCTTCTTGTCTCGCGGACATTATGCGATGAGGTAATTATTTTCTGCCGCAAAAATAATAAAAGCTTCGAATTTTTCTGAATAACATTTATTGAGTATAAAAGAACATTTTGTACAAATAAATATTCATGTCGACTCTTCGTGCATCATAGAGTGTGGGCCATTATTTATGCCGATTGAACCTCGCTCACAAATGGGTATTGAGGATGCTTGTCGAGGCTGCAAAGAAAAGAAAATAATTAACAATTTTTATCGTAGATATTGAATTCTCGCAAAGATGATTATATACGATATTACAGAAAATAATGTCAGTCCAAGGTAAAGAAAATTATACAGTACATTCGTAGTTCCACTTACTCTTTGTACCAAGCGAGAAAGTCAAAGACTCGTCCGTATTTGCCCTTGTCCAGCTCGTCGAGCTTCTTCATGTCCTCGTCGTCGAGCTTGAAGTCGAAGATTTCGATGTTCTCCTTCTGGCGGGCGGGGTTGGAGCTCTTGGGTATGACGGCCAGGCCGTCCTGCACGGTGTGCCTCAGCAGAATCTGAGCCGGCGTCCTCTTGTACTTCTGGGCGAGCTCGTCCTTGACCAGCGGCACCGTCAGCAGCGAGGGCAGCTCCTTCTTGGTGCCGCCGTGGGTGTAGTAGCGCGTGCCGTGCGAGCCCAGCGGCGCGTAAGCCGTCACGACGATGTTGCGCTCCTTGCAAAATTTGCGCAGATCCTTCTGGTGCAGGTAGGCGTGAGACTCGACCTGCACGAATGACGAGCAAAGGACTTTCAGCGATGTTTCAATTTTCAACAAAGACAAAGTTAAAAAAATATATATGTGCGTCTACGCGCAATGATGTTATCTCGGGGACTCGATCGTTGCATTACTCACCTGCAAATTACTCGGCTTGATCTCTGCATTATCGTATACTCGAGCAATTTGCGATTTATTGAAGTTGCTCAATCCGATGGATTTGGCGCGTCCTGCCTTGACTTGTTTTTCCATGACCTGTAAAAAATCGATATAATTTTACAAAAACTGATCGAGCAAAGATTCGATCGTATTATTACCTTCCACATGGCGATGTGATCTACATCGTCCAAAACTTCGTTACCGTTCTCTGTGACAGCGTCCAAGTTGGCTCCTTCTTTGGAGGCCCATGGGGTATGGATCAGATACATATCGACGTAATCCATATCCAAATCCTTCAGCGATTGGATCAAGTACTTTTCTATACTTTCAGGCCGATGAGCTTGGCTTGGCAGCTTAGAGGTGTAAAAGAAGCTTTTAATATACCGCTTAACACGAAAAATTAATAAAACATCGTGTTTTTACCTTTGAGGTGATGAATAAATCTTCTCGTTTGTTGCCCATATCTAACCACTTTTTCACCGCTTTTCCGATTGCAGCCTCATTTTTGTAAGAAAAGGCGGTGTCAATGTGCCTGTATCCATTGTTTAAGGCGCTCAAAATTGCCTCTTCCATGTTGTCGAGTTTTATCTGAAATGATTACGATGACCCTTCCATGTAGTTAATTTTTCAATTGAACGCGAATGGAAATTATTTCTGATCGAGCGCTAGCATGGCACGATATTAGATAACTAGTTAATTAATGATTCTACTTCTTTGAAAAATTATTGTATTTTACTAAAAAATAAATAAAAGGAAAAACATAAAACTTACGGTAGAAGTACCCAAACCAACGACCGGGATTTCATATCCTGACGACAACTTTAATTTTTCAACGGCGAAACTCCCTTGCAAATTAATTGCCACCAGCAAACAAACGATATTTATTAATTTCAACATTTTTGCCGAGTTTTGTGTTTTTTCCTCGTCTGCCACTTGTTAAAACTTCGCGTTATATAGCAGTCGAGATCCGCGTCTCTCCTCGTTCGAGACGAGAATGAGGCTCGATACTGCTGGTCCCCCGAGTTTAATAACCTTCGTACGATTCTCGACTTTTGTACTGCGTGCGATTAACAACATTATATACGCGAAGCGCAGAGAGAGAGAGAGAGAAAAGATGTGTCAGGAAGATACAATGAAATCAAGTTTTTTTCCAATATTAAAAATTCGAAGTGCTGGTTTTTCAGATTCGATGCGTCGATTGGTGCTTATTTATCGTGGCAGTTAAAGTGTATGTACAACGAAGAGGTATAAAAGTACATAAATTTTTACGGCACGTGACGAGTCCATAACTTCGAAAAAAAACAAGGACTTTTGAAGGCCGAATCTCAAAAATAATATTTATTTTAAAAATGATTTATTTATCTGAGAATACTAGTGATTTTATTTATTTTGAACGTCTTTAAAGTTTTACTCTATGGAAATTGCGGTGTAAAAAAAGTGTCGTGAGGATTTCTAGTTTCCGCAATAATGCAACAATCGCGAGTCTCGTGTTTCTTACCGATGCTGATTATCTTCACCTTGAAGTCGCCGCCGCCGCCGACACGCACTTCGATTCGATCAACGAATGCATACACGTATGAAATTATGAACCTGTGACGTGGAACTTTTTTTATTCACCATGTTTTTCTTTTATTAGTGTTTCAACAAAATTGTCAATCGGCTCGAAATAATAATGCAATTGGTTATTTATTATTCATTTATTATTTATTCAGATTCATGATGATTAACTGTGTAAATTGAAATACACATGTATTAAATGAGCATTGAAGCTTCCATCGTATCGTGGCCGTGAATTAATTAGCCACAGTTTTCTGAATTAGTTCTTTCGATGACATTTTCTTTCTTGCACGACAACTTCTTTTCCATTTCCAAGGATTCCATAAATGGAAACTCCGGGTGTTTTTCAACGCTGAAAGCATTAAAGGATTATCATTATTCTTATCTCTATCTCTCTTTGGAAAACGTGCTAATTCATTAATTTTTATTTAAATTACCCGGGAACGAGAGCGACGAAATTGAAAATTCTTCCATGTTCGCCTTTATCCAGACTATTCAATCTTAACACGTCCTTTATGTCAAGTCTAAAATCGAAAATGTCAAGATTCTCCCGTTGACGTTGAGTATCGGCGCTCTTGGGTGTGACGGCTCGACCGACTTGCACCAGGTGCCTCAGCAAGATCTGTGCTGGGCTCTTGTTATATCTCTGGGCTATCTCTTTGACTACCTCTAATTCCACGAGAGGCATTAGATCTTTTGCAGTCCCGTTGTGGAAATAATGACGGAATATCCTTGATCCCAGGGGAGAATAGGCCGTCAATGCGATCTTGTGGTCTCTGCAGAACTGGTACAGCTCGTTTTGTTGAAAATAGGCATGGCATTCGACCTTGAAAGAGTTAGCAATTAGGCGATCAACGGCGCAACTCGGGAAAGTTTGTAATTAACGATAAAAAAATCTTACCTGTAAATTGCTCGGCTTGATTTCGGCGGCGTTGTAAATTCGCAAAACTTGCGACGCGTTGAAATTGCTGAGCCCGATGGATTTTACGCGGCCGTCTTTGACTTGTTTCTCCATGACCTGTAGATGGACGAGGCATAAGCGATCGTACAAAAAATATTCAACAGATAAATTTTTCAATGAACGTTACCTTCCAAACAGCCAAAATATCGGGGGTTTCGAATGTTGGTGTATTATTGGCTCTACCGTGCCAGTCGAAATCTTCAGTATCTTTAATTGTCCATGGTTTATGTATCAAGTACATATCGATGTAAGTCAAGTTTAAATCAGTCAATGATTTTTTCAAGTATCTCTCGACGCTTTCGGGCCGATTGGCTCGATCCGGTAGCTGAAAAACGACATTAAAGCAAAAAATTAGATATTTCTAACGATTAAAAGTTTCTCAAAAACAGCGAGTTATTATTATACCTTGGAAGTGATAAAAAGCTCCTCGCGTTTACCCCCTATGCCAAACCATTTTTTCAGAGCTCTGCCGATACCCGCTTCATTAAAATAGTCAAAAGCCGTGTCGATGTGCCTGTAGCCGCTTTCCAAGGCAGTGAAAATTGACAACTCCATTTTCTCAGCCGGGATCTGTGCGAGATAAGCGATACACGATCAACGAATATACTTCTCGAGTGATTGAAAAAAATAATCGTTATGATGTATGTCTACTTACGGTGGCAGTTCCCAGTGCGACCTTTGGCATGTCGTATCCCGATGACAATCGGATTATTTTGGAAGCACCCGCGATGTTCAGGGTAGCAACCATCACCAGAATAAAACCAATGAATTCCATATTAGCAAGTCACTAAGTACTCGACGTCAGATCAGCCTAAAAGCGACTGGGACGAGTTACCGGTTGAAAGCTCGCAGGTAGCCGATGTCCGTAACGGTTTATTTACTTCGGCTCGTGTTTACAGTCAGTACAATGACGATGATTAGACAATAGGACAAACATTTTCAAAACAAATCCTCGGCTACTTGATACAATAATTGGTTCAAATTATATCGATGAGCCTTAAATAATATTCTATTATGTGAAATAATATTATATGGAATAAAATTATGTGGAATAATATTATATCAGCGATTATTGGCATTATGTAATAATCTTGATAACGTTAACTATTTATGCAAGGTTAATTTTCACAGTTTTACCAAACGATGATTCATGCAATGCAGCGTTTCTATGAATACCGCATAAAGAAATAATTTTCCAGTATACTTTGTTGCGATTTTCTTTCGAGCTCGCAATTATACAAGATTCTGATTGTATTGTTATGATGAACGAAAAAGCCGTTAATTTGAAAATAAAGGTCTATTTATTTTGTACAGCCTTTATAATTGTGTACAGAATTCGCATCGCTTACAGTTTGATTAATTTTATGAATAAATTTAAAATGATTTTCATTGATACAATTTCATGATGATTTCTTGGGTATTTGACTGGTGTAAGGGTACTCTGGATGATTTTCAACTCTGAAAAAAAGTCATGCGTTAGGGGGAGAGTTTACACAGCTGCGTCGTATTAGATAATTACGATAAAAGAACTGACCCTTTGAAGACCAAAAAATTGAATATTCTACCGGACTCTCCTCGGTCCAGGCCCTCCATCGTCTTCATCTCCTGGTCGCTGAGCTCGAAGTCGAACAGGTCGATGTTGGCCTTGATCCTCGCCGCGTTCGTGCTCTTGGGTATGACGATGACCCCGCTCTGGACGGCGTGGCGCAGCAAAATCTGAGCCGGCGTCTTCTTGTGGGCCTCGGCGATCTTCACGACCTGCGGATTTTTCAGCAGCTGCGGCAGGGCCTTGCTCGCGTCGGTCTTCTTGTCGGGGCTGGCCCCAGGCGAGCCCAGAGTACTGTAGGCCGTCACGGCGATGTTGTGCTTCTTGCAGAGCTCGCGCAGTGGCTTTTGCTGCATGTACGCGTGCAACTCGACCTGGCAGAGAGAGAGAAACGAAAAAACATTCCATTATTGTAGAGTCCAAGTTGTATTGCTCGAATTAATTTGCGTACTTGCAAGTTACTCGGCTGTATTTCGGCACTGTCGACGATCCTCTGAATTTGGGACTCGTTGAAGTTGCTTAAGCCAATGGAACGAGTACGACCGGCTTTCACTTGCTTCTCCATTTCCTACTCGTCGAATCGAGCACAATTAGTTTCCACAGCGAGCCAAAATCACTCGAAAGTAAGAAAATATCGATGCACTGATATTATGGGACGTACCTTCCACGTAGCCACGAGGTCGTTGGTCTTATCCAGTACGATGCTGCCGTCTTCGTTCATAGCGGGTGCCTCCTTGTTCGGGTCTTTCACGAACGACATGGGCACGTGAATCAAGAACATGTCGACGTATTGCAAATTCAATCTTTCCAACGATAGTTTCATGTATTTTTCCACGTCCGAAGCTCGATTCGAAATCGGAGACAACTGAATAAAATCGAACGAATTGTCGTCGGTTACAACGAAAAATTGCTTGCAATTTGAAATTAACCGATAGTATTATAGCCGCAACGATTTCACTGACCTTAGTAGTGATAAACAAGTCTTCTCGTTTACCCCCTTTATCGAACCATTTCTTCAAGCTCTTGCCGATGGCCTCTTCGTTGGCATAAATAAAAGCTGTATCGATGTGTCTGTAGCCGCTCTCCAACGCAGCTGTTATGGCTTTGTCCGCGTCGTTCGGGGCCAACTATGCACACAATGCAAAGTAATTTTTACTCTCTATATCACTAAACATTTAGCTGCACATCCTTGAATTAAAAATCTCTTAAATACCTGCCAAGTTCCGAGTCCAACCACTGGCATCTCATAGCCGGAGGATAATTTAATGCTCGGTACTTTTGCCATGACGACGGTTGAAAGGCTTATGCACAAGAAAAGCAAAATGTATCTAGAAGAAATAGCATATCGTAAAATTGCATTTGAGGTAGGTTTTATCGGATCGCGCAATTACGCGTAACAACTGATATCGCGATATATCTTTGAGTCTATTACTATCTGTTGCTCTATCGATGCAATAGATTACTCTTGTTGACAATGAGTTTAAAAAATTGCAAGTATTTAAAGAACGACAAAGACATTGGATACCTTAACGACACCATGATGCCGGTTTGAAGAATACGGATCAACTGAGCCACGTTCGGGCAGAAGCTGCATCTCTTATACCGATAAATATGGAAAATTACTGTCGAGATGCAAAATTTTTGTCCGCAGCAATATCGTCGGGGGCATTGCGAGAATATACATCTTCTCAGAGAAGAAAATAAAAGGCACGAATAGCGCCTAATTACAACACTATTTAAAGTAGTTATTGTACGCGGCGAGCAATAATAACTGCTTGTCGAATCGCAGCCGAGAAACGCCAGAGAGGCATTAAATTTTTTTTACCTTGCCACAATTGAGAAAATGACATTTATCGCCGAGGAAACGATCGATTTACGCGCCTCGATACGATAAATCTACAAAACGATTTGCAAAAAAGGCCGGAATCATAAGTTTTAATTGAATAAATGCTGAGTATGAAGAAATAATTGGGAGCAAAAATCACTGTTTACCTTCAATTTGTACATTTACTAAACAATGTCCATTGATGATGAACTAAACACAAAAATGAATTATCGTTCAGTAAACTCTCTTTAGAATTTTTTCAACGAAACATAAATCTTCTCGTTTTTTCATAATTTAAATGGATTTTGATATTTAAATTAGCGAGTATATTACTTAATGAGAAATTAAAACTTATTAATCGAATGATTTGTTTATTGATAAAAATGATGAATGTTACATACAAAAATCTTGTACACTAACTCTATTCTTTATTTATATTACTTGGCAGGATTCAGTCAGCATTCTTTCCAGTTTTAAATTCAACTTTTACTTGCGAATAGTTCTAAATTTATCATACGACTGAATTATAATTGAATACATCTGTGTTTATTAAAAAAATAGTTCGGAAAAAGATCTGATTTCATGGAAGATCGCATTAATCATATTGTATACACGGGTAAACGAAAAAGTTTGTAAAACAAGTGATGTATGTCTTTCTAAGCAAACGTCAGCATAATCGCAGTTATCAATAATATACAGTCCGTAAAGATGATTGAAATTTTCAGAAAGTGAAAACTGGATAGTAGTATATAAACTTTATTACGCGCTACACGATGCACAGGCTTGAACGGCTTGAAACATAATTCCAGGGATGTAATAGATAATGGCTCATAGAATTGAATCAATCATTCTTCTTTCTTATATCAGTGGCAAAATAGAGTTAAAATGATTTCGATCTTAAATTAAAAACAAAAGTAATATGCAAATATTTTTGTGAAAACACGTTTTCTCAAATAACATTTTTGAACGGAAAAAAATTCAAGTAATTTTCACGTTCCAATAAATAATAAAACTTGTAAGTTATCAAAATTGCTTTTTTTGCATTATTTTATTGTATTAAATAGCAATTACTCTTATAAATGTAAAAACTTGCTCCAAAAGGATTATACAATCGAAAAATAGTTGCTTTGGGATTTATTTGAATTTTTTTGGAAGTAGTGCTCGGAAGAAAAATTCATTTTCGTATTAAAAACTAGGGGATGACATTGTTTTTAAAATTCAAATCGTATGAATCGTGTCAAGTTCTCTTTCCAGTTCTGGAAAATTGTTTCGAAATATAACGGCTCTAATATTTAAAATACCTTTGTGTAAAGCAATTTAAACATTGCTGCAAAATTAATTTTATCAATGCACATTCATAGAGTCTGGTACCAGCGCACTAAACGCGTACATAATATTATATACAGGAGGTGCACAAGTAGACGTTTAAATAATTCACTTTTATCGAGTATCCCGCATGTGTGCGGTGTATAGCTGCAAGTGTAAGTTGCTTACTCTCTTTTATCGAACTGCCTGATATAATAGCCAAGAGCGTCTATAGCTTGGGTGAATATTATGCAAATCTTGCGGACGCGAAGCGAGTGAAATATAACATTTTTTACGCCTGTACGATAATCACTTGATTTTCTATAAGTCACAGCGCTCCGATGAAAATGTACACGAGCGAGTATATCAATAATTGAACCGGAAAACCATGTAATCTCTCCAAGTGCGCCTTCTATATGACGAATCGATACGTTAATTTTGAGCCAAGTTTTTTACTCTCCACCAATACAGCTTCATCGGGCATTTATACATAAGACAATGTAGCACGAGGAAAAAATGCCTCCCGAAGAAGAGCAGCAGCTGTAAAGTAGTTGCCGCAATTTCAAAGTGGGGATTATAGTACACGATAATAAGTGGCGTCGATGAGCCATGTACGTAGTCGTTTCAGAGACACGTGTGCGTATGTGTGCGATCGTGTGTGAGCTTTCGCACAATACAGCTACACACAACGTGCGGGCAGTAGATCGCGACGAGCAGAGAGCATTGTACATAATAGCGCGGATGAGCATTTTAAACATACAAGACGAGGAGCGTCCGGTACAGAGGATACAACGCCGAGCGAGGGGCCTCTGTCTCTGGTATTTATACGTATATTATGCTTGTTTTTTTGCCTTCTTAACGTTTTTGCCGGGTGATCTTTCGGGTTTTTACGATCGACTTTTGAAGCTACCTCCGTTTGCTGCGCCCATTCACTTTTGGTTCATTGAAATCGATCGTCGATTGAGTCGCGCGCGTCGATTATCGTGGGAAAACAAAGCCACGGTCGATGCGCTCGAATCACAAGAAGGGGGGAACCGCTCAAAAATTTTCAATTATTCGTAAAAAAAATCAAAATTCATTAATTACAATGAGCCTACGTTTGCAAGAAAATAACCTATATCTTTAAGACGTTGAATCATCTTAACGTTACTTTGTTTTGCCTTCAAAAGTTTTTTGACGCACGATAAGATATGTGAATTCGGATTATGAAACTCTCGATATTTTTACGCTCGTCCACACGTTTATATACTATTGCTGCGATTCTCTCTCAAGAGCCGAGTGATAATAAAGACATCACGAGTGGCAGTAAAGCTTTGTAAACTATGAACTTGCTAAAATCGACCGCTAGCTAAATTTTAATTTCTAAAGTTGCGTTAATATTGCAGTATTATATTCCATAATGCACGAGTAAGTAGGTATAAGATAAGCTGAACTCACCCCCCGCGATTATCATGTATAAATTAAAGCTATTGACACCTAGAACTTTCTCTTTTAGCTGGTCGCGTACTAACGTCGTTGCTACTGACGCGATTCTAGCATGGTATCGTTTTTTTGTTGGGCGCTTCAAATTTGAATGAGCTGGCGCGCGAGGTTCCTCGTTGCAGCCCCCCGCAGCTAGCTCGCAGCTGTCAGTTTGCAAGCGCATCTCGTAAATGTGTGTGTGTGTACGTGCGCGCGCGCATGGAAATCGATAAAAGCCGCCGCCGCAGCGGCGATAAAAGCTCCGGAGCTTACGCGCAGGCGTAAAAGCTCGGAGAGTTACAGCTGAAAATCGTCAGCTGTAAACGACGACAGGCAGTCGCGGACGCGCCGAGCGCACGTGCTTATGTTTGTATGTGTATGCGCGTGCGTGACATGTGTGTGCGTGAAAAAGTAACAGCCAGGCCTACATGACACACTCGCGCGGCTAAGTTTCTGTTGCTGTGTTTTTTTCTGATTTAGTAGTGTACCTTTTTATTTTCCCGTTTTTCTCGCTTCGTTCCATAGCACGTGGTCCGCGAGGTGAGCATCAGCTGACGTTTTTTTTTTTTTTATATCAATCGAGGGGGTAAGTACGTACCAACACTCGTGTGCGAGAAACGTATGACAAAAATTATAAACGCCGTGGCATCGGATGTAAACAAACGCTTGACATTTTTCCTTCGCACCTATGAGATAGTCGCGCGTTGCAGCTGCGATCGTGTGTTTATTCGCGCTATATATACGGTAAAATCGATGACTCGCGTCGCAGACGGATTTATCAGTGACAACTTCCATCTGCATAAATCGCCCGCACGCGTCACCTGTAGATCGAGCAAAATTCAGAGATAAAAGTTTAGCTATTTTTATCGCTCGCGCTGACTCATCGTAGGATGATTTTCACCGAGATAACGAGGAACATTGTACATACATATAATCGCTCGAACGTATAGATTGTTACCGGAATTTCTCATATTATCACGATGGCAATAACGAACGATGAAGCGCGACGAATAAAAGCGAGCAGCTGACACGAGCCCGTCGCAATATGGACTAATCGGGTCTCTGCGCTTTTAATCCATTTTAACCGCACGCTCTGACCCACTGGCCCTCGCGCACGTGGTGCAAGCTTCGCTATATATACGTGTACATTTTGTTTCAATGTATATGCCGCATGCGTCAATAGGTAAATGCCACGTTCGCGCCAAGTATACGACGCGCTTTATTGACTTTTTGATTTTTCGCCTACACAATTACAGCATCGCCTTATTCGACACTCGGGGCTTGGCGTTATTATGTAGGAGTGTACGCGCGAAATAATTCATCGATGGAGCTGTGCAACTATAAGGAAGCGTTTAGCATAGACGCGGTCAAGAACGATCGATGGAATCGACACGTTGTGCGCTTGGCTGGCTGAAAGTCAGCCAAGAGTAAAGAGCTTTGATTTCCAAATTCAACCTCGGTACTCGAAAAATATTCCGAAAATAAGCAAAACAAAAAAAAAACAACAAAAGAGAGAGGCTGACAAACAAAAAAACAATCGATAAGGTGTATTTTATCGCTATCGAATTGCACTCGAGTGCCGTTATCGAGTCATCGACACATTGTACCATTGGCCGACGTCGACGCCGATCAACGTACACGCTACATATGCACAGTAGACAGTAGACCGGATGACGCGAGCCCGGGTCTATACCACACTCGTTACATTACAACACTTCCAATATAGGCACAGCAGCGGCACATAGACGCGCATTAGAGGCGGCGAGCGCGAGAACGGACAGATATCGAGGCCAGTGAGTAATTTAGCGCTGTTTAGAGCCGCATTACATGCACACACAGACGACTCGTCCGAGCTTTAGATCGTTTCCGTCTCTTGTGGCCTATAGCCAGTCGAGCGGTGCAGCGACGCGCAAAAAGGGCTGCAGCGCGAGCAGAGAGTGCGGCTATCGCAAATTATCGAGACGAGAAAGTGATTCACACCTTGGCGTTGGCCGCGATAATTCAAGCCTGCAATCGTTGTAATTTGCAGGTGTACCGCGCTGCTGTGCGGCACCGGATGAAGTTTCGAGCGATCGCTCCATGAACCCAGAAGAAAAACAGCAGCCGCAGCTTCGAAAATGCAGAACCGATCGCCTACTACCGCTACGAGCCTACTGGCGCTGGCACTCCTGCTGCTGTCGGCCGGAGCGTCGGCCTCGACCACCAGGAAAATTGCCGTCAGACCCGACAACGTGCTGATGGATTATTTGGCCTTTCGATACGTCTCGATCTTGCACTTTACCGTGCCCGAAAACGCCGTCTCGGCCGTCTTCAAGTGAGTACAAGGTAATCCATACGAAGTACAGCCTTTTAAATCGTTGTTCTTCCTTCCGATGTTATAGCTTCACCGTGTACCAGAAGAAGACCGGCGGACTGATGGAGTGCTCGCAGCAGTTCGCGGAGGTCCACGTGAAATCGGCCAGCGTGCCGCTCGTCCATCCGGACGGCTCCAAGTACAAGGCTAATCTGCTGCGCGAGCGCAGGCCCCACGAGCCGATGCGCGTCGACTGCAACGGCGACACGCACAAGATCTCGGCGGAGGCGCCCGCGCCCGGCGACTGGTACCTCGTCGCCTACAAGGCCTGGGAGGACCCCGACAACAAGCCCATCAAGCAGGAGGGCCTGGCGGCGAGCTGCGACACGATACTCGACGCGGAGCTCGTCATCGAGTACCCGGACGTCTACCTGCCGCTCGGTGTCGGCGACGACGACGAAGAGTGGAACGAGCGCAGCGGCATCGGCCTCGGAAGCAGCCCGAACCTCACCACGGCCCTGCTGGAGTTCTACGTGCCCGCGGGTAGCCCGAGAGCGACGCTGTTCGTGAGGTCGAGCTGCGGCGGCGAGTGCACGCTCAAGCTCCACCTCGGCGGAGTCAGCGATACGGTGCTGGAGCGCGAGATCAACGACACGGAGACGAGCCTGGAGTTCAGGCCGCGCGACGAGCCCCTCCACCGGCTGCTGCTGAGATTCATGCACGGCCCGGCGACCAACCTCAGCGTCCAGATCCAGCCGATCTCGTCGCAGGACCTGCAGCCGGCCCTCGACGTCACGGACTTTCCGCTCGTCAGATACACGCTGCCGGACTTTTTCACCTTCAATTTCAATCACGTGGTCGGCAGCAACGCCAACGAGTCGGCCCCCCTGAATCTGTCGGCGACGAGCCTCGGGGTCATGCGGTTCCGAATCGAGGACGCCCTGGACACCGGCGGCACGCTCAGCGTCGGCCTCAAAATTCACGACGACGAGAAAAAGGACAACGTCGTAATCGTCGCTTGCGTCTCTCATGGTTCGTATCATCCTAATAATAATATTTATTTTTGAAACATGTAAATCTTCGTGTTCTTCGCGCGCTACCCAAAGAAAGCGAATTCGTGCAGTAGAGTCGTCTTGTTGTCGTTGTTATTGTTGTTGTTGTCTCGGTATATACTTTCGATCCATTAGATACGCTCGAGATGTCGGCAAAAATGATTCGGCGCCGGCACCGAGCTGCGACGTCATTATTCGCGCTGCTGGACTTTTTCACTTTCCAACTCGGGACATGCTTACATACTGCACCAAGTCTTATGCTCGCACAAAACGTATAACATAGCACACGTATATGCGAAAAGTAACGTTTTTATATAATTCCACTTTGAACGCGTACACAGGTAAATACGACGCAATCTCGTCCCTGGGCCAGTGCCTGCGCGACTTGGACGACTCGACGACGAGCGGGGCCGACGTGTACGTGGCCAACTCGAGCGTGGCGGACTTTGTGCACGTGCCGTACCCCGAGACGGGCAACTGGCACCTGTCGCTGCGGGCCTTCTGCCTCGAGCCCGCGAGCCCCGAGTGCCGCCAGTGCCACGAGAGCTGCTCGAGGAAGCGATGGGGGGACAACGGCACCAGCTATAACAACGGCTGCGACGAGGGGGTCTGCGCCAACTGCACCGCGCGGCCCTGCGACGCCCGGGCCAAGAGCATCGTCGCCTCGGCCCAGTGCGTGCAGAACAGCTGCGGCCGCCAGGGACGCTGCAACGTCTACCTCGAGGCCGGCTACGCCTTCTCGTCCTGCTACTGCTACGGCGGCTATCGGGGCTTCGACTGCAGCGACGACGCCTACGTGGTCGGCACGTCCGACGTACTGGCCCGGCTGCTCCTGCTGACTCTCAGCAATTTGGCCTTCGTCGGGGCCATTTACGTGGCCATAAGGCGGGCCTACTACACCGAAGCCCTGGCCTACACCGCGGTGCTGGTCTTCTCGACGTTCTATCACGCTTGCGAGGGTGGCGACAGGGTACGTTGGCATTTGTTCGATTTTGCCGTTTACGATCGCCGACCGACCGATGCACCGTCTCTGCCTTTTTTTTTCCAGAATCACAGCTACTGCCTGATGGACATCGACACGCTGCAATTCTGCGACTTCTTCAACGCCCTGCTGTCGATCTGGATGACGCTGATCGCCATGGCGTCGATGGGCTCGCGGCTCACCTCGTTCTGCCACATCCTCGGTGTGATCGTGCTCGCTGTGGGCGCCGAGAAGGACCGCACGGCCCTCTGGGTGTTCATGCTGCCCGCCGTCACGGGCTGCCTCATCGTCCTCGCCAGCTGGGGCTACAAGTGCCGCCAGAAGGGCAGTCTGCAGTACCCGGCTCGGCGCTACCGCATAATTTACCTGCCGCTCGGCCTCGGCGTCGTGTTCCTCGGCCTCGTCTGCTACGCCTTCTTCCAGACGAACAGCACCTACTTCTGGGTGCACAGCCTCTGGCACGTGGCCGTGGCGCTGGGCGTCGTGCTGCTGCTGCCCAAGCGCGAGTACATGCAGTGACAGGAAGCGATCGGCGCCTCCGCGGCCGCGACTGCGTCATCGCCACCGGCTGCTCTGCCCATCGGACTCTTGTCCTGCTATTACGCGCGCACGACTTGTTGACAGTTGCGTCTTGCGCGCCGACAGTTCCTTTCTGTTTTCGTCTCGAGACTACCGAGTCTGGTGCATTTGCTAAACCAAAAAGTGAGAGAGAGAGAGAAAGAGAGAAAAAAATTTGATTTTAGTGTGCCTTGAGCGAGTCTTTAACTTGTTATATGTGATATGCTAGTTACGATTACGGTCTACATTTGGCCTCAACAAAATCCTTCACTTTTACTTACCGTGTAAATCCTTCACTAACTTAGTTTTCGTCCACGTAGAACCGCGTATTTTCTTACCCTCCTGAACGATTCACCGATTTTTAATATTTTTATCGTGTACATACAATCGACGCACGCCAAATTCCTTTATTTAGTTCGACTATTGTTTTGTTAATTTTAAGAGCAATGAGTCGCATCGCGTATAGTCAATATTATAATACGTTGTCAGAGACAATAATTCGACTCACGTGTATTTTACATAAAGAAGACAAAAAAGAAATGCATTTATATATTAATTGTAATTACAATTGTAAAACACTGAAGCACAATGTGACTGTTTGCTTATAATGGTAAACTCGTTCACAACTGCAAAGAGGCGATGAATAATATAATGTTTATATTTTTAACGATTTTATCATTGTAAAAGAGACACGTACCGATAGACTTTACTTGGAAAGATAGTCTGTACGTGAAAAGATTCGTCTAATGAACGTTGAAAAAGTTGACCTTTCTGTTATGTAAATTAGAAACTATCGAGTGTTATGTAATAAAAACTACACTATTTTTCACACAATACTATCAGCTTGACTATTTATTTTTCATTTAAAAAATTCACAAAGTATAGCATCATTACAGTATTTTATTGCAGAGAGTACAGATCTTCGCTCTAAAGTCTTATCAATACATGATGTAATGTATTATCTTTACAACAGTATTGCGGCTCGGCTTATATTCTGCCAAAATCCAAAGAATTTTCGCATGAAAGTTTTATCGAATTCTAAATAAAGATTTATGACGTAAATTTAATTTTACAATCATGATAATTTGGAATTACCCTTTTTATTGTTTTGCTAATAATTTGAAGATCGAAACGAGGACAAGTTTGATTAATCAATGTTAGTAGGTTGGAAGTTAAAATGAGAAAAAAATCGGTGCAGCAATGAAGCTATAAAAGCGTGCTAGGTATTTCGCCATGCATCGGGAAAAGTAAACGAGAAAACCATGACAATTTTTTTTATTTTTTTCAAACCACCTCATGCGAAAATTCTTCCATCGTGCCCTTGTCTACAACACATCACGCAGCAGCTGCTGCCCCGGTATTATTTCCGACAGCCGTCGCTGCCGCCGCGAATTTGGCCATGAGACCGATCATGGTTTCGGCGGAGAATCCACACTGCCGATAAGTCTTGGCGCAGTTCTGACCCGTCCTGCCGGCCTCGAGGGCCTCCTGCACCGCCGTGCCCTGGAGCGCCGTGCGGAACATCGGACTGGTCGACAGAGTGTCGACGATCTTGTCGAGGGTCGATATCGCGCCCTGCTGCTCGTCCGATCGGTTCTGGGCCAACGACTCGGCCGCCTGTCTCGCGTAGGAGCAGGCGACTCGCTGCATGCAGGTCGTGGAGTCGACCCCGCTGTGGGCCAGAGCGTCGTCGAGGCGCGTCATTATCTGAGCGATTCCGCCGTCTTCGCCTGTGGACATTCGTCGACAAAAATCATGTTTCGGATGCCGATTTTTTGCCGATTTTTGAAAGAAACCAACGATCGAATAAACACTTACTTCTGGCGTAAGCTCCGTAGGATCCGGACAGTACGTAGAGTAGTTTAGGTATAACGAGAATCGTACCGATACCGATCACAGCTCCGAGCAACAGTCCACCAAGATCGATCCTCGCCGGTGCGTAGCTCGATACCCCGTAACCCTGCGTGGTGTCAAACAAACAATATGTGTACCGAGTAAATAGTGCATTTTATTGTATTTCCTAGCTATCCCAACACCGCAGGAATAAGAATCGCGCGAATTCACGCAGATTAATGAGCGACCAAAGAGGCGACGAATCGGACCATGTCCACGGCCGTAGCCACGTAATGGTACAGAAGGGACACGTTCCTATTGATGAAATTGGAAATGACGCATCGATCGGCGTGAAAGTCGCTACTACTACTCACCGTACTGTCGCCGACGTTCGTGTAGCCGAATCTCGGCTCGGAGGATCTCTCGTTGATCTCGTTGGCGGCCTTGGGTGCCTCGTCGACGGCGGCCTCGTTGCGAGATCTCGACTGGCTGGCTATGGCCATCTGGTCCTGCGACTTTGCCGATTTCTCGGCGTTGTAATCGATCGAGCTCGGCTTGAAGTCGTCGTACTTGGGTATAGCCGTGATGCTGCCTATCAAGCTGCCGAGCAACAGCAGCGCGATCCCTGACATCCTTGTTTGCTTCTGCATCATTCCGTCTGTGGATTATCGACTGGACACTCTTACTTTTTTTTTCACTTCTTATATGTATATATGCGTAAGGCGTGTGGTGGAGCGATCGATCGCAGGTGAAAAGTCGTAACTGAAACCTCGTAGGTAAAATGTCGCGCTTATATACAAAGTCATGCATCGAAAAGCTCGCTCACTGCCGAAGAAGAAGAGGCAGGATAATCGTCGGGGATGCGGTGTGTTTAGGGAACGGTTTCGCTTTCGTTTCGGCACGCCTCGTCAACAGCTTACGCGACGCGTGACGCCTCGTGAGGGATCCGTTTTCGTGTATACGCGCGAGCCTGAGCTACTTGTCGTCGTCTACGCAGGCTCTATTGTTGATTCGTGCCAGCATCGTCCTCTCATCCCGAAATAATTCCATTTTGCGACATGCGCGCCAAAAATAAAGGAGCTTCCGGCCTTTTTGTCGCCGCGAAAACTTGACTCGCGTTACGTAAATCCGTGTATGCGTGTACGCTCTTTAAAGATTCTGCAATTACTTTTGAGGAAAGATACGTCGTTTTGCAGGGCATTGTTTTGTCATTGGCGATCATAATTTCTCGTTGGGACATCTTTCGCCCCGAGATCCTTCCTTACTCGCGCTGTTTGCTTTCTTCATACGCGTACACACGTCGCGATCGCATGGCATATCGCAATCTGCACCTGCTTCGATAACGATCGGTTCGCAGGAATTATACAATTGATCTAAATATAATCGTACAGCTGCACATGTGCCGCTGCAGTTCTGCCAACACATCATTTTTAAGAATTCATGAGAAATTAATTTCTTCGATTGATGCAATTTCAATGTCACGCTAGCTGATCATAGTTTTTGTCGAGGCTCTTGACCCAGAGAAGCAATTATAAACGTAGATGATAAAAATGAAATTAAAAGCCCAACGCACCTCTGTAGCTCGAGAAAGAAAAAGTTTGCTATAAATATTATTATCTTTTCTGTCTGCGAGCAAAGTAATTGATCATTACGTGCACGTAACTAAATAAATACAGTCGCGGCGTTTTATATTTTCACAGGTTGACTTTCGTCGATTTCTCTTTTTTGTCTTTGAAGGAAGATTTATCATTGCACGGCTCGTCGCCTCGCCAACGATGTCGTTGACTCCAAATTAAGATGTTCGTGTATTTTTACGAATGCTCCTCGGGATGTGTTCGTCAAGTCGGGGCTGCGCGACGCGACCGATGATTTTCGCGCGCGCCGAGGAATCCGCGCATTTCCTCTTCCCCGATGTTGATTTTTCTCGCCCGAGCCGGTGTGATAACGCCTATACTTCCGCGTCACCGATAAAATCTCAGATCCGTACGAGTCCGAAACAGCGCTATATTACCCAAAGCTCGACGTTATATCTGCGTCTGTTCCAGTTATGCACTATTTTTAAGAGAGCTGGAAAGTAAAAACGCACACGCATGACAATTCGTTTCGCATGTGGTAATGTGTGGAAAATCATTATGGAATTCACGCGGTAGGCGTGGATTTTCTATTCAACGCGCCGCGATGGCTCTTCCTTCTTTTCTGGCTTTTGATGTATTTAAGTAGAGAAAGGGCGTTGGACGCGCGTTGGCTCTTTCATATATATTTGTACTCGGCCGCGCGAATTGCCAAGTTGCATTTTCGGCTGCAATCCGTACGCAACGCGGCAGTACTTATTTTTTTTTTTTCATCATCCTCCTCGTGTCCCAATAGACGAAGGTTCGATTCACTTTGGCGTAGTTACTACAGTGTGTTTTTCTTACTTTTTTTGTGTCTCCGCGAGTGACAAAGCTTTTGTCGACAATTAAGCGTATTAAAGAGCGCGGTGACACCGAGCGACGATTGTTTTCTCATAATTTACATAGCGACGAAAATATTTCGCCATACATTGTTCTCCCCTGAACGCCGAAGATGACGCTGGCCGGACGATGACGTTTGTCTTTTGCCCCTTGGTCGGCTCGAGGCCTGCTGTGCACGTCGTTGCGCTCTTTCATACGTTTAATTGTATACCTCGCGGGCAATGAATTAAAATAATCGCTCCAATTACGAAGCAGTCGCTCTACCTTTGTTGAATTTTTGCAGCATCCGTACAAAGTAGTGCAAGATGACAGTGAAGAATAAAAATGTTTCCGTGCTGATGATTGCTGCGATCTGCTGCTGCTGCTCCTGCTCGTTGTTGGCGAACGCCGAGATGCATCAACGCAAGCCTCGCTTCATCTCGTTCAACAAGAATTCGGGAAAAGTTGACGTGAGTCTTATTCTATCATCGTACCGTCGAAATACCGGAGCAAAGTCATGACGATTCGCCGTAAACCAAATTTTATAGTTGGCCTTGGATTTGTCGGTGCCGTTTTTATCGATTCCACTGGACAACAGAAATGGTCAAAGTGGATTGAGTATGCCCCTGGTGAACATCAATACCAAGTCATTGGCCGCTTTGGGTATTCTCATGGCTCTCAGTGCTTTTGTTCTGCCGTTGCTCATTAAACAGACGACCGGAGTCGACATGCACAATGGCAAACCGGCTGGTCTGCACCATCAGTACAGTAAGGAACATAAAAGTAATTGAGATGCAAGATTCGATTCAATCGCGGAAAAAATAAAATAACTTTCGCATCCAATGATTAGGGTCCGATAGGGCATTGGAAGAAAACAGCTGGTCTTCGATGATCAGCGAATCGTTGAACGATATATTCCAGCGCGACGCGACTGCCACACCGTGCATGCAAAGAATCGCTTGCTCCGCCGTTCACTCGTCCAAGAAATCCGACGATCCATCCAATCTGGACACGATAATCGAGGAAGTTTCCAGGTTTTATAATAAAAAAAACATGTTTTTTCCCCTATAAATAACAATCGATCGAAAAATATTCCGCTGATTTCAATTTTATTACAGCCACCGATTGTTCGACAACATGACCGGTGCGAGCATGAAAAACGCCGTGGATAAGGGGCGTACGGTCTCGAGCTTGGACGAATGCGCCAACTTTTTCCAGGGATGCAACATCGATTCGCAAGACATAGCGAGTTTATTCAAGATTTTTAACATTTAACGTACAGCAGAGCGGATTGAGTTGCGGCTAATTTTGTACGATAGACACAAATAAAGATCATTGCGTAATTGCTTATTTGACTAATGCAAACAATCTTCAAATTATTCATGCCCTTGAAAAGAAAAAGAAGTGCTAGATGATAAGGAATATTGATGGGCTGCATGTTTATTGTCATCGCATCTATTTTTATTTGATCGTTGAATAAAAGTCAATCGCCGTGTATGATGCGATGTCTACGTCAACCGCGAATTGGAGAATATAAATTTTGCGTTATTAGATTAATTGTCTCGCAAGCCGAGATTTTCACGTTCTATTAAAGTCAATATGAATTTACACCGCCAATTATACTCAACTTTATTTTTATGAATATGTTTGCTCGGAAATAAAAATAACACGTATATAGTTATATGATCTTATACGGATTAAAATGACATTGTAGTAATTTAATTGACGCGAGCTAAAATTTGCTCGGTTGAATTATCACACGGCCTCGCAAATAATAATTATAGCCCATCGATTACAACTTTTCGTAAATATTTATCACTGTATTTCAAAAAATTTTGAATTGTATAAAAGCGAGGTTTAAAAGCATGATTTATATGAAAAGTCGTCTCATTCTAACATTGGAAGTCACCGCTCTCTAAAGAATTGGAATCATGAAGACCTACGCTTTGGCCTTATTTCTCGTTGCTTTGTTCTGCGTAAGTGTCACTAGAGTTCGTTTGCAGCTCGAATTTTAGTTCATGACTAAACGTTTTTGGTATTTTTTAGGGAGCACAAGCCACTTTTACACCCCAGGCTCGTTTGAACCTTTTGGAAACTAGACTAACAAATTCCAATTGTTTACTGGAACGCTATTACAACAAGAGCGTCGCTCAAAATCAAGAATTGCCAGAAAAACTTTTGAACATTGGATTGGAAATCCGAGACAAAATAAACAAATTCGCCGATGAATACAGCACCAAAATTGTTGAACAAAAGAGTCTCGTCACTAGCTTATTGAGTGACAAAAGCATTCCGTATAGAAAGAGTTTCCAATCTTGTTTGGATGAAATCCGAGCATTCGAATGGGACCTCTTCAACAATAGGGTCAACGTTACAAATTGTCTAAGCGCCAAAGTCTCAGAAGGTCAAGAGGATGTATTAAAAACAGAAGAAATTGGCCTTCCTACATTGAATAAAATTCAAGAAATCGTCAATCGTATGGATAAATGCCGCGTGGAAGTTGAAACTAACCCGTCTTCGACCTGCGTAGCTTCGGTGAGTATGAAAAGTTAAAAGCAAATTTTGTTGAAAAAAAAAACCAATTAAAACAAATGTACCTTACATCGCTTAATAGATAAAAGCTGAAGTCGACGAAGTGACTCTGAAGGAAGTGCTAGCGAAAAAATTAGACCTTTTGAAGGTATCAACGAGAATCTACACCCTTCCAGCAAGACTGCGATCTTGCGGGCTTCAATATCCTTACTTGAGACTCCGAGTGAAATCCAGAGTTCTGTCTCAAACCGACAAATGCATCAAAAAAGTACACGACAGTCATAATAAAGTTTAAATCGATCAAATGTTATAAAATACAAATGAAATGTATTTTTCTAGTCTTTATTGTTACATAAATAAACGTTTTGTTTTCCAATATATAATTTTTTTTGTATTTATTCGTTATTTTAGTTAAAACATTAACGCTCTTATTAGTTTGAAATACTAAGCTAAGTTTATAAGTTATTTTATGGCACGTAGACGTAGTACATAATTGACTGCATCGGTAACAATCTAGTGAAATCATAAATTTAGAGAATAACATAATACAAATCTAATTTGGTACTACATAAATTTTAATACTGTTTTGGCCACAATTAACATAGCAAGAAAATATTTAAATTTTGTATCACAGAAATCTTACGCTGATGACCAAAAAAACAAGTAAAAGTGAAATTGAAAATAGATGCTCTACTATTACGTGAAAACAATCTGGTTCAGTATATTAGTAACAATTGCAATAATAACATGAAATAAATATGGTAAAAGAGAGTATTACTAAGCACGCATTCTCTTATATAGATAAAATCGTTTAAAATTTAAAAATATAGTTTAACTACAAAGATTTAAGACAAATGAATTCTGGGTCACGGAAAAATAGAATATTATGTACAATTAAGTACTACAAAAATAAGCCAATCACTTGTTAAATTATTTCTATAAATTCACTCTAATTACGACGCACGATATTTTTTGAACAATAAATTGATACATCTTTAAATGGCGAATACAAAAATAATATAATTTGCATAATTTTGATAAACATAATAGTAGTATATATTTTCTAACAAATTATGTATGAAATAATCTATTTAAATATAATCTAATGACTCATGGTGATAAAAATTAAAAGAACCATTAGTATAAGTCTTGAAAATTATTTTTCAAAAATAAATTTTCATCCTAATAAAATATAATACCTACATAAAAACACTCAATTATAACGCATAACAAAATTTAAACACCGCTCTAACATAATCAACAGTTTTTGTAAAAATGTAAACTACTGTTCTTTTACTTTTGTTCAAGTAGATTTAGAATGCATTGTATAAAATATGGCTTTATAAAATCCATCTAAATTTTACCAAGTTCTTGAATCATTAAAATTTTGTTTGTACCTTGAACGATATAACAAATAAATTTTTTTTTATCACTAAGTTATAAATTTTCTAGAGTGTGCAGTATCACGTGCTGCGACGTTCTACCTTTCTTTACCCTACATTTATGGCCTATTTGCCGAAATTGCTCGTTGAATGATTACTTTGCATTCAGCGGTGGCGATCAGTTCCGGCGTCAATCTCAGCATGTCACTGGCTTGAAGGTCAACTCCGCGTTCCAGTAAGAATTCCACGCACTTCGCGTGTCCGTGCATAGCGGCCAAGTGCAGTGGCGTCCTGCCCGAGATATCGGCCTGCGACAAATCGGCAGAAGCTAAGTGGTAGGATCGTAAACGATTGATGTTGCCCACGGCGGCTGCGCGACACATGCGATCACCAATTACGATGCCGCGCTCGTGCAGATGGGCTCCACATTGCACGAGTAATTTTATAATCTACAAATATTATACGATTATGAAAATCTGTTTCCAGTCGTTATCGCAAATTATCTTAATTGTTTTCATACCTCGTGCTTATCAAATTCAATTGCGTCAGTCAAAGGAGTGTGGTCGTATCGATCTTTGACATGGACATTAGCTCCCATTCTCAAAAGATGGTGCACAACATCTATGTCTCCTTCGCAGCAAGCTACGTGTAATGCTGTTCTGCCGTCAGCATTGATTAGAGACACATCGGCACCCTGTAAGGAGTCATTGTTATTTTCCGTGTCATAAATCTTACACCAATTTACGTTTTGACAACTTACGTATCGTTTGAGAGCGTCGAGCTTGGCCGTGTCTTTAGCTGTAACAGCTGCGAAGAGCATGGCCGGGAACAGTATCGAACCCAACTGTCTAAACTCTTCTGGTGAACTGACCCCGAGTGATCGGCCGACGGCATCGACCAGATCGAAATCTTGCATCGTTTCCGATCGTCCGGAAGTCAGCTCACCTCGCAAGCTCGTTTCCATCATGAGCCTTTTGGTCGCGATGTCCCAATCATTTTTCGACAGTACGTAAGCAAGTTTTGTCAAAGCAGCCTCGGGAGTCATGTCGTAACCGGGAATGACACCAGCATTGTCCAATATTCGTCCAGCTTCATAGAGTGACTCTACGCTGCCTTGTGGACACTGCGTTATATTTACGATGATGACCTTCCGGTCAGTAGCTGCTTTTAGCTCTGCTAAAATATCTTCTCGATTAGATGGAACGTTTCCAGCACCGTAAGTTTGTAGAACGATGCCTTGGATTGGCTCTCGACAAAATGCACGTACTAGTTCGGCAGTTATGCTTGGAAAAAGGCGAAGCAAACCTACCTTTTCACAAACTGTTGAATGTACGTGAAATTTTTCCAGATCAATCGATCTGAATATAGAACGATAATCCACTAAAATGGAATGGACCGATATTATTTATATTCAAATTCACATAAGAAACTAATTCATTTGTTTACGTACCATCGATTTTTATTCCAGCTACGGCCAGTGGTGCAACGTTCGGTGAATGGAAAGCCTCGAAAGAATTGACTGACGCTTTGGTGGTACGATTCCCTCGCATCAACTTATGGCCAAAAAGAACACAAACTTCAGGAATATTGTAATTTGCAGCAATGACCAGCGAAGTTAAAAAATTGTCAAGCCCATCACTTCTTGTATCAAATAAAGGTACTTGAGATCCTGTGAGAATTACGATTTTTCCCAAAGCTTCAAGCATAAAAGATAGAGCTGAAGCTGTATAACTTAGGGTATCAGTTCCATGAAGAACCACAAAACCATCAAAATGTTCATATGATGCCTACAACATTACATCCATGAGTAAATAATATTTTAATATTTACCTTTTTACAAATAAATTAGAATAATAAATTATACCTCAATATCACGAGCAATTTTCATCCAGTCACTCATTTTCATATTACTTGAATCACATAGAGGTGAATACTCCACTACATTGTAAGTTATTCGTCTGCTATCTGTATCTGTTATTCTGCACAAATAGTTTATATTTTTATATAATTCTACGCAATATAAATTAATTCAAATTGTAAAATTTAACATACGGCAGAGCAAGTGGACCCATTTCTCCAAATCTTTTTTCTGCATATTCTTTATCATGCAGATTTGGATATCTCCTTAAATTCTTGACAAATGCATTTGCAAGTGGGACTAAGACTGTACAGAAAAATATGAATTTAAATAATTAGGATAAAATATAAATATTTCTAAAAAAAAAATTAACTCACCTCCTTCTCTATTTCTAACCATTCCTATGGTTCCTCCTGTGTAAAGCACCAGAACTTTAGCTTCCGGTTTGACTTCTCCAGCAAATGCTCCATGAGATGAATTGTTTTCAACTTGAGATGCATTATTAGAATTATTTAGGATATGATTACGCACATCAAAAGACATATCTGGTGTAAAATTTGAAATTGTGTTGTAGACATCAGGCCAATCTGAAAATCCTGTACCACTCATACTAGATTTCTAAAGAAAAAAATGTTTTTAATTAGATATTGTTGAGTTCTATCGATTTATTCAGTGAAAAAACTGTATAAAGTTAATTTTGATTGCAATATATGTAAAGTATAATTTTCCGCAATTTTGTAAATAGCAATTAAGAATTATTTTCAGGCTGTAAAATATGTCTTCAATACTTCAAATGTAAATATACATTCTCATTTAAATTTTACAATAAAAATTTCGCCACTACGTAGACAAACCTCTGACACATCATCGCGTGTAACCTGTTCGACCATCATGGTCCTCCAGAAAAAAAAAACTTAACCCAACACAACGTGCAACTCGAAACTCAATGAAACTTTGAATGTAAAACGCGTTCATGCACTTGCACTTTCGCATCTATAAACTGAACACTCGCAGTGATAAGTGTCGATAATGAAAGATTTAAATTGCAAGTGTCAACAACGCATAAATACTTCTCCGCTCTAATCTCTTCTGCACCGCGTGTGACTTACCGCGTGGAAAAAACTAAGGAAGTATATATCAACGCGAACGAATTAAAACGAAAAAAAAACGCCATCAAATCGATAACAATGATTATTTACAGCTCGAGCGCATAAGTTGTTGAATCACATTTGACCAATCGACCTCTTTCACTCAATTCTACGTGTCGCCGTATCAAGTAGCTGTCTATATCTGATTTTATCTTTTTCATTCATTGCTGAATACATTTTTGAGAAAAGAAAACCGGAAAATTAGATGAGATCACGCCTTAATTGTTTATACACAAAAAATGTAAATACAATACCTATTCTTTACGAATAGTTGACTAAATATAGACAAATATTAGTCACGATCAGTCTGACACCTCAGAATGCAATAACACGAATGATTGCTCCAACATTCGTTCCACGTGCGTCGCTCAACGGTCTGCTTCTGCTGTGTCTTACACACGCGCACTTCTCGCTATACATATACACATACACACAGACACGAGAACGGAGTGCGGCGCATTGGCGGTAAACTTTCATTTCAACAAAAATGCGTAACTTTTATCTGCCGTGATCATAATAATTGCCGTATAAAATTTTCATGTTCACACTTAAAAACAAATCAAAACAAATTCAGACGTGTTAGTGTTAATTTTAAATAATCGTTTGGAAAAATAAGGAGCGTCGATAAGTTTAAGCATTATTCCCGTATGCTCCAACATCACATCGATCCTTTTCACTGCGCATGTATCAGGATAGAATAGAAAGTCGAAAACTTTTTGAGATGAAGTCATCTATATGAAGTTTTTACTTCACAGCTGGAACATGAATCGAAGCAACTGCTTCACCTGAATCAACCAATAGAAAACTTGATAAAGTTACTTACATGGTGAAAGTTGAGGGCCATTGACTCAACATTTATTCTACTTCTCTATTTCGAAAACCGGAAATTGGTGGACAAAGCAACTTCAATATTTTTGAAAGACATAGTTTTAAAATGACCGCTCCTCGCTACACCAGGCGTCCCAAATTTTCGCGCAATTTTAGTGCTTCTCATAAATGCAAAGACGCCTGAAACGCATGTATATAGGACTGTTGCTCAATTATAGCAGGCTGCAGCTAATATTCGCGCGAACTCCCTCCCCGCACAAATCTCCACTCTCTTCCCGCCTCTTGCCCCTCCAACGGCATTAAACACATACATTTTTATACTTGTTGGGCTATTGCGTTATATATAGATGTACAAAATACATGAGAAAAGGCGCAAAACTACCTTGTATATTATCTACACCTTGTAAACACGATTTTCGAAAATTATCATACCATATGTAGATACAACACATATAACATACACTAACACATAATGTCGGGGAGGGGAGGTCGAGCCTCATTTTAATCCCAACCAGTATACTTGGCGCTGCGTGCACAGAACGAACTTATCCGGGGCGGTCGCGTCGCTTGGCATCGCGTCCATACTCCATACGCATTTTGATATCTTTACGTGGCTCGTCAAGAATCGTACAGTGCCACTTTTTGTTGCTCCTAAAACGCCAAAAAATAAGTTTAAAAAGTTGCAGTACTATGTTATATAATCGTTCGGTACTGCATATTTGATCAGGTCAATGGCTGTGGGTGAATAATCGTTACATCATTGAATTATGGTAAGCAACAAGGCGGACATGTGAACGTCGTCATCATCGACTTCAGACTATGAGAATAAGTGTGTATTGTGCAATGTGTGTTTGTCTCAATCAATTTGTTGAGTTGTTATAATCTCGTACATTTGTGCGAATGTGCTCATCGTGACTGAAAAGAAGACATCTCTACGAGTTATTATTGACACAGGAACTGGTTCATTCTCCATTTTCTCGATAGATAGAACAGGATTCTTATCCTTCGCTTTGGTCTGTTATGTCCTCATTTGCACTTGTTAGGTTCTCATCCACGATCCTCGTCAGTGTAAACGTGACTTGTGTTCATAATTAAGTATTTAATGTGGTGCACATCAATGTCATATCATGTTGAATACGTGTCTGAAAAATTATCGCAAATTATGAGTTTTTGATCATTTTGATATTTTACTTGGAGACGAAAATACGTGCTGAGTGTTTGTTGTTTCAAAGAACAAACCGAAAGAATTATGTCTAACAATTTGCAGGGTGACGAGCCGGCATCTTTATTAGTTGGCACTGAAGTTAGTGCAAAATACAAAGGAGCATTCTGCGAAGCAAAAATTAGCAGAGTGATTCGACACGTAAAATGTAAAGTGACTTTCAAAAATGGTCTTGGAACTACTACTATAGAAGATACAGAAATTAGTGGGACGATTAAAGTTGGTGCTCTGGTAGAAGCTAACCATCCGACAACCAAACAATCTAGTGAAGCTATAATTAATAAAATTACTGATGCTAGTCAGTACACAGTTGTTTTTGATGATGGTGACATTACTACTTTGAGAAGAAGTGCTTTATGCTTGAAAAGTGGCAGGCATTTTAATGAAAGTGAAACTTTAGATCAATTGCCCTTGACGCATCCAGAACATTTTGGTAATCCTGTTATTGGTGCTAGGGGCAGAGGTAGAAGGTCTAAGCCAACTCTGTTAGTATATAATTTATTCATTTTTAATATAGAAAAATTCAAATAAAAAATTAACTAATCATTTAAAATTATAAGAGATGACAGTGAAGGTGAAGATGACCCACAATTGCAACTACAAGATGACGATGACAACAGCAAAAGTAACAATGATTCAAATTTTGCCAATAAAGAAGATAAAGAAACACAACCTGAAGCTGGAAAGGTAGTTTGCATTGAAGCTTTGGAAAAACAGAAAAAAAAAGAAAGTTGGTTTCCTGGAGTTATTGTGGCTCCAAGTGCTCAAACATCTATTAGATACGATCATGAAAGAGAATATCTAGTGAGATCTTTCAAAGACGCTAGATAGTGTGTACTTTATCTTTGTTTTATATAAATATAAATAAATTATTATATAAATAAATTATAACTTGAAATAATTTTAAATTTCAGTTATTCTGTTCCTAAAGATGAAGTTTTTGATTTCACAAAAGATATATGTAATGATGACAAATTACCAGCTGCTATAAAAGGAGCTATTGAAAAAGCATGGCTTTTTTTGGAACAAAAAGAACTGCCGCCGCACTGGGATAAACACTCAATATTTGGAGACTCAGTATCATCAGAGAATGATGATACTGAGATTGATCAACAAGATGAGGTATATTTTTTATTCAAAGAAATAAAATCTCAGATTTACAGGAAAAGTTGTATTTAAAATCACACCAAATTATCATTTAGTGATTCTGAGTGTTTAATTTATAATATGAAATTTCCTTTTTTTATAAATTTTCGTATCAATTCCAGATTTTTGATTTGTTCAAAATTATTGATAAATATTATAGTACTAAACTCTATTGCAAAATTTCATAAATAAACTTTTTTATAGAAGTCAGACGAGGAATCTCTTCAACAGAATGATCTTTTTATAGCTCATTTATATAAATTTATGGATGATTGCAATACTCCACTGGATAGATATCCTGACATTGAAGGAGAAGAAGTTAATTTCTACAAATTATACAATGCTGTATCAGGTCTTGGTGGCTATGCCAAAGTTACTACCAGTAATCTTTGGAAAAAAGTCACTCGAACTTTGAAACTTCGTGCTGGGTGTAGTGAAACTGCATGTAATCAAGTACAAAAAGTATACAAAAAGTACCTTGCCAACTTTGAAGATATTCGCAAAAAATTAGGATGTACAATGTTGACCCAAACTGGCACAAGTACTAGTACAAGAGGTGTTGGTCGTAAGCAAAAGTCAGCTAGAGGTTTAACCAAGGATAAGGATAGAAGTACACCTCCTCAAACGGAAAAAACACTAGTGAAAACTGAAAAAGATGACGAAGAAAAAGAAAAAAAACCATCTCAAACTATTGAAGAAGAAAAAAAACGTGACGCAAAAAAAGAAACAGTAATTAAAGAAGAGGATGTACCACTTGTAAGTTTTAATTTTTTTATAACTTCTTAATGCATAACTATTACCAAATCAAAAATGTTAATAAGAAATACATGATTATATCAAAATTTGTTTTACCTTTATAGTCAAAAATAAAAAAAAAGGAACAAGTGGATGACAGTGCTAGTGGAGGAGATAGTGATATAAATAATGAAGGAGAAGAATCATCCTGCAGTGAAAGATCTCAAAAGAGTATGTCCAGACTCACTCCATGTAGTACCATCTCAAATAGATCAAGAACTTCTCGTGATACCAAAGAAACCAAGAGAAAACTGCCACAAGATAAAAAAAAAAGTGAAGCTAGTAAACGTCAGGACAAAAAAGAAGATAAAAGTAAAGAAGAAGATAATACTAAAACAAGATCTAAAATTGCAAAAGATGATTCCCATGGCAAACTCCAAAAAACTAATACTGAAGTCAGAGAATCTCGAATAACAACATGTGATACAGATAAAAAACCATTGGCTGGAAAACAAAAAAAATTTACTGATGAAGAGCTGAAGAAAAGAGGAAGAAAAAAGAAAGAGGTTGAAACTGGAAAAAACTTGCAAAGTCCAGAAGAAGATTTGACTCAACATTATAAAGGGCCTGTTGCAATTGGTGATAGATTGAAGGTCATTTATGGACCAAACCAAGATCAAAAGATCACTTATGAAGCAAAAGTGGTTGATATAGAAAATAACATCCCTGATAACCCTGCTTACCTTGTTCATTACACAGGTTGGAATACAAGGTAAAAAAAATTTTTTTAAAGATTCATTTTCATTTTAACTTCTTTGCATCTAATTTCTTTGATAAGAGAATTAAAATATTAAAATTGTACGCATTTTTCTATTTTCCACTTAGATATGATGAATGGATCAAAATCGATCGTATTGCTGTTAATTATTCTCAGCAAGGATCAGGACGTTCTAAAAAACCAAATAAGGATAAAAACACTCCACAGACTCGTCCACAGACACCAGGTTCAACTCCGAGAACTTCAAAAGTATCTGCAAGTGCTAATACAAGTAGTGTACCTGGTATGAGTAGTCGCCGTCGCATTCAAAATGATTCTTCAACTGCCAATTCTAATAAAGATTCGCGGAAAGATGATCGGGAAACGACGCTAGCAACTACTCGATCAGGCACACCGTCTCCGTTGATATCACGAACGAAAAGTCCCGCATCTACTGGTAGACCGACTAGGATGACGCGAAATCTAACAGAGGTAAATGAAGGGCGAGGATCAAGAAAAAGGCTCGAAACCGACGATTCAGATTCCTCCGATTCAGATGGAAGTGATTCACCGGTTATCCCCATCAAACCTCGTCGACGTAACTGTGAGACTCGTGAAGCAAGGAAGCGAGCTGAAAGTAGAATGAAAGTTGATGAAAATAGTGATATTGACGAAGATAAAGAAATTGAAGAGCCTAGGAGAGGAAGGCGCTCTAGGAGGACTCTTGCAAAAATCACAGAAATCAAGAGTGAACCAGAAAGTGAGACCGAGCAACCCAAAGGCTGTGAATTTGATCTAAATCAAATTAGATCGGAATTGAAGGGTTTTGATAAAGCGGTAAAAATTGAGATGTCATCAACTTCTACATCCCAAGAGCAAGAAGAAGATGAAGAAGAGAAAAAATCAAATATTATTAAACAAGAAAAGTCTGAATTAGATGAAAAGAAGGTAAAGTTATTTTTATATTGTTTTTCAATGTTTAGTAAAATATTATTGAAATTTATAAAGGCAATGAAGTTGTCTTTGCCACTCAATTTTAATAGAAAAGTTTTCATTTCAAAATTTTAATATACTACCATCATAAGCACAAATTTCCTTTGTATTAAATTACGCAAAACATTGTGTTTTAAAGACAGAAACTTTATTTGAAGTGAATGCATACATTTAAAATGTTTTTCGAAATTTTTAATTTCATTGAAGGAAAAATATATGTTTTCGTTACTAGATTATTGCAATTGCAAAATTTGACAGTAATATATGATGTCTTATAACCTAAACAATTTTTTTTATAATTAATTGATTGCTTTTTAAAAATGTAAAGATATCTAAAGCAATCTAAAAATATAATACTATGCAAATACAATGATGAAAATCGAAAATTACAAAATTGTATCAATATTCATAAGAACTGAATTTGTTTTAAGTAGTTTCGTATAATGTGAAATATAGAGTAATTCTGCATTTATGTTTCAGTTAATACTAAACTATGAATGCAAGTATATTAGTCTTTTACATAAACTAAATAATTATGACTTTTTAGGCATCACTTGACAATGATAGTAAAATTTCCGACAAACAAGAAATATCTACTTTGCCAATCAAGCAGGATGTAGTTAATACTGAAGCAGTCCCTGAAAGTACAGAAGATATATATGAATTCAAAGAACCCGAGCCATTTGAATTTGAAGTACGTAATAAGAGAGATTCTAGTGGTAGTGATAAGCCAGAGAAGGATAGTAACAAAGATTTAAAGGATAAATCTACTGCTGCTTCTCCTGCATCTATTGTAAAGAAACGTCCAGTTGAAGATGAATTAAAAAGTCCTAAAAAGAGACTTAAAACTTCAGTAACTTCGAGTCAATCACCAGCAGCAGCAGCAACAACAAAAGATAGTAAGCCTGATATCAATCGAAGCGCAACGCCTGTTGAGACAATTGTTCCTGCTGATGCTAAAAAAAAGACGACTCGAAAAATATTCAATAAATCCGATGATACAGAGAGTACAGAAGGTGAAGAAAGCTTAAGTTTAACAAGTTTATCACCAACTAAATTTTATCCAAGTACTAGTTATCCTGGTGCTACAGTTATTAGGCGACATAAAATTTCTACCGAAGAAGAGATAGGATCTAGTCACCATGAAACTTCTACAGAAAGCACAAAAAATAAACGTTTATTATTAAATAAAACTACACCTATTAAAGCACCAGCTGATCATAAATCTGAAGAGCAAATTGGGGATGAAACAAAAAAGAAAAGTATTAAACCGAAAGCGCTTGATTTAGATAAAGGAAACAAGGAAACCAAGGAAATTCCATCATTCTATATTCCAGCTAAGGTAATTGAAACCCGAGAAGAGGAACAGAAACCATCTGTTAAAAAGAAAACGAAAACCCAAGATCCATCTACTGTTTTGGAAACGAAGAAAAAACAAGCAGTGGTCCGCCAGCCACCCACACGTAAGGACCGTCGCTCTAGTGAAGAAAGTGACAGCAGCAGCGATATTGAAAGCATCAGCACTCGTGATCCGTCAAAGTATTTTTCGCAGTACTCAGGGCCCAAAACGAAAGCAGCTGCTGCTATTGCCAGCGAGTACGAGAGCCTCAATAATAAGGTGGATGCTCAGAGCGGGGAGAAACGCACTGAGCCAGTTCAGAGTATAGAGAAGAGTCAATCAAATGCAACTGCAACGGTTACAAAATCTTCAAGTGTAGAACAAAAATCTGAACATACAATGAGTAGTGCCCCAGCGCCTTTAACCGTGCCTCCACCAATAAGCGCACGTTTACCTGCTACAGCCACCATTGAAGAAAAGCTATCCGCAGCCGCTGTTTTTCACAGAAGACAAATGATTGAGTCAAAAAAGGAAGAAGAATCAAAACAAGACCGCAAGGTAGCGAAAGAGATTCCCAAAAAAACTCATGGAGTTTCTTTTAACGCCACCAAAAAAGTCGAGGCTAAACTAACTCCTGAACCAGAAAAGAAAAAAGTGGAAGCACCATTGATAATTCCCATCAAAGACCCCCTTCAAGAAATTGAAATCCGCACGGATCCTTTACTCGAGATAATGAAAAGCAAAGAAGAGGAGCTATTAAAAGCTAAAAAAAGTATAGAAGAGCAGAAGCCGCCAATTAATGTGATAAAAACTTATCAGCGTAAAGAGCCACCCTCAAAGCCTGAAGAATCGTGGAAAAAGGTAACATCTACGACAGTTATCAGTGACCAACTAGCGGCGGTCACTAGCACAGGTCGAAAGGAGCCTTTTGTTAGCCGCATCAAACCCCTCGAGCGAAGCGAATCCGTTGATTCTACCGATAGCAGCGATTCGGAAAGAAGGCTTACAATTATCGACGAAGATTACACGGATGAGGCAGGGCCGGAACAATCAAAAAAATCGAGCCATTCGGAACAGAGTTCTTCGGTGACCACCAATGCCCAAAGAGACTTGCAAGCTGATATTATCAATACGATGATGCAGACTAAACTAGTCACGAAAATGGATGAAGACGGCGAAAATATCAATTCGTTGCTATGTGAGGAAGAAATACCGGGTTCACCGACACCCGGGGCAGATAGTCATCATGAACATCAGGAGAGATCTACTTCAAGCAGTTCGCAAAATGTATTCAAATCTGATTTAGGTAATTTAATTGGATTACTCTGCCCATTTTAGCTTCATTTTTATTCATTTATAATATTTAACACTACTTTTCTTACTTTATAGGTAGCAAAGCGGCTGTTGCGTTTGTTGCGGCCCAGTTACCGTTGACTATTCCGTCAACAACATCTGTTTCCACCCTCGTTAGTTCCAGCCTGGAATCATTAAATGCGGGTAATGGAAAAAGTATTACTTCTATAGCATCCAACTCGCCCGTCAGTGTACTTACCACCACATCAACTTCACATTTGTATGTAACGACTGTCGTAACTACAACTACTGGATCTGCGCCGTCACCCACGCATTCGCATTCTAATCAACGAAGAGATAGTAATGTTGAACCTATGGAGGTTGACGTAGCACCTGTTGCGCTGGATTTCAACAATTCCAGTATAACTATTCAACGTGTTCCGACTCCCTCGTTATCTTTGGACAGCGATTCGAAAAAAGACAGTATGGAAGTCGATAATGATGCTCTAAGTAAATCCGACAATCCTTCAACGAGCACTGAAAACGTTTCCGAAGATACTAAAATTAAAGGAGCAATGAAAAGAACAAGTAGTATTACAAGTGCCGATGAAGTTGAAAATGTCTCGCCAAAAAAACGAGCGAAGCGTACGGGAGTTCAGCAGACAAGTTTATCGGGATCTGTAAAAAAATCACCGAGACAGAATTCAAAAAATCGAAGATCTACAACCAGAAGTGATACTGATGACTCAGATGAAGAGCAAGCAACTCCTCAAGTTCCAAGGTATATTCGAGGTGTACTTACCAATACAACAGTGGTACCACCAAGAAAATTACCAGAGCCTACAAATTATAACAAGTCACCTCGTAAGTATTGTACGTTTTAAAAAATGTGAAAGTTTTAAATTTAAACTAACATGTTCTATCACGCTCCTGACATTTTAATATAATATCACTTGCAGAGTATAGAATAGCAACAAGTTAATTGATATTACATTAGAATGTCAAAAAACTTATTCAGCAATGTATAATTTTATCACATTTTGAGCGTATATTGATAATGATGATTAAATTATTTTATTTATTTGTTCTTACAGCTCCTGAATTTGATAGTAATGCAAGAATAGCTTATTTAAATAAACAATTAAGCGGGACTATAAAAGAATATAATGAGTACAAAACTGTAAATATTAAAGTTGACCGTATTAGAAGAAAACTGAAAAAGAAGAAGTCTCGTGAAGGTACTTGATTATTTATATTTTTAGTTCTTGTAATAGTAGGTTAAGGGACAAGGGAGGTTTGAACAAGGAGATCTCAGATCACAAGTAAATTAGGTGAATCGAAGCTATTTGAAAAAAATTTTTTTGACATTAGCTTGGTAAATAATAATTTACAAGAAATCAGATGTATTATTTCGTACACCTTCCTGGTTCCGTAATCTACTATTTTTCCATTATTATAAATAACACTTCAACTTTTTGTTCAGGTCCAAAAAGCAAAGATGATAGCGAGCAATCTGCGCCAACTCAATAAAGTACTCAATCCTAGATTTGTTTAATTAAATTATAATTATTGTACATATAGATAAGTAAAAAGATTTTTAATGAAAAGCTTTTATACAAATCATATTTACCATACAAATATTAAAATATGGTATAAGATTGAAAAATGTTGGTGTAAAATATTTATTTATTTTATCATGTAAAATATGTAGTACAAGAACTTGCTTTTTTATTGCATAAACCAGTCTATCAATGATACTAATGGTTTTCGAACTAATTGTAAATATTTGGATTTTTAAAAATGAATGAAATTAATGGATAAAAGTTATTAGTTTATTTAAAAAGTCGTTATTGATTTCTGCATAGAAATAATGAAATTCTACACAACCAGGCCGATTTGCAAGACCCTCCAGTAGTTTTTGAGAATCTTGAACCTTTTCCAGCAAAAGTTAATCCATACACCTCATGGCACTTATAAACAGCCTGATAAATCCAGTTGACATTTTCATTATTACGGATGGCCTACAAAATAAGCTGTTCCAAAAGTCTTGAATACCATTTTTATTCTATTTAATATACAGCAAAACTAATGTATTTTTAGAATATAGTACAATAACTAGCTTATGGACATGATCAATAACGATAGCTTCATGATATTTATAAAATTTATAAAATGAATTTTAAACTCCCCAGTCACTAATTTGAACTTTGAGACCAACCCTGTAACTGTCAACAAACATTATTTGTTAATTATATCTAATTTTAAATATTTATACTAGAAATACTACAAAAAGTTTATTATATATTTGTCCTTAAGCTTCAAAAAAATAATAAAAATAACTGAAATTATTTTTTAAAAATTAAATAGACTTGGACATTTACTTTTGCTACAAATTAATTGTATTCTGTAGATGGCAAAACCTAATTTAAAATAAAAAATCATTCGTAAAATTTTTTGAAATTTCAATATTATGAGAAAATAGATAATACTGCTAATTTATCACCTTGTTTGGCCTAAGCCGACTTCTGCGGGCCGATTGAGCGAGGAGCCCTATGCAACTAAGCGATCTGACGATACAGTCATCATCTCAAGTGAAACAAAAGTCGCACCACGTTACTCAATTTATTGCGAACAAACTCAAACTTGCGCATGTATATTTTATATGCACCCATGATCAAAAACTGAAAAAGTTTCTATTTTTAACTGAGAAGACTAAGACTATGATTATTTTTTTTAAAAATTGAGCAAAATTGATTTGATTCTGCGTCAGGTTAGGTATGATTATACAGTTGTGTCTGATAAACAATACAAACAATTGTTATGTATTCATCAATTAGAAACTACTTGTTACTCCATAAACAACACACAATCATCTTAATCATTTCGATATTGTCAAAAATGAGAGAGCATTTACTATCTATTGTTAAATGCCAATTTTCTTTCTTTACACTTACCTTATACCACAGAAAAAAAACTTTTCAAATAACGGTGAGCGACTCTCCTCCAAGCTTTAAACCCAGTACATACATGAGCGAAATTTTGTTCTTTTGTGAATTATTTTATATTAAGCACAAAACTAAACTCTTACGAAACTTTTTACATAAAAGCGATAGTAAATAGATTTAATAATCAAAACAAAAATTTTTAATGGATAGCACGTTTAAGTTTCTTTCTTTTTTGATAGCTACACATTGTCAATTGATATTTTCTCAGCTGCGATTCTAATTGATTTATATACTTGAAAGCGTAAATTTTTGTAAAAAAAAAAACTGTTAGGGCAGCAAGTATTTTCTTGGAATGTTTTCTACAAATCTTGAATTCATCTACTTAAGGATAAATCATCAAGATTTAAAAGTTAATAGTTGATAATTCATTACTCACAGAAAAATGCTCTAATGATTTGAACTAATAATAACATGATTTGTATGTTTTAAAATGTAAAATGACTTTTAGCAATTATTTATTGAGATCTTATTTTTATGCAAATAAACAGTCTGTGAATTGACTTTTGTCAATACTACATTTCATAAACTAGTATTTGTTTAGTTTAATAGCCATAATTTCAAGACTCTTGTTACTCCCAAATAGGTGACTAAATTCTCATGAAAAGGAAGTTATGAATAATAATGGAAAATTCGCAAATAATTAAGTTAAAAAATTTATTTAAATTTTTGAAACTTTATTTACGACCTTGGTCGTTCTTTCTTCTCCTTATACAAAGCCAACAAGGAAACATTGGCAACCTTGACAACCTTGAATCTGACACCGGGAATGTCACCAACGGCGTGACCTTTACGACCGAATCCTGCGACCAAAACTTCGTCGTTCTCTTCAATGCTGTTTAAGCAACCGTCACGAGGTACGAACGCCGTGATTTTCTTGCCATTTTTAATAAGCTGTACTCTGACACACTTTCGGATGGCAGAATTGGGCTGTTTGGCTTCAACACCACTGAAAAAGAAAGAAAATTGTGTTATTTGATGCTCGCTAAACTTTTATCAATATATATCATAGTCGAATTAAACATACACTTTCTCAAGGACGATTCCCTTAGCGTGGGAAGCTCCTCCGAAGGGATTGGCCTTCCAGCGAGTACCCAAATGGGCTTTCTTGTAGTCCTTATCATTCCACCTTTGTTCACGACGGTGGTTGACGTATTTACGTGCAGTACGAATACCGTGAGGTTTTCCTAAAGTTCACAAAAAAAATTGTTATTTAATTGTTATTATTGTAATTGAAAAGGGAAATGATTACATCGAGTTAGGTATGTCTAATTTTGTTGGTAAAGTGCCAAGATTCTTGTAGCCAAATAGTAATTCATGTGAAAATAACAATTAGTCCCACTAATTAATTAAATAATATTGAACAATATATTAGAATAAGTAAAAGAAATCACTGGTTCACGTTACACATTCTAACACATGCTTTTTTAGGTTAAAATGACTAGAATAACTAAATTTTGTTAATAAAAAATGAAACTTATGTTCAAGATATTCTGTAACACGAAGTCTTAAAAATGTTAAGACTTTTAAAAAAAAATTAAATAAAATTATTGAGGGGTTTAGTAAAAAAAAAAAATTGCGAGATTCTCACCCATGGTTGCAGAGTCGCAAGAGAATCGTAAAAGAGAAGCGGTCTCTCACGTTGCCAGAGTCTAGATTACCTTGGTTAGAAGTTTAGGCGCTTCACGCACCCGCTGTTGCGCATAAGGCACTAGTAGCTGTTCTACAATTGCTTTGCGCATTATGACAAATTTATTAAATTTGTTTTAATATTTAATAATATTTTAAATTCTCCAATTAAATAATTTAATAAATTTAAGGAAAAAACCTAAAACTAAGATATTTTGTATTTTGTGTGCAGCGGCCGCATCGCGCAAACATTGAGCAATCCAAGTTTCAACTCTGTAAATTACAATAACTTTTTAAAAAGGTCGTTTATCAAAATTTTTTTTTCTTGAAATTCGAAAGCTTTTGATTTTTCTTTTCAATGAAATAAGCAAATTTGAATCAATCAATCAATTTGAATGATTGTAAAGAATCATTTCCTGAAGTTTCAGTCCCGTGGCTTACAAACGTATTTTCGCTCGAGACTCCTTAAATTGTTCCTGAAACAACTAAATAATATTAACAATCGTTTATAAGGAAAAAAATGTATAACTGTTACTTGAAACTTTTTTGAATCTGGTGCTACTTATTTCATAAGATATATTTTAAAGTTGCATAATTAATTATTATGAATGTTCAAAGTAATGTTTAAAAATTAGACCTGTGAGTTTAAAATTCAAGATAAAATACCATTGATAAAATATTTGATAAATAATTTTACCAATTTCTATAAAATTTAATTTTAAGTAAATCAAGCATCTGAAATGAAAATGAGTTATGAGATGTAAAGATTGTATTTACAAAAGCTTTTCAAAAATGAAAACATATATGATTTCGAAATCAAAATCGGATTGTTTGGCATTTCCAATGCAGTCGATCATGTCGTTGATCATTCTCAAACGCACGTGTCTGGTGTCAGCGGCGACCGAGTGTTTTGAATGTGTATATATTTTTTATATATTGTTAAGAAGTTGCATTGTTTATAACTTTATTGGTTTTTATAGTTGATAGATTTGTAAAATAATTCAAAATATTTAACAATGAGTGACGAAAACAATTCTGAAGAATACTACAAAAGTTATGAAAATCTTGATGTAAGTAAATACATATTTACAGTGAAAATTAACAATATTAAATTGGTAATTAATTTTTTAAGGTATTTAATTGGTATATAATTTTTTAAGGTTCATCATTTAATGCTTAGTGATAAGCCTAGAACGTTGGCTTACAGAACAGCAATTCTTAATGCAAAAGACAAATTTGTAGATAAAGTTGTTATGGATGTTGGAGCAGGAACAGGTTTGAAAATGGATTTTTTATGAAATAAGATTTGTATAATTTTAGTTTAAAATTCTCTGTTTTGCAGGAATTCTATCAATGTTTTGTGCACAAGCAGGTGCAAAAAAAGTATATGCCGTTGAAGCAAGTATTATAGCAGAGTTAATTCCAGATGTTGCAAAGGAAAATAATTTTGAAAATAAAATAGAAGTCATACAAAAGAGAGTTGAAGATATTGCTGCAGATGAAATTGAAAAAGTAGACATTATTGTTTCTGAATGGATGGGATTTTACCTTCTTCATGAAGGAATGTTGGACTCAGTAATTATTGCAAGAGACAGATTTTTAAAACAAGATGGATTAATATTTCCTGATACAGCTAAAATTTATGCTGCTCCATGTCAATTGCCATCAGTACATGAATTTTGGGATGATGTATGTGGGGTGAAAATGAGGTCTGTGGCTAGTCAATACATAAAAGCTAAAATAAAACCAGATGTGTTAGATTTACCAAGAGAAGATCTATTGGGAGATGGTGTATTACTGGTTTGGCTAGATTTGAATACAATTGATTCTGAAGATTTGAATAGTTTAGGCATTGAAGAAAGTATAGCAATTTGTAATAAAGCTGGAAATTATCAAGGATTTTGTATATGGTTCGATGTTGATTTTCCTGATGGTTCTACGTTATCTACTTCTCCTTTTAGTGAATCAACTCATTGGAAGCAAACAATTATAGTAATGCCTGGAACGATCAAAGTTGAAGAAAAAGAACCTGTTGCCTTCAATCTAAAGTTTGACAGAAATAGTGAAGATTGTAGAAAATACAATCTGTCTTTCACACAACTAGATCCTGAAGAAGTGTCTCATCCGATTCCTTGTGATTGTTACATGACTAAGTGCATTGTCACTAAAGCTTTTTTAGAATCCCAAGAACAAGAATAAAATTAAAAAAAGAATCAAAAGCACTTATTAGTTTTTTTATTTTTTTTTTTTTTATAAAATGTCAAAATTGTTGTCATGACCACATTGTATACCTTGGATTTCATACTATTCATACTGTTTGTATCACTGATGTATTAAAAATTTTTTTGTAAAATATTTATTTAACTAAATTAGACAACAATATACTACATTCAAAACATAAAAGTTTATACCATTTTGACTCTGATTATCTATTATTAAGTTTTTTTGTTGACAAAGTTTTTTAAAATAGATCGTTGCAGCTGTAGCCTAAAATTTAATATAGTTCTTTTTCTATCTTACGTAGTTTGATGATATCAATAGCATTAATGAATGTATTTACAAAACAAAAATGGAAATATTTTTATTTTCAACAATTTTCTTTATTTCATAAAATAGAAAATAAAACGTAGAAATAGACTTTAACGGTAAGATTTTTGATAACGTGCGCGAGCACCTGGACCACCGAATTTCTTGGGTTCACACCTCCTGGGATCAGCAACCAAGAGGGTTCGGTCATATTGAATCAAAATGTCTTTTATTTCTTTTTTACTAGCCTCATCAACATCTGAAAATTTGAATGAATGTATTTTTATATAAACTCTATGTCATCTCAAGAATTTGATAATTAAAACATTTTATATACTCACATTTTTGATAATAGGCAACAAGAGCTTTGGCTATCGCTTGTCTAATGGCATAGATTTGAGCAATATGACCACCACCATTTACACGGACTCTGATATCAACATCACTGAATCTTTCCTATTGAAAACATCAATTTTCAAAGAGAATTAACTTAAATTCATATAATTTTTAATTACAAAAATCAAAAAAAGTTTAACTTTATAACTTTATAAAATAAATTATTCTGATCTATGCATTTTAATTTAAATTAGTACATTGAAAAATAGTACCTTTCCAAGAAGTAGCATGGGCTCTTGTAATTTGTATTGGAGCATTCTAGGCTCCACAAGTTCCAGTGGTCTGCCATTGACCTTCAGTAATCCTTGTCCTCTTTTGCAGTAAGCAACTGCTGTAGCAGTTTTCTAAAAATATAAAAAACAAATTAACTATTAAAATGAGCAAAAAATAACTTGGTGGTAACCTTCAATAATAGAACTACGTACCTTACGTCCAAATACTTGGACTGACTGGATTTGAGGCTTCTTTGTCTATAAATAAAAATAAAAATTCACAATTAATATCAAGGCTTTAGTAAATCAAATGTTTTTCAGTTAAAAATATCGAAATAATTTACAACATACTTTTTGCATTTTGGATACCCCACAGTGTCAGTTGTCACGTTGTGAAAAGAGCCGGAACGATGAGAGGCTAGAGGCACTTGAAAAAAACGTGTCTGATTTGCTATAAAGGCGCCATTTTTTAAATTCTTAAAAAAAATGTCATACATTGAGTAGTTAAACGTTCTAATCGACTAATAAGAACATCGATTTTACATTCAAAACAATATCATAAATTGGTACTACTATCGATCTAATTTATAGATTTCCAGTTCAAAGAGAAATTTAAAATTTTTAAAAAAGTAGCAAGTATTTATATATGCTACATAAGAGTTGTGAAAGATTATAATCAGTTTTTAATACTCCATCATAAATAAAAAGTGTATCATTTTAATCATCAAAAAATATTTCATACATAAATTTGATAATGAATTCTAATGAATAACTTCAAATGGTAGTACCTATACTAAAGTGTGAGAAAATTAAAATAAACTACAAAAAGTTGTAGAGTACTGAGTAAACCAGGTATGATAGTTACTTAATTTTTTCATATCTTGATTATAGTTTTTTTGCAAAATTTCTGTTTAATAAAAATTATTAAGTAAACACCATATTTCAAAATGAAATATTATGGGGTCACAAATAGACTACAAGTGCACACACAATGGTCCAAGTGACAGCTCCAGGAATTATGAATAGATGTTGTTTTGATTTTTCTTTTTATCACTACTGGTTATGAGTTCTGGTATATTTTTTAGGGAAACTTTTTGGTGAAACCTTTTTTTTTTAATAAAAGAGATGTTGAAAAAAGTTGTAATAATTTTATTTGATAAAAATTTACATAATTATATGTTTTATTAGCAAACTCGTTGCCAAATTTTATATAATAAATTATATTATCAGATATCTATTATATTCTCAAATAAATTTTTCAAACATAGTTTTTATGCATTCTTAGAATGTTAAAAATTACAATAATGGCTTCGGTACTCCATCTTAAAAAAGTATATCGACAAACTATTCACTGCTGAGTACAGATCTTATTATTATCAGTAATAAATGTAAAATAATTAATTATTTTATATTTAAAATACATTGCCACAATAATTATTTGTAAATTTTTTTTATGCTCAATGACTCGATTCACATATTCTCTTGTACAGAAGGTATGACTCTCTTTTATACAAATATAATAAACAAAAAATATGTATATATAAAGGTGTACTTACTTATAACTAAAATTGTGTTAAAAATAAAACATAAAGTAAAATTTCTGACGGTTAAATTATCGTTAAGTAGAGAATTATTGCTTTCTATTGATTAATAGTATAATTAACTGCAGTAATAGGAAATATTTCACAATGTACATATAATTTTGATTATTAAAATTGATTGCAGTATATTTATATATAACTATCATGAAGTAGAAAATTTTTTATGCATGGATTAATGATTATTAAGAAAATTTCATTTTTTATGTTGATATTTTTCTTTGCTTTTAAGAAACCATGAAAATTTTTCAAAATATTCATCGATTAAGCTAAAAATTCACTTATCTATCTAAAATTCCTCAATTTTCAACTCTCAAACAACAACAAAACTTGAAGTTTATGAAAAAAATATTTGTTACGTACTAAAAATTTTACTTTATTCAAGTAGACTTAAGCATAATTTTTTGCTTTGTATGTGTCAACAAGGAGGTGGACTATTGGTTGCAGCTGTTGTATCAATATTTGAGGATGTTGTTGATGTAGCTGATATAGATGTTTGCCTATCATTAGAACTAAGTTTCCGCCGAGCAAAAGAAAATTGTTCCATAAGCTCATGATGAGCTTCTAATCGTTCAATACAATGCAGGCAAGCAGTCTTTGGCAGCTGATCGTAAGCATTTACCTGGAAAGGGATATTGAAAAAAATCATAAAAAATAATTATTTGATATATTAAAAATACATAAAAATTCATGATACCCAAAAATTACATCTGTAACATTAATTATTTATATTTACTCAACACTCTTGTGATTCTTGTGTAAGTTATTTCAAAGTTGAGTCAAAATTTTTTAATTGATTACAGTAAATCAATAGAATTTTCAATACCAAAGAGTAAAAGAAAACACTGCATATGTCAAAAATGAATGTAAAACCCAAAAAACGTAATTTTTTTTCGAGTCGGAAAAGTCTGTGTTTCTATGCTATGGTCCCGTACTTACTAAGAGAGAGTATTCCACGTTCATTTTGATATTGCATTTAAAAGGAGTTATAAAATATACTTACAGTTATTGGCAAATAGGTGTTGATTTTTTCAGCCAATTTCATCCGCGAGCCTTCCTCACCGTAAATATGTATCACAAAACGATTCATTTTACTGCACAGTCTGCATATGAAGCCTGTGATGACGGCCTTGTCAGTGCTACCCATTTTTCAACTTGTTTTCTATGTACAGTCACCTGTGCGCAAGATGTCGATTAATAAATTTTCTTTTTTACAACGGGCCCGATTAGTTTATCAGTTCAGATGCTCGATGACTTTTCTTTTCAGGATTGACGTTCAAATGAAAATATACAGAGCGCACTTGTCAAAAACTGCTCGACAGAGAGGGTTTGTTTATTCCGTGCTGCAAGCGAATAAGAGTAGGAGAGAGCTCAAACTGTCTTTTGCTGCAGCGCTGTTTAGGCAAATGCCAGCTGGTCGTGAAAGAACAGTGCACTATACTCGTGTTTAATATACATATATATATGGTTTCTCACTACCTGTACTCCGACGTACTGTGTTAAAATCCCTGAAAAAAGATTAAAGTATCTGTGAATCATCTTTTTTGTCATTCACTTCGGACTGCAGCAAATCTGTAGATGCAACGAACAAAAAGTTGCTGAGCTTTAAATGGCACTTAAAAATAAAAATTTTAAAATAATAAAAGCTTTGGAATATCAGTTCGGAATATTCGTAATCTCTAACGACGCATTTGTAATTCACAACATTTTTCATTTACTTTTCAAGGTCCGAAGTTTTTAAACGTACATACCTGACTAAAGCAAAATTAAATGCATAAAGTTTAAATAGATTATTTCATCTGCTTATCTTGCTATATGCATTTTAGATGCAGGACTAACTGCATAAAGAGTTGCTGACAATTACTAAAGAGATAGATTTTTCAATATACAAATATAACATTCAGAAATACTAAATACGTAATATGAAGGTGTTAATAGTGTGAGGTAACACATAAAAAATTAAATGCACCGTGTTCGTGAAAAAAATGGTGAAAATGTACATTTATTGAGTTTTTTACCTCTTTTTTCAGTTTGAACATTTGAGAGAACACTATGGGTGTTAATAAATATTTTGTATCGTCCATACGCCATGAGACGAAATACTTCAATAAAAATATAATAATGCAATTAGAATTATGATTAAAAAACAAAACTTGCTTAAATTCGTCGTTAAGAAATAAACCTTTGTGGCAATGTTCTCATCTTTTTACTGATTACAATAATGAAAAAACTTCAGTCCTTTTCAAACGTGAATAATTCATAATTTTAAACATATCTGCTCATAGTAAAGCTTTGACTAATTATCTGAGAAATATATTTTTCAAATCCTAAACTTATTTCAGTATGTAATATAAATATTTACATGCTTTTACTAGAACGCATCAATTTTCGACATAATAGTCAGTCCCAGCTTGCAATAATAAAATTTTTATCACATTAGTTCTCAGTGCTGTTAATGCGACATTTCGAATGTTTTACTTTCGAATATTTCATTAAGTTTAGACATTAAACTATATTTAATAATTTCATACTTTTATAATATATTTTAATTTATTTTCTCAAATTTATTTTTATAAACAATTATTGTAATTTGATAAAAGCATATTTTTTTCATTAAATGATTTTTTTTAAATAACAATAAATAAATGTAGTCATAGATATTTGAAAAATATATTCCTGATAATACTTTTGACTGAAACAAAAAAACTGACCCTTAAATACTTTACATTTACTTTCATAAGAAAAACATTTCCAATCAAATAATAAGAGCTCACAATGTATCATTATTTTTCTTTCTTACAATCATACAAACATATTAGATAGTAAAAACAATCACAGACATTCGTGATTTTGCAGCACGATGATGACCTATGTATAGGCAATATTTTCATTTGTTCAAATACAAACCAATAATTTAATGATTATAAAAAAAGAAGCACTCGGTTTAACATACAGTGTACTTTAATATGATACTGCATTTTCATTTCGTTTATCTAGTCATACTCAACTTTTCATTTAATTCTCAAAATGTTATATCTAACTCCATATCGATAGAAAGCACTTCAACAAGAATTTACCATGCCTTTTTTTATGAAAAAAGTTAAATAAAGAAAGTACGACAGTCTATAGAAAATATTCTCAAATGATGCAAGCATCATTAACTAAAAAAGTACATAAATTTTCTCCATTAATTCATTCAATTGAATCATAATTATCGTCATCGCACATATCTTTTCTTCGAAATACGCACAATATTGGCAAATTTTACATTTTTTAATGATCAACTTTTTTTATTTTATTTTTTCCTTATTTTTCTCTCTCTATACACAAACTTTTACGACTTGACAATCGAAGTTCTTATCATTTAAAACAAATCTAAACGTAGCATTAATAAGCATATCCGGAAGTATTTGTTGTTTTATATTAAATCTGCTTCTTTTGTTTTTCGTATTACAATGAACTATACACATGGATATTTCTCTCTCTTTTATTTAGCATATTTTTCTCGTTAATTTATATACTTAATAATATGTACACGCTCGTGTAATGACCGCATTATAACTGTGCCAAGTACTACATAAAAATGCTAGTCGTCAATGTAAATTCACTTAATTTGCAGCGATTCAACTAAACATTTATATAATTAATCACGATTTGTTCATATTACATTCATTCATAATCTACTCTGTTTTTTCTACCTCACTCTTTAAGCTCAATTATTCTTGGCTTGAAACTGCAGGATCATTTGCAAATTTGCGATAGCGCTTTCGAGCACGCTGAGCATAGCGAGAGCTGGTGTAATATTGCTTTGCTGATTGCTCGACGGTTGATTACTACTCGACGACGTTTCGTGATTTGAGTCTGGTTTAGCATTCGACGACTGCTTTTTTTCTTCGTCAGTTTGATCTTGATCCATGGGTTTTGCGAGCTCTTCCGTGGCTATCGGCGTTGATGGCTTTTCTTCCTCAAGATTATTTTTACAACTACCGGATGGAGAGGATCTTGATTTGTTCGTGTCTGCTTCGTCTGTTTTACCATCAACCACGCTCGATTCAACAGCACTCAAAACTTTCGGTGCCGTTAGTTCTGTTGTATTGCTTACAGATGCTTCAACATCAACTTCTTTGGTACTTGGTTTAGAAAATTCTTCCATCATTTCTGAACTTGAATTATCGGACAATGGAGCATCATAGTCATCATCTTCATCATCTTCATCCATCATTACAGGAAACTTTGCTCTCCTTTTCAAAAGATCATTTTCTTTCTGCTGCTTTTTCGGAGACTCTGCTTGTGGTAGAAGTTTTCCCTCTTTTATTAGTTCACGGGAAATTTTGCATCGATTGAGTAGGATCTCCAGAGCTGGTTGCAAAGTGGACGGAGCCTTCAGATCATGACCACTACTATACACGATATCTAGAGCGCGCAAATCGCCAATCAATCTTGGCATAGAATTTGATAGATCAACTACGTCAGCCAAAGATATCAGAGAACTGACAAGATTATCGATAATAGAGCACGTTTGCTCGGTAAGTACGTGTGTTGCTAACTTTGGGAAGAACGTTTTCAGGAACGCGAAAATTGCCTGCACCCCTAAAGATGAGCGCTCATCAAGAAGCACAGCGTCAACATAATCAACGGTGTAATTGCTGCGAAGTAAAGTGGCAATGTGTTTTTTGTCGATGTGCGTAGCTGCATGTACATCTAACCACAGCCTTGGAAATAGAGCTAAATGCAACGGTACTCCTGAAAAAAAACATCAGTTTATAATTTTGTCATGGAAACAATTTATCGATCTCAATAATTATCAAAAAATACCTTCAAACCCGAGCATTGCACTCAAGTTTATTAAAACATCGTTGAAACAATCGTTATTTATGGCTAATCGGCACATCACATCGATGAGTTCATGATACGGTAAATAAAATTCTATCAAAGCTGCGTCGTACTCAGGGTCAGTACCTTTGGCAGCTTCGAGTTGCGAATGTGGCACTGCCATTTGAACCATTGGCCTGACAGGCCTTGGGGGCATTTTTCCTGGTGGACTCGTTCGTCTTGGTAGATATGGACCTGGTGGTACAGTCGCATGGGATTCTTGGAGGGCCGCATGACAGTGAGATAAAAGAGGTGCCAGAATAAGCAATGCATCGTTAGGTACAGTCATGACTAATTCCTTCAGCAAATCGATAGCTAAGTTCCGCATATCGGGTGGATTGTACGTATTCAGTAACGTAGCCAGTTTTCGTAAAATATCCGGCCATTCTTTACAATTGCCAAGGATATTACGTGGCTCGGGAGTGTCACGGGCCTGCCTGACGCACCTTACAAATTCGACGATTATTGCTATTAATTCGGCTAAGTCACCAGACACGTGGCATGCCGTTGCCTCGTGATACATGATATGCAGCATACTGAAAGCTTCTAACGACATGGCTAATCCTCCATTGTAAACGACAAAAAGTCTATCTTCGTCCGTTTCAATAAGAATCCTGATATTATGAAAAAAATTTGTTATAGCTCTAATGTTTGATTGATAGAATACATGCTTAAAAATTTATATTTTACCTGAAAGCTGAAATAAGCGTTGCCCACGATGATCTTCCATCCAAAGCTTGCAGGTACGCTGTAAGAGTTCCTCGTCGAAATTGTGCGACTTCTTGCTCCTCTTGCTCCGTTTGATCAGGATGCCGGGCAACGAGCAGTTGCATCAATTTGAAAAGTTCTTCAACAGCCTTTAAATGAGAAAAAATGTATTATTTATAATATGCATGATAATTAGTTAATGAGGTTTCTGCTCCTTTGATATTTACCGTAGAATACTGCGTTGGATGTGGAGTGATATTCTTGAAAGCCCATTGAATATTTTGATGAGCAGCCAGTTGCCTTGTAAATTGATGAGATTGTTGACAGCAAAGTCTTAACAATCCGTAGTAGGCAGGAAGCATAACGCGATTAAACATGACGACATCTTGGTCTTCGTGATCAGCCCTAAATCATTTAAATTAAAATTTATCAATTCGTATATCTAAATCTGAAATTGTGAAATTTTAGGAAATTATGTGATTTACTTACAAAATATAGTTGAAAGCAATGTTTCTTGTAATGTGTGGATTCTGTAAGATGAGAGATATGTTTTCTGGGCAGTCATTGCTAACATGATACCAAAATAACAATAGGGCTTGTTTATTATGATGCACAGGAATGCTTGGTTCTGATAATTTTGGATGGAACAGCGTCCAGAGGTCATTCAAGTATGGACCAAACTGCATGAAAAAATGACATGAAAACAATATTGTTGGATCAATATTAATGCATATATTGTTGTGAATAAATTTCATACCATAATTTTTTCTTGATTAGAAACTACGCAATACGTCATGAGAGCGAAATAGGATGTAAGCTTAGATGTGCCATGTTGACTAATATCTGTGAAATGTCTAGCTGGCTGTAGTAGCCTCAGGAGTGCTGAATACACTTGATGCAAAATTTGCGTAGCTTCTTGAGTTAACGATAATTCTCTGTGACTGTTCATACCCATACCAAGTCTATGCGCATTTCGATAGCCTTGTCTGAAAGGTGTCGATGGAACCAAAGATACAAGCAAAAATGCTGCCGCAGTTCTGACTCTTTGATTTTGATGTTCGATGAGGAAATGCTGCAACCAATTGTCCATGCCTTGCAGTACCCAGGTATGAGCGTACTTACTTCTTGTAACAGCTAAAGCTAGCCACTCGAGAGCACCATGAGGAGCGACACGAGCAACTTCCCACACACGCCCTAAGATCAATTGAGTCATGCAAGTTTGTGAACCCTGTGGCGTAACGTTGTCTGTCAAAAGAGTGAGCATTTTGAAGAACGGCTGGCAGACTTCGGTGTGTTTTGTAATTGCTTGGAACATCATATTAACTAGATGTATGGCCAGACGTTCGTTCCATCGACACAGAGTTTGGATAATGTTTCTAGTTTGCTGCAAATTTATATTATCGCGAATTTGCTGATAAAGGAATGGAAAACCTTTACCTCCAGCGACGGCGGTAAAATCTGATTGAGATAGATTGAGCCTAAGTGAAAAGAATAAAATTATATTTAGTTAGAAAATGTGGTCAATTATTTCTGTAACAAGAGTCAAAGAATAAAAACTTACTGATTTTCACTTCGACTTTTGTCGACAAGCACAGCAATGAGAGTAATCATTTTGTCAAGCGATGCCGGTTTGAGCTTTTCAGTTGAAATAGCAACGACCTCTTCTTCTTCCTCTTCCTCGCTAATTGAATCCACAAACTCATGACTCTTGTGACCAAGATAAAAATTAACCATCGTGGTGATGGCTTGTGCCTTAATCAAGAATTGCGCTTCTTCTTCGCCCATACGGCAAAAATCGTAAAGCAAGCCGAAGTATTCAGTTAAATGTTTCAGATGTTGTTTAGCTTGCTCCATTAAAACAAGCAATGAACGCATAAAACGTGTCACACATGATTGGTTACCCACTGTGCTAGCATCGTCTTCAGATTCATATGACGTATAGTGCGGAGTCTGAAAGATTTCATAAGCATTAATAATCAATATTTTTTTTATCGTTTTTATTCAATATTGTATGATTCTCACCTGGGATGGTCTGAGTCTCGTTATGACATGAATACAGAGTCTCTGAAACATTTGCCTCACCATCTGATTAGGACACTTGACTAGAATTTGCACTGGCCACCAGGAGTCATTAGCTATTTTATCGAGAAAAGCCGAGCACGCGACTAATGAATTGTTGAATTGTTTGGTCAATAAATCAATCCATTGCATCATGGTCGGCTTTTCTTTGGCGTGGATAAAAGTTTCCAAGAAGAAAGCAGTTGCTAATTCGGATGAGGACTCCATGATATTTGACTCGATACTTATGAGTGTTGTCGGTATGTAGCTACATATTTGCCACATAAAACTAAAGTACGTATGTTCGAATATATTCTTATCAAGAAGAAAGTGCATGTTGTCTTGCCAGATCCACTCCTCGAGCTCTTTACTGAGCTTGATCTCTGGAATTTCTTCCTGCTCCATTTCTACATCCATAATGCTCGACACACTTAAACTAGTACTGTTTGTTATGTCCATCTTAGTCGGCGCATCAATTACTATCGGGCTAACAGATTCGTCTTTTTTCCCGTCCTCATCTTCCTTGTTACCTAGTGGTGGTTCGCTGCTTGGGTCTTGGCACCACTCGTAAAATAACATATAAGCCGAATTCGATTTCTCAAAACTAAAGTCCATGAATTTATCGGTCACTGAATCATAGGTTTTGCTGGTCATTTCACCTCCGAAACATTCAGCAGCAATTTGATTGGGATCAAATGGTTTCACCTCGGCATCGTTGAAGAGAAACCATTTGTCTTTGTTAGACGTACTGCGATCGCGAATGAAGCTATAATAGTGTCCACCATCAGCCGTACCGGTATGCACTGTGACGCCAATCAAATCGTATTGACAGTGCTCATCTCTCTGACTCGTAGATTGTTGAGTTGAATTTTCCGAAGTTTCTTCCGTTTTTTGTTTTTCTTCTTCGCAATCAGTTTTTTGCTCTTTTTCATCTTGACAATGTTTCGGTATCAGCTTCTTTTCCATATAACCGGACATATCTAGTCGCAGTGGAAAGCTAAAGTGCGTATTAACTTTTTCTTTCAACATAGTTCCCATATTAAATGTGTATCGCATCGTATTGAAGCATAATATTCTCGGTAATTTTTTGAAACACGCCCGTTTTTCAGCTCTCACTTTTTTGCCACATTGAGAGCATGTGTACATGTTATCGCCTTCCAAAGTGTCTTTTACTGTAACTTCATCCAAACTTTCATACAAATTCCTCATATCAGCTACTTGGCATCTGACTGTATAAAATTCCTCAAGGGTCTTCGATACGTGTTCGCAATCGAGAGACACAACGTTATTTGAAAGAATACCACAGAACAAATTTTTCACTAGCGTTTTCAAATCACTGGTCATTTCTTCGAGCTTCGACACGAGGTCGATGAAAAATTCAGCCATGTCTTTCTGTTCACCCGTATTAAGTGGTTCGTGGTTCATAGTATAAACTCTGCAGAAGCTGCGAGGATTGTAAGCCTTTCTCTCGGATTCGAAGAGATAAGCGAACATGCGTTGTAATTCTCGAAGCGTTAATTGATGCTTGTTGGCACGAGTAACATCAGCTCGTAAGATTGCTGCACGAGCTTCCGGCATCATATACAGGTGTTGCATGCAACTAGCCATATAACAAGTTGCACCCAAATTCGTAAGACCCACGTAGCCGCAATCCGACCGACCATCGTCGTGTGGCCAGTAATCCCAAGTAAACGGGGTTCGCATACCTGGCTTATGTTGGTCCAATAGTTTTTCTCGCAGAATTCTGTATAAAATTAAAAAATAAAAAAAATTGTTAATTGAATACGAGGAAAAAATCGGCTATTATTAATGAAACACTTACTTGTAATTTTCAGGAGCAGATTTAACTAATTCAATTAGTAAATCAAAAGCAGCTGATCTCGAAGCTTGACTTTTACACTTGGGCATGTGTTTAGCTCTTGGAGTAGGTAGAGCAAATAAAAACTCAAATACTCTCTCCAAAAGATTTTGGCCCACTTTTGTTTGTTTGCAAGGTGGATTGTGAGCCATAATGTTACAGCACAGGTTCAACAGTCCAACTAAACCATCGTCCTCAAACGAGCTATGCCGAGTTTCGTAGTAACCTCTTGCTAAAATTGACTCGATTGCTGTACTGGCCAAAGCTTGCAGATCAATAGTCATACCTGGTTGATTGCTGGACTTTTTCTCGTCGATAGCATCAATCGGCAAAGAATCAACCAGTCTACAGATAAGCCAGAAATAATCACGGCACGCCGAACCATACATATCTTTACAATCGTCACTCTGACCTTGCAAATCAGTTTTTCTTTGAGGTGGATGCATTGCTTCGGCAGTTGGTAAATATACGAGCAATTGCACTAGCAAAGGTACAATAAGCTTGGAAGCAGTAGGATCGATTATGCAAGCTCCTAAAACTCCTTCTTCGCTTTCTAGACTGCCCAAGCACAATCTGTATAAAGCAAAAGAGACTTCACGACGAACTGCTGGGTCTGGATCTTCAAGTATGAGCTGTTTCAGCCAAGTTGAACCAAAAGACTGCTTATCAGAAAATAAGGAGTCTCCAATCAATGGTTCACTATGTACCCAGCATACAAGCAATGCCATGGCATAGTGTATGACCTGTGATCGCCCAAATAGGCCGGTTTTATAAGTATTTGGATCGCGTGGACGAGCAGCTTGTTCTAGAATATTTGTGATCCTTGGTAGCACTGTTTTGACATCCATAAGTGATAATAATTCTTTACTCAAGCGTTGTATGGCTAACTTGTCATTTTTAAGGCGCCGTTTATGATTTTCCTTTTCTTTTTCTTTTGTCACGCCTAAATGACACAATTGCTTTAATAAACTGGCTAGGCAGTCCTGCTGCCATTCACTACCGTCGCTATTTTCCAAACAACCCGACATAAAAATATCAAATAGATGTCGTAAACCACCGTGCGCCACAAATTGACTCGACCAATCCGTGGACACGTCGTCCGATTCGTTAACAGTGCTGTTTTCTGTAGTACCAGCATCACCGGCACCACTACTACCGTCACTAAGTGTCAAATAATCAGAGCTTGCGGAAGAATTGTGAGAGTCTCTTCGATTCATTGTAAACGATGTCGGCGACTTCGAGGTTTTTGAAAGCGACTCAACTATGTGAAGTGTGTACATAAGCTTGTGCGGATTGGAAGGATCAAGTAGTTCCGGCAGTGAGGCTTCGTCGAGCTTCTGAAAACCTTGCAGTAGCGTCGGATTAGTTGGTAAAAGTGTCACTGTGTCCCAAACTCGACGGGAAAGCACCTGGAAATGTACATTTATTTTTAATGAAGAGTATTAATTATTTTTAATGGACTTTGAACATTTACTGACCTGTGCTTTAGCGTGTGGCACTTCCTTGCCATCTTCCTGAATTGTTTTCATACTATCGAGGGTACTCATGAGTGTAAATAACTGTTCGAAGTACGGTGGCCTTAATAACAATAAAGTTGGCAACGAATCTTTGGATGGTGGAGGCAGCAATGATGGTGAATCAATGTCCCTTTTACCTGGTCTATTATTGCCTCTACCAGCACCAAGAGAAATGAATACTAACTGTCCATCTTTGAAACCGATTTCAGCAAGAGTTTTTTCGTCGTATTCAATAGTTAATTCTTGTCCCTGGGTAATCATTCTTATTGGGCCATCTGTAAGTAACGATCCTAAAACTGAACTTGTTGAACCAGAGGTCAAATTCTTAGTTGGAGATCCCAAAGTTTTGCTTTCTTCCTTGAGTCTTGCGTGTCTGTCGTCCCACCATTTGGATACTTCGGCTCGTAGATCGGCAACATAATCGGAACTAAGCAACGTAAACGTTGTTTTTTCTGATATACCAGCCGGTTGAACGTAAATTTTTAGATGTTGACTGCGTTCCGCACAATTAGAAGCTATGTGACTGCCAGCTCCTCGGCCTTCTAAACTCCATCTGCGTAGGTGAAAAGCGTACTTTTTACGAAAAGCCTCGAGATGGGTCCTTAGCAGCAACAAGGCACGCTGTATACAGCGTAAACTGGCTTCCTCATTAACTTCCAGATCTGCGCTAGCTGCGGCCAAGTGGGCCATACACTGAGAAACGAATTCAATTTCTTGGGTCAACTGCCTCGACATATAAAAAGAATTGAGAAACTGAATCGCAGACATGCTGACTTCGGTGCTTTTAGCACGCAATGCGATTTTCCAAAGAAAATCAATGCAGACAGAATCAACGTCCTTTAAAGATCGTTCCATATGGACAGCTGCTAATCTGGCCAAATTGCACAATTGCTGAAAAAGACTCAACCCTGTCATGCTAATAGTTTCTGGTGGTAAACTTGGTAATTTTCTCATGCATAGGTGTCTCAAAGTTTCTATGGCGAGAGCATGTTGATCAGTAGACTTAGCCTGACTTAGCAGCCAACTGAATAACTCATCAGAACAAGTCGGATCTTGCGCCAAGCATTGCCACAGTGTATCAACTTGTTGTAGACTCAAACGGAAATATTCAGGAGAGCCCATTGGGGAAAATATTGAAGATAGAAACTGTAAACGAACTTGCACTTCGATTTGATGCGAGTAAAGACCTTTAGGGCCTGTGACCACATAAGTTTTTAAATTATTGAAGAAATGTTTCATCATATCTAGTTCTTGGTCAGCCCAGGTTGTAACAGATGACATATCCATGTTTGGGCACTGTTGAAAACTAGCTAACAGTTTAGGGAGTATTCTGAGAGATATCACTACTGAACGGTTATTCGCTACGTTTTCCAAGCACCCTTCTATGAATTTCATCGGAATAGATCGATCGACATTAAAACAAAGCAAATTACATAACGATTTTTCAGCTTCCACGGCCAAACCTTCTCCCAGTTGGCTGACTTTGTCGTCTTGTAGGAGATCCCAGAGCAATGTGTTTCCAGGTTTGCATACAGTTTCCAAATTGAATTGAGTACCGATTCGTGCTACTTGGCGAACAGAACGTGCGGCTTGTGCGGCACGACACGCTTGACGACGTACGTTAAGTGCTGGGTGTGAATGCTGAGGATGATAATTTTGCATATGAATAGCGGATAAGTGTTGAGCCGCCAGTTGAGCCAATTCTTCTTCGCAGCCGCTCTCTTCACCGTCAAAATCAGCCATATTTTTCTCACTTTTGTTTGATATACGACTACTGTAAGAGCCTTCTTCGTCCGAAAGCATCTCATCAAGACAAGTGGGAAGGTAACGAGTATTTGAGTGATCCAAACAATCTGAAACATTAATGAAGTATTACATTATTTGTGTAAAAAAAATGCTACCGAAACTCAGTTGGAAATGATTTTTACTCAAGTCCGACGTTACGGTGCTTGCCCCTTCACCACTCGCAACAGCTCCAACGATATCGCTGTCATCCTCATCGTGAGAGCTATCGCCCGATTGAACCAAAGAGGTAGAAGCAACAGTGGTATTACCTGTGGTAACACTCCTGTTAAGGATGTATTTGTTGCTCGTGACAGCAGCGGTTGAAACCAATGGTACTTGTTGATCGACGGCAATGGCCTCTTGCTTCACACGATCCAGCGCGTCCACGCACGACGTCGACGCGGTCACTGACGTTTTCTCTTCCACCTCAGGATAATGGCGTAATATTCGTGCGGGAACTTTACGCTTTCGCGGGACGAACTTTTTCTTCCGCAAATGAACGGCTACGTCGTCGACCCCGGCAGCGGATTTGTCCGAGTCCGCATCACTCGTGTGCTCGTCTGAGGTATTTTTATCCATGTCATTGACAGCTCGTCTGATAATTGGCTTGCAAGGATGATGCAATGCAGTTGACGACAAAGACGTAGGCTCGTCTGTCTTAGAACGATCCTTAGTCGCCGTAGCGGTTGAAAGAAAATGCTTTGACTGAGTTTCCGATTCAATCTTTTTCGATGATGATAAATTAGCTCCAGCCAGAGTATCTACAAGAGTAGTGAGTCCTTAAAGACATCTTATGATTCATTTATCCAAATTATATATTAAAAATAATTATTCGTAATGCCTTAGTAAAAATATAAGTTTTTTACCCACACACTGAAACACAGAACAAAATCAATTTTTCAATAGTGAAAAAGGAAAACACTCAAGACTACACATGTAACTTTGAAGATATTAGATTTTGTTCCGATGGTTTTTTACACTTGACCTTTTCTTTTTTTTTTTGTTTTACCCTCTATAGGTAGGCAAATGTGAAACAAATAATTATACTTACTATCACTTTCGCTGTCAGCTCGAGCCTGTTTTCTAGGGGATGGTCCTTCTGTCGGAGAAGGCGCCGGACTCTGTTGTTCTTCCTCTTCATCTGGACTACTAGCTTCCATGCCATCGCTGCTTTCACTTGGCTCTTCGACTTCCAGAATCCCAGTAGTCTGAGTTCTTTCGAGAGCCACGTTCGATGCATACGATGCACTACTGGAAGTCCAAATGAACTTTATCAAGGCCGATACTAAAAACAGGCTCTGCTCCGTGTGGTCTTTTGGTTCCAATTTTCCGATCAAAGAGTATAAATGCAGAGCAGGAGTAGGTGCTAAATGCTTCACCAATGCCCCGAGTAAGTCATACACAGGTTTGGCGCAATGTTTTAATTGCGCAGCCTGCCACATTATATCCATATCTGCCGACGATATACGTCCTTCCATGGCCATGAAACTCAGAACAACAAGACTCTGCTTAATAACTTCTACGTGAAGATTCGGCCCGAATATATGCGAAATTATATTGTTATCTGTGAGCCACTTTGCCAAACTTTTACCGACTGTATCAGAGTCAGGGATGGATTCAGTGTTGCATAATTCATTGAATGTCGTTATATGTGAATTTATCTGAGCAATGCCCGCTAAACGCATTGTCAAAGTCGTACTCGTAAAATACTTAAACGCTAGATCCAAGCCATCTTCGTCAAAGTTCGGTACTACATTGTCGATTGGATCTTTAAGAGCGCTCCACATGAAATCTAAACCAATTACATTACATTAGGCATTACACAAATTGAAAAGTGAATCAGAAAATTTTAAAGTGATTCCTACCTGCCATGGTCCTCACTGCTGGAGTTCGTAACTCTTTATCAGTCAAACGGCACATATACTTCATAACACATCTCCGAAGTGGTATGAACAATTGTGAGACACTATTATAATTTAACCATAACTTTATATTACAAATAACTGCAACCATAGAGTGTGCTAAACCAACAGGCATTGTATTCTCTAAATTAAAACAATTGGACATAAAATCAAATCCACCCTGTTGACAAAAAACTGATACAGAGCGAATCAGAGGTGCCGGCACTTCTGCATCATGTGGTTCACAGAATCCACCCTCGTCCTAAAATCAAAATGAAAAGAGAAAAATTAATAATTATAATAAAATTTTCTTTGCAATTCATCATTGTCATATACCTTTGCAGGAGCTGGTGGATTGATTGCTCCACCATGTTTCATAGCTATATAAAGTGGAAAATTTAGTAAAAAAATCTTTGATGATAAATGGAATAATCTTTCTCTGTCTTGATGAGTCCAGTGGAGTTTGGATCTTGATGATTCAGGACTCTGTGATTTTTTTGCAACCTCCTTATCTTTTTCAGTTTTTTCATTTTCATCTCCTTCACTACCACTTGTTTTATCTTTTTTATCGATTGCATTTTTTTGTTTATTATGTACTTCTTGTAATTGTTGAAGAGAAGTTAAGAGAATATTTTGAATTAATTTTATGAATCTATCAAAGTTTTTAATTTCACGATAGCAACACATGCATTGTCTGAAATAAAATTTTTAGTAAGATTTAGTATTTGTTGAAATTCAATAAAAATACTTATGAGATTCAAAATTGTACCTTTGTGCCCACTGGTTAATGTATTGCAAAATGATTTCAACATCACTGCTGCGAAGTATTGCTACCTCTTCTTCTTCTTGTGATATCCTTTCATCGACTGCAAAAAATATAAAAAAAGTTTAGAAAAAGGTTAGAATGGCAAGTGCACTACGTTTGGGCAATTCTAAAAATATTTTCTACACGATTTTTAAATTAGACTTTAAATGCTCTACAAGCAAAATGAAAAGACTTAGAGAAGTGTGAAATGAGTTTTTTCAAAAAAGTTTTTTTCATACGTTAATAGATATTTTTTCCATTTATAAAGAACAAATTTATTGATTTTTTGGTCAATCATTGCAAATTTATCAATGGAGCTTTTATCATTGTCAAGCTCTGAAAATCATTCGCGTTTGCTTTTTTCTGTTCGTGCATGCCAAGTGAAGGCGACGACGATAAATGCAGGTCTGTGCAAGCAATGACCCGCACGTACCATAGGCCGAATCATTAATTTAGGTCCATCATCGTCACGAGCAGTTAAGACACGCACGAGAAGAGAACAAATTGTATGTAAAAATAGAATAGTTGAGACGGGTGAAAAAGGAAAAATTTTCGTCGCACTCACATGAAAGCAGAAGATCGTGAAAATCAGCGCACACATCGCACATGATGATTGGCGATTATCAATTCGTCCAAATGCGATGATGCTGTCGACGTCGTCCTGCCGAATTTGTTACAATAAGAGCTCGCATGCGGACGTTTTGACAAGAGAAGACAAATAAATTTCAGCGGCACGCGACAGCAGCGGTAACACTAGCAGCATCGGCAGCAGCAGCCACAACAGCAGGCCAGGGAGCACCTCCAGTAGCTGGCGTACACAAGAAGAGAACCCCGAGGCAATTCCGGATGTTCGGTTTTCTCGTCGTACGGTCTTTCTCTCTCACTCTTTCTCTTTCTCCTTTCTCTCTCTCTCTCTCTCTCTCTTTCTTTCTTTCTTTTTCGCTGTCTCTCTTTCGCTCTCTTTAACAGCAACAGCAGCCACGCACAGAGCACACCATTTACATTCGCTAGCCAAAACGAATGAGCGTTAGAACTCGTAATATTCGCTTTCGCGACGAGACACGATCAAAACAAATCGTGAGTCGAATGTTGCGTTTAAAAATCAGCCGAACGGCCTGACAAGTTGGAGCAACGTTGGATGCTGTCGGGCTGTCTCTCGATTATTGTGCTTGCGATTGATGCATCCTAAATCTATGAATCTCATCCGACATCGACGTGTATTATGGTTTTGCTGCAGCACTCGTTTACGTCGTAGTCTTTATTGTCTCTTTCTCTCGTATATATTACGATATTTTTCCCGTGGTGTGTGTCGAGCCCGACACTATGGCAGTAAATATACACACGTATGTAACACTCACGTACATGTATGTGCAACGACGGTATGTGTGTATATCGGTGTTTATCGTGTCTCTACATGTATAGGATGTGTGTCGTTAGGGGAAGATGTTACTCTCTGCTTGACACGGGCCCTTCTGACTTGTCGCGAGTACCCTCGGCCTGCCTCTGCGTGTACGTACGTGTGTTATTTATATCAAAATCACCGTTGTACGGGCAACGTGCAGATATCTATTTTTCGTCCCAAAATCGTGCTGCTCATTTCGCACCGTTGTCGGCCCTCTTTATTTTTGTTTAATTTCTTTGCTCCTATTTATCTATCGGTGTAGGATTTTTGGATAATTGTCGTTGTATTATTTCCCAGTGTATGTAACGCGCACGCACACGGTATATATACGCACAGTGTGTACACACGAAGGAAAAATTTGCGGCTGCGAGGCAGCACACGAGATTTATGTACAAAGATAAGCACTAGCAGCAGTTCGTTAACTCCTCGGTCACCATGTTGATGTATCTCTGTTCACTGTTCTCTTTCTCTCTCTCTCTCTTTCTCTCCGTGAGCCAATTGTATATGACTCGCAAGAGCTATACTTTCGTTCTGTCTCGCTCTGACACCCGTTGCTTTTCTGCCTCTCTATATATATGTATAGATCGAATACACAGGGAGTTATACATGTATATACGCACGTACAAGACTCTCTGTCTATCTCTGCAAAGAACGGCTACTACGCGATACATGCATTTTCTTCGTAATTGTGCGCAAAAACGAGCGAGTTTTGTGTGATCGCGCTTCCATTTTCCATCAATATATAATGCAAATCATGTTTTATATTTTAAACATTAATCTGTTGTTTTGCGCGAGCGTGCGCACTGAGTGCATCGGCCAAATATTATGCGGCCTCGACTCTCTCTGCTCTGCTCGGGCTCAATGACGGGCCCCCGGGGGCGAAGGGCTCCGTTTCAATGCTCGCAATTCATTCTGCATTACAGTGCAAATGAAGTCCGGTCGCTTTGTTCGCGCACTGCACGGTGCAATTTTTGACTGCACGTGCAGCTGTCCTGTTACCGTCATTACGATTTACGGCCTTGCACATGTCTCATAATGTACATACTATTATTGTAGCATTGGATTTTGTATTGGTATTTACCAACTAAAATTTAATTTTTACACTTTTTTTTAATTTTTTAATAAATTTTTTAATAAATTTTTATTAACATTGTTCAGTAATAAGCATATATACAAAAATGATCTAGTTTTTACAATTCATTTGTACATTATTTTTCAAGTATAATGGATTATTATGAATTAAATAATCACATCAACAAATGCTAATATTTAGAATAAAAAAATGTTAAAAATTTGTTTATTAACTTTCTTTTGAAACAGTCTTTTCGGTTTCTGTACTCTCATTCTTCATGCTTGTATTTAATACATTTTCAGTCTCATTGGAATTGGTCAAAACAGTTTGTTTATCAATTCCTTTTGTTGTGTCCTCTTCAAAATCTTCATTCATATCTGTACTTTTATTACTATAAAGTTCTGGATACTTTCCCATACATCCCATCATTGCATTAAAGGCATCAACACATTCTGACCCTTTTGACTCATTAGTAGAATTAATAAAACAAGAAAATGCTTCACGAAATTCAGTACCACAAGGTCCATTCGGCACCCCTCCTAAGCATGGACAATCCCAGTTTATTTCTCCATTTGGAAGAACCACACCAGATGGAGGTTCTAGTTCTGAAACTGCATGATCTTCTTTAGTAGCCAATATAACAGTATCTTTTCCTAGTTTCTTTACAGTAGACATGACTCTGAAATAATTAATATAACGGTATTAAATTTTTCATCAGCACACTTGACCATTTTCAAGAAACCAGTATACTTACTCAAAATTTTAGCGATCATTCATTAATTGAATGCTGGTGATGGTAAGTTCTACTATTGGCAGAAAGTGACAATAAATTTGGTGTAGCCCTTGTTACGTTGAAAGTGCAAGGCTCTCCTTCGAAGGAACTTGCAACAGTTAAGGCTGCTCTCAATTTGACATAATCATTTGAATCACAGCGTAAAATGAATTTCTTTTTTTGTTGATTGTACTTGAGCAAATCAAATTTTTGTACACCTTCTGTTCCCAAAAGATGTGCCACAGCAACTTTCACTTGATTTTTTACTTGTACTGCTGTACAGGGTTCTTTGGGCTCATTAATAAAATGCCTGCAAAAAAATTAAAAAGAAAATTTAGGAAGGGCAACTTTAATGATGATTAATTTAGATGCGCTTAATGACTTTTCTACAAACTCGACCGTGAATTAAAACGGTTAATTAAAAATTTAAAGTATTTTAACAAAGACATTAAGTACATATTTATACCGGTAAATATAACATTACTTTAAACATAACATTGATACAAAGGAAACTTCGATATATTAAATTAAGAATTGATTTATTCAATGAACCATTGCAATAAAAGTAAACATATACTAAGTAGGGTTAAGCAAAATTCACGCGCGCATAAAATTTACAAATATTATTCATACTAACAGATAAACTTCAAGATAATGCATGTTGGACATGTTTTCAATTCGCACCTCGCTTATACAAGTCTTCAATTTCTTTCATCAGCATTGACCGATGACTCAATACTATCCACGTGTTGCGTTCAAGTAGCAGCTGATGTTATAGACTTAAATATTAAAGATGTAGTGCGGACTGCGGCCTTACTGCCTGCTGTGGATACTGCCTTAGCATGATCAGGAGGGCAGCGCCACTTGTGGTGATTGAAATTGGAAAAAAATTTTCACGACTTACCAGGGTGACGTTACCAGTACCCGGCTAATAAAAAGTGGCGTTTTAGTATTCGGTTTTTTTCCTCGTAGCATTATGATTAATAATTACAATTCTTAATTCAACAATGAAAATTTAAAGATTTTGAAAAAAAATTGCTAACGTCGTCCTGTTATTTGAAAAAGTAGTTTGAAATTGGTCTTTACAGAAATCATTTTGCGCCAATGTCTACATCTACATCTACTTAATAATACGAATATATTTCCATTTTTTTATTAAAAATACTTTGATTGATTGACTATATCATTTTATTTGAGTATAATTAATATACAGTCAGTCTATTTTCATACATCGGTTTTTATATCGGTTTTTATATCGGTTCCAAAATAAAATGTTATGAGTTAATTGTTGTAAAAATTTAAATATTTTTCATACGTTTCGAAACTAAAAAATAATATTTGATGTATTGTTAATATTAGTAAATTTTGGATAAGTTTTTGTGACGAAAATCTCGGCCTGCCGCGAACGAAGAATTTTCTCGGTCCCTTCTTCTTTTCTTTTTCCTTGATATCCCATACTCTAATTTTACTCAAGAGCCATCTGTTTGTTCGTTATAATAATCGAGCTTACAGGACCAGTACCTATCAAGCTTTACACATGATCGAACGTATGCCGAAACTTACTCCGTAACGCTATGGCTCGTCAAAATTAATCGAATAATAACGGAATTTCGGAGCAACGAACAATGGAAATAGTCCCGGTTTTTACAAACAAAGTCTCACGACAGTAAGGGAAACAAATAAGACATTTTAAGAGAAAGCAAGAAGAGCCCCGGAAGAATAAAGTTGAAAAGATCGTTATTTTTACGCGACGTCGTAGTTACATGACCGAAATCCACAATGGTCTCGACTAGGGGACAAAGAAAGTTGTTATCGTTGAAAAAGGAGCTGGTGAAAAAGAAGGCGAAATCGAGTTACGCGACCCGATCGAAAAGCAAGGCTCCGATCGAGCAAGAGATTCTGCAAAAAAATGCGATCTACGAGAAATATTACGATTGCCTGCGGCAGATGTGCCTGGAGGCTCGTTACACCTTCCGCTACGCGAAGCTGCCCAGGATGTTCAACGCGCGCTTCTGGACGAACGCCGAGCTGATTAACCGTATCCTGGTGCGCGCCATTAAAGAGCGCGAGCTCGTGATGATATCGTACCTACTGGAGAGGGGACTGCGAGTGACGATAGCGCCGACCGATCCGAGCGGCACCACGGCCCTCCATCTGGCCGTGACCTCGGGCTTTGCCTTCCTCGCCGACGAGCTGCTCGACCACGTCGACGGGACGAACTACCGTGACCCGGAGGGCCTGACGCACTTCCACGTGGCCTGCATGACTGGCCACCGGCGAGCCGTCGACGCGTTCCTGGCCCGAGGCTGCGACGCGAACCTCCTCGGCCGGCTGAACGGGGAGCCGGCGACGCCCCTCCTGCTGGCCGTTCACTTTCGCCACTACGAGCTGGCCAAGCTGCTGCTGGAGCGGGGCGCCGATCCGCGAATCCGCGGCGAGCGGGCCAGCGTGCTCCACCTGCTGCAGCCGGTCACGGACAACTGGATGCTGGGCCCGCGGCTCTGCTATCCGGACCAGCTGGAGGCCTTCAAATCGCCCCAGGGCCTGGATCTGTTGACGATGCTGCTGAAGCGCGGCGCCGACGTCGACGCCCGCAACTCCCACGGACACACGCTGCTGCAGATGGCCGTCTCGGCTCTGCGCGACGACGTCGTAGAACTGCTTCTGGAGAGGGGCGCCCGTTGCCAGGACGTCGAGTTCGAGGGCGGCTGCTTCTCCGCGGAGTTTCGCTGTCCGCGCTACCTCGAGGTCGTCCAGAGCTGTCTGCGCATAGTCAAGCTTCTCACCGAGTACGGATACGAGATGAACCCGCGCAGGTCCTTGAAAATGATGGAATTCCTGATCGGGCCCGAGCGCTACATCAAGGAGTCTCGCTACTTCATCGAAGAAGCGGCGGTCGGATTGAACGGACACATTTTGGACCTAGGAAAGATATTATTAAATTACGAAACACGCGCCTGTATACGCGGCGATTGCTTGATCGAATGTGCTCTTCTGTTCCTGCAGGTTCTCACACGGCGATTCGGAACTTTTTCGACACGATACCCGAGGGCCCGCTGAATCCAGTCGACGACGTCATCAGAATCGAGACCCTGGCCGGAATACACTATCACTCGGAAAAGTCGACGCGAGGCGGCTTTTATCTCGAGCGCGAAACCAAGGCGTATCTTGCGACCAGATACGCCCAATTGGCGCTGCACAGCTATCCAACCTTGACGGTACTCGTGCAGAGCGACTACTGGCGGGAGATGCTCGCCCGGGTGTCGTTCGAAATCGAGCTGGCCAAACTGTTGACGCTGAAGAGTCGCCACAGCGGCGACGACACCGGCTGGTCGCTGCACGATCTCTGCGTCTCGAGCCCGTCGGACACGTGGCCCCTCCTGACCAAAGTCGATTACGAGAGCGTCTTGAACGATCCGCTGTTCGACAAAAAGTTCCCCTCGATCGGTGGAAGGATCAAGGGCTTCGTGGCCAAGGCTCTGGTGAGAAAAACCTGCGAGACTTACGCTCTGGGACCGATCATGAATTTGATGAAATTCAGACTGCCCGAGCTCTGTTGCAAAAATGTAATCAAGTACTTGGACAACGAGGATTTGTTACGGGTAAGCAAGGCCGTCTAGGACGTCGCTCGAATCATGTTGAAGCGCGATAGGTCCTCTAATTGACCATAAAAATTGTATTGATAGTTAATATTGTAAATACGTGAATCAAATTTTATGAGCATTGCATGACTTTTCTAAATTCAATATATGTATGTGCCTGCTAACTGCTCGTTTAAAAGCGGTAGGCGCAATTTATACATGTATTTGTGTTTAAGTTGTTTTGAAATCGTTTTGTTATTGATTTCCAGGATAGACTCCTGGCGCTCTATTTATCATTTTCAGGCTATTGAGTAATTAATATTTACATGTTACAACAATTTGGTATCATGATAAATATGGATTATTGCTGTTAGATAGTGTTTAGTTAGTTCTTTTTTTCTTATAATAATTATTGTGGTGAAATTGGCACCTGCCGCAATAATTATGATAATTAATAAACCAACTATGTTTATAAAACTTAGTTAAATATATATAGAGCAAGAAAAATTGTAAATAAATGTTTACATAGGATGCGAATAACACAGTGTATTGTACCAAAAAGTGTTATAACTTGCGTTCCAACGTCTTTTTAATCAAAATAATTAGACTTCGTAGGGAGAGTTGAAGGTTAGCAGATTTTTATTAAAAAATTGTTTATTTTCAAAAATATACATGCAATTATTTTTTAATCCATCGCTTTTTCACTATTTGACTCATTCCTTTTATCACTCTATATTTACAAATACACACATATGTTTACGTGATCTTATACGCTTGTCATCCGTTATTTTATGCTTCATTGGTTTCACCAAAAAATGTTGTGATCTGAAAGACATTGTTTGTCGGTATTATTGTTGAGGTAACGCATTCAACGATCGCGAGTATCAAACTCTTTTTTGACGTCTCTCGAAAAAATTTCTACTCTTCGATAACTTCGTTTATTTCAGTTGAGTTTTCATGTATCGATATGATCAGTCTTTCACTGTATTTTTAAAATCTACTTTTTAATATAATGAACGTTACTCGATTCGCGAATAAGGTTACTAATTTTCATTTCTATCGATTGCAATACAATATTCATATAATTGAGATGTATCAACAAAATACAAAATGGAAATTTTTTATTTTTCTTGCAATCATTAACGTGACTACTGAATGACGTGAATTTTCAAATGCGATTTACTTTTTCGCACCCTCATCATTCATAATAATTATGGTGTATTATATTTATACATATATATTATATGAAACGTTGATAAATAAATAATTCATTTATCATGCCTGCTATCACATTAACTTTTCCATTTAAATGTTTTTTAAAATTATTTTCGACAATTCCAATAAGTATGTACATGAAATATTTAACTGCAGTTTACAGATAACGTTTTGTGCGCCACTTATGTCTTATTATCGTGCTTCGTCAACTTGCTGAAGCATCTTCGATATAGGTTTATATTGATCAGTTTCAGTTTCATGATAAAATACACGATTAACTTTTGTACATTCATGTTTTACATAATTTTTCCAATAATTTCCAACTTTATTATAGGTTTATTCTAAATATGCTCGTCCGCCTATCATGGAACTTGGGTTACGTATATAAATTTTACGATGCTACCCGGTAATACGGTGTGTATACATTAATTATTTTTTTTTCCTTTGTAGTATCTGTTGCCGATGAAAATCTAATCGAGTTGTACGAAAGCAAAGAAATGTTCAAAGAAATAATTGAATTTTAACACTATCGGATCGTGTACAAAAATACGTGGATGTTACAAAAAATTCCTGTGTTATTATAGTGTTAAAAAAAAATATATTATTGAAAATGATCGTGCTTTCCGTTGGATCAATAATTTAAAAAAAAGTCAAGCCAGTTTATAAATAATTTCTCAACTAAAATGTCTCTAATTTGCTTATTATTACAGATTTTCTTAAATAATAAATTAAAAAATCATCGTCCAGTTCTATCGCGCGGTATAAATTACTCTATTTCCACTGTACGTGTATACCAACAATCAACAACAACTGACAGCTACGTATATTATATATACTCGAGGTCGATTATCCAGGAAAGACAGCAAAAGTGTATTATTTCGATGAAAGTCGTACGAAAAGGAAAAAAAAGAGAACTTAGACATCGATACCGAGCAGTTGTCGGCTGTCCCTGACGGCGGCGATGTAGTCCGGTCCCGCCGCGCCGCCGAGCGACAGCCTCGCGGGTCGGGCCGCGTGCAGGGCCGCCGTCTGCGATACGCTGCGCCGGCGGAACTCCCTCCATCAGACGGACGCCCGCTTGCAGCGCAGACTGGCCGTGATGGAGGGCGGCCTGTAACCCTGGTAGCCCGAGCTGTCCAGCAGCTCGGAGTTGGTCGCGCCGAGGCAGGTGCACGAGCAGACCGAGACGCAGTCGTCGTTGTCGCCGGACATGGGCATGTGGCCGGCCAGCAGCTTGCCGTTCACGGCCACCACCTCGCCGTCGAGGGTCAGGACGTGATGCGAGGCCGACTGCAGCTCGTCGTCGCGGCGCACCTCTTCGGCTTGCCTATTTTGTTTTTTTTTTTATTGGAAAAACGAGTGGTTAAAGTTTTTTTTTAAGCGTAATGGTACTCGTTTATGAAAATGCGAGCTCTTTCGAGTCGGCTCACGTATAGGCGTTGAATAATTTCAGCGCGAGCCCTATCTTTCAAGAGCTCGGATGAATAATGAAGCAATGAGAGGGGCACTTACATGGTCATGAAACGTAGCACCAGTAAATTAATGCTGGCAGCGACGACTGCCAAGCCGAACAGGATAAAGACTAAACTGAGAGCCACGTAGCCGGGCTTATTCGATAGAGCCTGGTCGTTCTGAAATATTAACGAAGAACGAGACGTATTAGAATGATGCATCGCTGCTGCTGCTGCCTAAAAAATTTATACTATACCTGGAGCGCGACGTAATCGCCGAAACCGATGGTCGTGAGAGTGACGAAGCAGTAGTAGAAGCTGTCGAAGTAGCTCCAGCCCTCGTAGCGGGAAAAGACGGCGGCGCCCGTGGTGATGATGACGCTGGACAGGAGGCCGGTGGCCAGCATGAGATTCATCTCGGTGGCCTCGGTCTTGGCGCACTTGAGGTACATCTTGGCGTGGCGTATCACCACCGAGGCGAACTTGTTCAGCCGCTCGCCGATGCTCTGGAACATGACGAGGCCCAGCGGGATGCCGATCATCGCGTAGAACATGCAGAACGCCTTGCCGCCCACCGTCACCGGTGTCGAGTGCCCGTAGCCTGTTGGAGCCAATTCAGATCGTATAAATTAAAATTGCGCAATTTTTTTAATTGCTATTAAATTTGCACGATACGTTGACGAATCATTGAATCGAGCTTCATGAAAAATTGAATAGCTGCACGTCGCGCAGAATCGCGTACAACGTTTATACAATTGTCGTGTCGCTGTGTCGTTGTCGTCGTCGTCGTCGCTGTACTGCTGTTGCTGATGCTGCTGCTGCTGCTGCTGCTGCGCGCGTGACCTCAAAGCGTATTCCGAATTTACAAGGGTCACGTGGGCCGCAGCGTGCCAAAATCGATATTATGACGAATGATAGAGTCGCGCACGTTTCGCCTCGGGATTCGGAGCTATTCTTATCGTATGTGTATATCTATACGTATAGCGAGAAGCTCCCTAAAATGCAGGCAAATACGTGTTTACGCGCGCTCGACTGTATGTATATATAGGCGGAGTGAAAAAAAAGAAAGTATATAGAACTTGCCGATCATTGCCAAGACGACTGTTGCGAAGTAGAAGGCACCGGCGAATTTCCATTGCGGGCCAGCCTTGTGCGGCTTGTTTTCTATTATCACGATCTCCAGCATGCGGTAATCTTCCGACGACATGTTGTACTTTCTCATCATGTTGCGCTTGATCTCTGTGTGTGCAAATCTTGTCAGTCGGTATCAACGACGTGTCGCGCGTGTATAATTAAATTAATTACCCGAGAGAAATTCCCAACGTCGGCGCTCGGTGTCGGATTCGAGGGCATCGAAGACGGCCGCCCCGATGAGGAGATAAGTGAAGGTGCACACGACCAGCGACAACGTCCTCACATTCTGTCTCTTCATTTTTTACCTTTTTCCAAACTCGTTTTTGATCTCTGGTACGAAACTAACGACACTCGCTTTCGAGGCCGCGCGAGCTCGAGACGCTTCTCAATGGGACTCGAAGGACGAAGGATAGGAAAAGAAGCGAGGGGGTGGATCGAGGGCCACTTGACAGCGAGTAATCGCTGAGGGAAGCAAGCAACTGTCGCCACGGCCCATAGCTCGCGCGCAAGGAGCTTCGACCAGCAGGAGCAGCGTAACGGAGCTTTTCTAGCTGATAGCGGCTTTCACGGCTGTCGGACAGCGACTGGTGTGTGCAGCTCTCGCGGCAATGACAGGACTACTGATGCTGCGGCCGCTGCTGCTGCAGCGAGAAAGACGCCACTATTGATCGAATCGTCGGGAGAGCGAGTCGCCAGCCGAGAAATTGCATTGGATGTATAATTGCGGGCGGAAGAGGACGACTACCTATACATATTATATATATAGTAGCGATCTGGACTTTGCAGTGCCCCACGGTACATGGAATCGACAACGCGCAGGTTCGCCTATATATGAATGCACTTTGCTCTCGTCACATAGATGACACTATCGTAGGGGTGTGGCAAAGCCGAAGCCGCGCTACGACGTTACACGCTTGGCGCGATTCTCACGTTCGTGCGTTGGGCCGAGAGAGCCAAGATTACTGTTAAATGGAGAAACAGAGAGAGAGAGAGAGAGAGAGTGAGCTGCGCAATGCACGCCACGGCACGTATCGTAATACCTGCTCTATCGCGTGCTTGCAAAAAGCTCGCCGAGGGTGGCTCACGCGAGGGCTGCTGCGTGCTGCTGGGCGGATAAACTGGGTACTACTACCCGTCTGTGGACCGAAAGATCAAGCAGAGATCTGCCGTACTCTCTCCGTGCTGCTTTATATATATATTTTGTTGTGCCGCGATAAGGAGAGACGTCGATATTTTATGCCCCATAAGATCAGACGCGCATAAAAACCAGCTGTTCAAGTCACGAGTCCACAAATTCTATAAGAATTTTATAAGTTTCCCTTTCAGAGGAAGCTCTTTGATAGGCGTCGACACAATTTTTTGAATCAGAACTAAATTAAATTCCTAAAAATGTCTTGCCATTAAATTGGCAGAAGGTGTTACTGGGAATTGAAACAATGTATTTGTAAACATTTTTATAATTATAAGAATAGTTCACTATTTTTAATAGTTTTAAAATTACAAATAAATAAATAACTTACTATTCATTGTTTACTTTTAAACACATAATTTTTTCGATTCTGGAACACGGAAAACATTTTTTAAGAATCTACTCTTCTAGTTTTTTTCAATATAATATTCTTGAAAATTGATTCATCCAGAAATCGACTTTATTATCTTACTATATTTTAGACGGAAAAAACCGAAATCCTTCAAAGAAGTTTGACTTGGAAAAAATGTAACAGATTTAATATGTCTTTTTAAAGTGGGGCCAGTGCGTATTAGACCAATTGATACTAGCGTATTTAAGGTGTTTTAAAATCGACTCAACCCAAGGTGGACCTTTAAATTACGAAATAGATTTTATTCAAATTTTTAAAATAAACTTCGTAAAATAATTTTGGAATTATCATGGGAGATCAGAATGCTGTAATACCTAGATTTTCTACACAATTACCTAGGGACCTCGCTAACGAAGATCCAAACATCCGCTTTGGCGTGGAATGCAGGTACAGCTGCAACTTGGAATGTACAAGGATCATTTTAAAATACCCGATTAAAATACATTCATTAAAATACTTTTTTTTATATTTAAGTGTGTTTACGTCCGGATAAGCATTTGCACTATTTTTATTTAAAGGAGAATAAATAATTATAATAGGTTATATATGCGTTTTACAAATATTAAAGTTATTTACAGTTATTTACAAGGTTCACTTATTATTATACATTAATTTTACACTTTGTTAAAAATTTACATATGGCGATACATGCTTCTAGTTGGGATTTAGCTATTAAGCTCTCGATATTGGGTGGAGGAAAGATTTTTAATTTTTTCGTAGTCATGAGCGTTGCGATTCCAAATTACAAGATTTAAGGTCTATCCTTCATGGCCACAAGTTCATCTTCAAAGTGATTGACCTGGGGAGACGTACCAAATTAAATCAAGGCTGTTTAGATGAAGAGTGCATAACATTAAAGTAATGCTTCCCTTTAGTGGAAGCATTCTCAAGGTTCCGCCTAAAGGTATTGTTGTACGCTTGAGTCTTGGCGATGGCAAATATGTCTGTGAATTGAACAGGGAAATTCGAGCTAACCGCGCTCTTGGCGCCGATCTTCGTCGGAGCTTTGACGCGCTCGTAGCCAGCTATGCCTATGTGAGATGGAATTCATACGAACTTACTATTAACTAATAACTTAATACTATTATTTGGGTGGCTAGATTTAAAATTATCGTCCTTTTTTTAATGAAAAACAGAATGTGATTAGACTTAATATCGAATAAAAGAGAACTCAGGTTTTGTAGGACGCTAAAGGAGTCACAGAGCAGTAGAGTGTTTGTCATCGAGCGACAAAGGGCATGCCATTTTTTGTTTCAATTAATGTATCAAATGCTTTCCATTTTGTGTTTTATTATTCTCTCTTACGTTTCAAGGAAATAATCAATATTTCAGCAAGTTCATCCAAATCTTTCTCTAGAGCAAATTAGATCAATTCAGTATCGCGATATTATTACGTCTATAGTGAAAAAAGACGTGAAAAATACTCTCGGCTGATCTTTGCTTAAACAGCTGCAGTTAACCAAATAGTCAAAACTAAAACATCACCATGACAAGGAAGGAAGGTGATGATAGTTGATAGTACGCGAAATTCACGTAAGACATTGAATTAAAATTTATATACAATTGTCATTCGCTTAATCTTCGCTACCTTCGTGTTTTTTCCTTTGGTGCCCAAGCAGATGATATTTATGTCCAAATTTCTTCTCGCATTTTTCGCATGCGTAATCTTTGCGTCCTTCGTGGACTGTTTTTTGATGTCGAATCAATATCGATTTTTCCCCAAATTTCTTCTCGCACTTGTTGCACGCGAAATCTTTGCGCCCGTCGTGTACTGTCTTCAGGTGAAAGAGCAAATGCGATTTTTGTCCAAATTTTTTCTCACACTTGTCACATGCATAATCTTTGCGACCTTCATGGATTGTTTTTTGGTGCAAAATTAAACTCGTTTTTCTTGTAAATTTCTTCTCACACTTGTCACAGACAAAATCTTTACGACCTTCGTGCACTGTCTTTTGGTGCTTGATCAAATTCGATTTGGCTCCAAATTTCTGCTTGCACTTGTCGCATTCAAAATCTTTGCGACCTTCATGGACTGTTTTTATATGGCAGAGAAAATACTGCTTAGATCCAAATTTTTTCTCGCAGTTGTCGCATACGTAATCTTTGCGATCTTCGTGGACTGTCTTTTGATGTACGAGCAAATTCGATTTTCGTCCAAATTTCTGCTTGCACTTGTCGCATTCAAAATCTTTGCGACCTTCATGGACTGTTTTTATATGGCAGAGAAAATACTGCTTAGATCCAAATTTTTTCTCGCATTTGTCGCATGCGTAATCTTTGCGATTTTTGTGGACTGTCTTTTGATGAAGGAGTAAATGACTTTTTTGTCTAAACTTACTTTCGCAATTGTCACATGAGTAATCTTTACAACTGTCATGGACTGCATTCTGGTGCTTGATCAAATCTGATTTTATTCCAAATCTCTTGGCGCACAATTCACATAAGTAATTTTTAAAAACTTCGTGGAATATTTTTTGGTGCTTGAGTAAAGTTGATTTATTTTCAAATTTCTTCTCGCATTTGTTGCACGTGAAATTTTCGCGATCCTTGTGTACTAATTTTTGATGAATAAACAAACTTGATTTTTTCACAAATTGTTTTTCGCACCTATCGCATGCAAAATTTTTGTGGCCTTTGTGTACTGATATTTGGTGTCTACTCAAATGACTTCGGAACTCAAATTTCTGTTCACACTTGTCACATACATAATCTTTCTGATCATTGTGAATAGTGTTTCGGTGTATTATCATGCTTGATTCTAGTATAAATGCCTCCTGACAAATATCACAAATATATTTTTTGTTGTCTGAAGCAACAATGTCGTGTTCGTTTAAATTATTTTCCAAAGCTAATCCCTCAGATTTCTTCTCACTTTTATCCATTTTGGTGCCAAAATTAAATGATTGATCTGTCGATTTAGTGTCACGGAAATTGAATGAGTAAAATTTATCTTTTGGTATTAGGTGACTTGATTCATGGGGAAAGGCAATAATCAAACTAATTTATTTCAACTGATCAGTAAACATGATCAGTGTTTCGAGGTACGATGTCAAAATTGTTTATGATCGTATTGTTTATAATTAAAGTACCAATTTATCTGTTTATACATTGCTCTCACAACGTTTGAAACAATTTGAAATTTAAGCTTGAAGACGATATTTCGGAGAATTTTTTTAGCTGTATGAAAAATATGTCGAGCGAGTATTGTATAGGTGTTATATATCAAGAATATCTTAAATTTAAAAGAACATAACACGAAACTGGCGTTCAATTCAAAATCTTCGTAATATTTTAAAAGTCAATTATTTCTTAAAATTCGTCATGTTACTTCGTTCAAAATTTATAAATGACCGTGATCTGTGTGCATCGTGCTTGGTAAATATTCAAATAATTCTAATTGTATAAAAATATGTTCAAGCTTCTTCGGGATGAAGTTTTTTCCGGTTTGTTTTCCGTATGTTACTCGGTTGATCGAAAATCTATACCCAGAACAGATGTGTCAAAAATTAATGGCTTTGGAAACTCTTCCATGGCGCAAAAAAAACAACTATGCGGCCAATTAAAAAAGTGACAAAGCGACAATTTGTACCCACTTTATTGTTTCCTAGCTCATGTAAATATAATATGTAATAATATAAATCCCGTAAATCGTAGTACATCAGTTGGCTTGTTCGACACGTGCTGCAGACTGATCTCGCGTTTACCACTGCTGCGCAGTATATCCTCGTAAGATCGTCAAATGCAGCGTGCGGCGCTTCCACTCTGCCTTCGTCGTCGATTTTTCCTCCGGGGAGAAATAAAAAAAAATCTTCCGATAGAATATACAAAAAAAAAGAAAAAATTGACGAAGCTTGAAATTTGTTTTTACTCGTGAGGTGGATTTCCAACCACGTCGAGCGCTTAAACTACAACATAACATGAGCGATACATTGGCAGCCGCGAAAAAGCGTGAAAGCAGCTTTGAAAGCGAAATTTTTCCACGTGGAAACTCGAATTAATTGGATGAATCAGAATAGTCCTATATAGGAAGTGCAAGCGCTGCTTATTGGATTAATTTACATAATTAATAAAGTAACTTTGAATTTGAATTTTATCTTGATTTTTAAATTTACCTCAATTATTCTCCGTGTCCCAATCATCCTCTTTCTCTCACTTTCATTAGTCAACAACTACTGCAGTATATGAACGATTCTCAATAAGCGTTAAAAATTGAAGTATAAAATCATAATGATTCTT